AAATAAATAAATAAATAAATAAATAAATAAATAAATTTATATTTATATTTATATTTATATTTATATTTATATTTATATATATTACTATTTAATATTTATTTTACATTTTCTAAGCCTTTTTTTATTAATGGATTTTTTAAAATATATAAATAAAATAAAATATATGTAAAAAAAAAATTAATAATATTTTTTTTTACTATTAAAATAATTAAATATTTTGAAAATCTACAAAAATACAAAAACTAATTATGTTTATTTTATATTAATGAAAGCTATTTATATTATATAAAAATGAAAAGAAATTGAAAACTATATTTACGATTTTATTTTTGTCTATAATATTATTGTTTTTCTTTTTTTATAGTAATGTCAGTTTTTTTTTATTTTGACTTTTTATAATAATATGCAAAGTTTTATTGCTTTAAAATAATTAAAGTTAGAAATAAGTTTAACTCAATTAAATAGCTTAAATTATATTAAATAAATTAAATTACATAAAATTAAATATAATATAATATTAATAATTAAATTTTATATTTAATACATATGTTTTATTTAATATATATTTTTATATTTATACAATTAAATCGGTATTATAAAATACAAATATTAATGTTTTAATGATAAATTTAAAACATAAATTCTTTTTTATATTATTATTTTAGTATTTATATAATTTTTAACTAAATAGTATTAATTTTATTAAATATTAAATAATATATTAAAGTATATATTAGAATTATATATTTAATTAAATTTGATATCCAAGTACGAATTATAAAGTTTATACTTTTTTATAAAATTTTTAATCATAATTTTATTTTCAGCTTTCGTATAAGAATTAATTAGACAAAATTTCTTTTACCATTTCTTGTTTTTCTTTAAGAATTTTTTTTTATTGTAATCTTTTATGTAATGAAATTTTTTTCTTTTTCTCATTTGAATATAAATAATTAATTTTTAATCTTAAAAATTATAAATGAATATTAATTTTTTTTGAACTTTATTATGGTAAATGGCAAAGCTATTCGTTTTATATAAATTTTATTTATTTCTCATTTTTCATATTAAATTGTTTGTTAAATTTAAATTAATTATAAAAAAAAAATATAATTTCATATTATAAATATTTAAAAATTTTAAATGTAAAAATATTAAAAAATAATTTTTAAAGACAATAATTGCTGATTGCTCGAAATAAATAAAAATATTCGATTTGTGGATGATAGCCAATCGTCTGGTCATAATATTTGCTCCTCTTTATTTTATTTTTATATAACCTATCTCATTAAATTGTAAATTTATATTGAGTAATTTCCCATTTCTAAGATTTTTATATAATTTAAAACATATATTAAATATATGAAATATGTTATATTAAGTTTGCGATAAATATTTTTTTTATGTATAAATTCAATAAATAATTTTTTTTTTTATTTTATTTTAATTAATGCTTGTTTTTAAATATATAAAATTAAAAAAATAAAATTTAAAAACAAATTATGATTTTATTTTTTTAAAAATAAAAAGAATATGATAACCGTAGTTAAAGCCTTTTTGATTAGGCTTTTTCTATTTTTAATTATTTATTTTATTTTGGCCTTTAGCTTTTACAAAAAAAAATAGGTGAGGATATTGTCTAAATCAATAAAGTATACAATATAAATATTTTTACAATCAATTTAATAGATATAACAAAAAATTATAATAATTATTAAAATTACAGCAGGAAAATTTTTTAATATTTATATATAAATAATTTTTTTTATTAATAAATAAACATAAAATTAATCAAATTTTTTTTAAAAAAATATATTTTAAAATGTCTGTTTTTGATAAACAAAAAATTATAGATTTTGTAGAAAATGAATTTAATAATAATGCTCTTCCTGCTTTATAAGATTATATAAGAATTCCTAATTTATCACCATCATTTGATTAATAATGGTAAGAAAATGGTTTATTATTTAAAGTAAAAGAACATCAATTTAAAATATATTATTAACTAAATATATTAAAAAAAGGCGGCAAATCATTTAAAATAATGGGTTGAAAAATAAAATTTAAAAAATACATTGGTTGAAATAATTTAAGACAAAGGCAAGCCCCCACTTATATTTATAGAAGTAGCTCCAACTGATACATCAGGAAAGACTGCATTATTTTATGGTCATTATGACAAATAACCTCATTTCACAGGTTGGAGTGAAGGCCTAGGACCAACTAATCCTGTAATAAAAGATGATTTTTTATATGGAAGGGGAGCATCAGATGACGGATATTCAATATTTGGATCAGTAGATATATATACAATTAATTATTTATTTATTTATTTTAAAATAAAAAAGATTTTAGCAATAAAAGCTTGCCAAGTTTTAGGATATGGTCATCCTAAATGTTTAGTTACTATAGAAGGAGAAGAAGAGAGTGGAAGTTACCATTACATGACTTATCTAAATAATTTAAGTGATAGAATAGGTACACCTGATTTCGTTTTCTGCTTAGATAGTGGATGCTGCAATTATGATAATATGTGGATTACTACTTCTCTAAGAGGAGTTATCGAAGCTAATTTAACTGTATAAGTTTTAAATGAAGGAGTTCATTCTGGAGATGGTAATTATTTTTAGACAATTTTGATATTTTTTTATTTTAAAAAAATAGCGAGTGGAATTGTACCTTGTAGTTTTAGAATTTTAAGATAGGTTTTAGAAAGGCTTGAGAACTCACAAACTGGCAGAGTAATTGATTTATTCCAAGTTGACATTCCTCCTCATAGGTTAATTTTTAGATTTTTTTATAAATAATATTATTCAAATTAAGATATGAAGAAGCATATAAAGTTGCATAAGAAATGGATAAAAATATAATAAACAAATTTCCTTATCATGGAGGAATGCTTCCTACCTCTTAAAATTAATTTGAAGCTTACTTAAATAGAACTTGGAGATCTTAATTGACTATTACTGGAGCTGATGGTCTTCCATAAACATCTTTAGCTGGAAATGTATTGAGGCCTTCCACAACTATTAAATTATCAATGAGAATTCCTCCTACGCTGGATTATAAAAAAGCTGCTTAAGATTTAAAATAACTCTTAGAATCTAATCCACCTTACAATGCGCTTATTAGTGTAATATTTTAATTTTTTAATTTTTTAATTTAATTAAAAATGATTTAAAAAAAGGTTGATAATATTGATCCTGCAGGAGGTTGGAGCTCTCCATTAGTTTGGGATTGCTTATAGAAAAGTATGAATTAATCTTCAATAAATTATTTTGGTCGTCCAATTTAATCTTAGGGAGAAGGTGGATCAATTCCTTTAATGAATGAATTGTAAGAAAAATGGAAAAACCTATAATTTATTGTTACAGGAGTTTTAGGTCCAAAATCAAATGCTCATGGTTTAATTTTTTATATTAAATTAAAATTAATTATTAATATTATATTAATTAAGGTCCTAATGAAATGCTTAATTTAAATTATACTAAAAAACTAATTTGTTGTATGACTTAAATATTATCTGATGTATCAGTTAGTTTCTCTAAAAACAATTGAAAAAAACAACTAAAATAAAAAATATATATTTTTATATTTAAAAAAATTAAATACAGTATAAAGAAATTTAGAAACACTAAATTTAAATTTAAAAATAATAAAATAAATAAATATAAAATGGTAAATTTATATTAAATAAAAAAAATTAATAATATAATATAATATATATAATATAATATATATAATATAATATATTTATTTATATTTATTTATTTATTTGATTATATATTTTTTTTACATATTTTTCTACTAAAAACTCAAAATAAAATTATATCAATTTGTTTTAGCATATATTATTTTTTTAAAATTATTTTTTTCTAATTATTTAATTTTTTTTATTTATATTTATATTTTTTTATTATTTTTTTTTTATTTTTTTTTTCATATTTCTAATTTATAATATAAAATATCTTTATTTTTTTTTAAAAAATATATTATTTTTGTTTTTTATTTTTTTATTTATAAGATAAATTTTATTTAATTAGAATTTTTTATATTTTTATTTTTTATTTTTGTATTTACTATAATTTTTTCTTGATTGATAGATACTTAATTTATAACATATTTTATTTAATTTTTATTTTATTTTATTTTTTTAAAAATTATAAAATAATAATTTCAATATATGTCTATTTATTATATTTATTTATTTAATTTTATTTATAAATTCATATAAAATATATATTTTTTTTTTTTATTTAATTTAAATTTTTTAATTTTATTACACATTTAGAATATTTAAATTAATTTAAAATAAATAGGATAAATTATATTATATTTGGTAAAAAATAACATATATCAATTTATTTGGTAATTTGTTAAATTAGAATCTAAATATATAATTTTTGAAGCAATAAACGTTTATATATTTAATAATTTTTATATTATAAATCTCATTTACTTTTGTTCATTTATTTTTAAAAAAGTTACAGATAAAATAATGTAAAAAATTTAAAGAAATAATATATAAAAATATTAAATAAAACCCTCTTTTAAATTTTATTCTAATATTTTTCTTTTGCTATAATTTATATCAATTTTAATATTAAAATAATTTATTTTCTATACATAATATAAATAAATTAAAAATAAAAAATGTTTGAAGACTAGTTATAAAGTGCTTTAATTAAACTTTAACTGGGAAATTTTTCAGACTCTAAATAAATTATAGATGAGTTAGAAAATTTATTGTTTGATAATAATCTAAATTATGCTCAAATATGTAACAAAAAATATTAAAAATATGATTTTTTTCATATTTATTGTATGAATAGCCTTGTGTAATGCCAAAATTTTTAATAGTACTGAAAGTATATTTCTATTTCTTGAGTAATATGCTTAAATAAAAGATAACTTATTAGCTAATGTTCGAAAAGGTCTATACCAACTATTAGCTTAATATATTAAAAAAAGAAGAACTCGTATATAAGAATACATCCAATTAATATTTGTAAAGAAAAAATATATTATAATAATCTTTGAAATTTTATAAAAAATAGAAAAATTGCATTTAATTATTTAAGAAAGAAGAATCAGCAGCAGCAAAAGAAGGATCATTATTACCAATAATAAAATTATTAAAGTACATAGACTAAAAAGATTATATCCGCGATATAATAATACCATAAAACACATTAAAAATTCTTCTTGAAGAAATAAAATTTTGTAAACCCAGCTAAAAGGTAAAAGGTGCAATATGGCACCTTACAGGCTTAATATTCGAATAATTTAAAACAGAGATTAAAATAGATACGAAAATTGAAATATAAACTATATGTTTAATAGAGCTTTCACATTAAATAAAAGAGTCTTCGAAACCTGAAATAGGAGCGGTTATTGGTATGTTAAAATCTTTAAGACACAGTTTAGTAGAATGTCATTTATCTCGAGAAGATTTAGGTAAATTGTACTAATTAATTAAAGTGTGTATCGTCCCTATTGTAGATGTAAAAAATTACGGAATAATTAAAAGTTCACTTAAAGTTCTTTAAAAGCATACTTAATTAATAAAAAAATATCTTTTGGAAGAGCCTGTACATATGTTTGAATAACTAGTAAAACTTATATAACATACTAACAAAGGAGTTAGATTTTCTGCTTCTGATGCTTTGGACAGTGTTATGATACTACTTTCTGACGCTTTAGATAATTAATTTTAAGGACATTAATAAGCTTTTAACTATATTATTTAAAAAATATATAGTATTATTACTGGAGAATAATAATAATAAGGAGACTAAGTTGCTTTTTCTATGATTATTGTTGTAAGAATTGTCGGAGTTTTCGCTAAGGCGATAAGTAAACATATGGGATAATAATAGTTGGGAATTTTCTTTAATTAAATGATAACTATCTCAGAAAAAAAAGTACTTAAATATTTAAAATAGGAAGAAGAATCTTTATTAGAAAAAGAATAAGGAGACGAAGACGAAGAAAAAAAAATTATGGAGAAACTTTCAGAAGTATTTTGTATAGATAGAAATAATTAATATCTTTTATTAACTCATTTGCAAATTTAGTTAAATAAATTAAAGTTATGAAATAAGAAAACGCTTAACATTTGTTCAAATTATGTTTAGCTGGCTTTTCCAAGTTTGCGTAATTTTATGAAGAATATAAAGAAAATTTAATTAATTCTATTATAAATATGATTATTTAAATTAAGAATCATGAAAACATTTATGTTTAATGGATTCATAATCTTGTTTCTTAAGGACTTTCAAAAAGCTTGTCTATTCAAGAAAATTTTAATATGATTACATACTATGAAAGCCTTAAAAAATGTTCTTAATTGTGGTAAAGCCTTATTTCTAAAGATTGGAATGTAGAAGATATTTAAAATGATTTTTTATGTAAAATCTTTTAACATTTAATTGAATTAATTGAAGTTTCTGATCTTTCTTATAAAATTGTTCATTAAAAAAATAATTTAAATTAATAATAAATATAATAATAATAAGATTAAAATAAAAAGAATAGGCTTCATAATAATAATTATTTTTTAATGACGAATATGTTGATAATATTTAATACGATGCTAATAATGTTAATGATATGTAATACTTTTATAGAGTTGTTTTACTTTTTGATGATATTATTGAAAATATTTTAATAGGTTTAATTGTTTGAATTATATGTATTTTAGATTTTACATAAAATCATTGCAAAATTAAGAATTTTCCCCAGATCTATAGCTCTACTTAAAATGTTAAAAATACTTAATAACTTTATAGAAAGAAAATAAGTCCTTCAAACTCTTAAATTTACTTAAAGGTAAGAAATGATCCATTTTATGAAAGAATATTACTAAGAATTATATAATGTAACTTCAATTTTTTATATTTCAAATATAACAAAATCATAAATAAAAGAATATTAATAAATATTAAGATGATTTATTGTTTGATTGTTTAAAAGTAATATTAAGTATTCCTACTTAAATAATAGTAATTAATGAATACGAGTTTTTTAAATTTAATTTAATAATAGCTTTAAAAAAAACATTTGAATTAGGAATTCATAATATATCATTAGGTAAAAAAACTAAAACTAAAATAAAATATATAAAATAAAATAATATAAAATAAAATAAAATAATAAAAAGGTTATTCTGGAGTTGAATGCTTGTAAAGAATAATAAAAATACCTGAAAAAAAGTTAATTTATAAATACTTAAGATTGGTAATACCTTATCTAAGTGACTACTTAACAACGAATAAATCTTAAATGGAAACTGAGAACTATAAAACAAATATGCAAACATTTAATTTAACCTTATCTGAATTAGAATAAAACCGATAAGGTTTAACTTAAAGAATAGCTGAATTTTTAGGATCAATAGGTGGATAATCTCATTTAATAATATTAAGTGAAAAAGGATATACAGAAGCAAATATAATAGATAAAAATTTATTAAAAGAACTCGAAATAATGCAAATATAATAAAAAGGTAATTAATAAAAAAAATCGTCTATTTCAAAAAAAAAAAGGCAATAAAATTATAAGTTGGGACTACGAAGCTAAAGTAATTTTTGGATTACCTCTCTTATCGAAAAAAATAGATGTAAATTTGACCAAAATACTCCCTCGAATTATTGATTTAGCTTAAAAAGGTGAAAAAACAGTATAAATTTATGCTTGTGAAATGCTTCATGCTATTATTGTTTACATGATTGGTATGTAAGCATGTTCAACAGCAAGTTCTTTTGGTAGAAATACAAGAAATATAGAAGAAGTACTTCAAAATAAAGAACTTTTTTCCAAAATTTATGCTAGATTATTCCCTCCATTGTTTCAAATAGCTTCTAATTCTTCACATCCAAGCGCAGTTTTGATGTAATAATTAGGACTTCAAATATCTAGGTGGCTTGCGAACAGTAAATAAGCTGATTCTCCGGATGTTAATGAGCTTTTGGATATTATAATGTGGGGAATTTCAACTAAGGATAATAATAATTTAAGAGAATATGCTTCTAGCTGTTTAGGTTAGTTTATTAAATGGACTATTAAATAAAGTTCAGTTTAAGAAATAAAAGAAAACCACTAAAATATCAAATCGGCTTTTCGAAGAATTCAATCGTATGCAAGTTAACCTGACTTGCAAAGAAGATTTGGAGCTCTTTTAGCCTTTAGGGATGTTTTCTTTAATATTTTATCAGAAAATTTTTTAGTTGAAAAATATTTACTTGAAGGTGTAGGTATAATGCTAAGAATTGGAGAAAAATATGAAGAAAATAATGAAGAGTTTGCTGATAATTTCCATTCATGTTTTATAAAAGTTGGTTAGGTTGTTTTATAGAAAAAAAATGTAATTTTTTAAGGGAAAAACAAATAGAAAGTGGAAGAATTTTCAATTGATTTTTATAATTTAGATGATAATAATTATAATTTTTGGGATTTTTAGTCTTTGGTTTATTGGCTGTTTTTTAAAGGATGCTTTAGCAAATCTGGATTGGTAAGAAAAGAAAGTTTTTTGATTTGGAAATGTATTTTAGGAGAAGATGAATGTAAATTATTCTTTATTGATAATTTGAGAACTTTAAAAAAATTTATAAATAAATATTCTTTTGAACAATAAATTGATTTTTGGTAAATAATTTTTAATAAATATTATTTTTAAAAAAATATTTATATTTTTTTAAAAAAAGGATTATTTGTATATAAAATAACTACATATAATTAGAAAATGTATTATAATTAAAAGAATTTGAAAAAACTTTAGACTATTATTTAAAAAGTTTAATAAAAATTAAATAAAAAAATGATTAAGCAACATTATATTTACCATCATAAAGTTAAAGAAGATTTCTTGTAAAAAAAGAAGAAAATGAAGGATCTAACATATAAATTGAAGAAAGTATTTGTTCTTAATTTTAATAACACATAAAAAAAAAAGAAAATGAAAAAGACAAAGAAATAAAATTTTAAACACTTTTTTCATTCTTAGAATTCATAACAATATAAAAGAACGTTGATAAAATATATTCTTAATATTTCTATTCATAAACATTTTTTAGTTTAATTATTATTTTGGCAATAAAACCTACTTAAATATTAAAAGATTCACATAGTATTTAATAATTATAGAAAAACGAATAGAAATATTATCAATATTTAAACTAAATAGCTAAGTCAATAATGATAATTTATGTAAGGGAAAACTAATAATTAGACTTTTTCAAAGAAATTCTAATTCCACAAGTAAGTAAATCATTTCCTATATAAAAAACAATTTAAAACATTATAATTTTGAACGAATAAGGAAATATAAAAGATGAAGAGCATTATTATTTTTTGAAAGGTATTAGCCTTTTTTTTGATAATAAAAATAATAGTTTTTTTGTGTAAAACTTTTTAGAAAATACAATAAAATAAGCTTTAGATTATGTAAAAGAAAAAGAAGAAAAAAATCAAAAAAGTGAATTTTTTATAGAAGAAAAAAATCTAAAATTACTCAATTTTTGCCTCAATTAAAATTGCGAAAATACACAACTTTTTGTTTTTGATATGATTGAAAAATAACCGTTTTTCTTTCATAAATTTGAATAGTTTTTCGTACGTTTTCTAGCTTAAAAATGGAATCAAATATCTTTACTATATATGGAAAAAGCTGCGAAAAATTTATCTTTACTTAGATTGGTACTCTCCTTACAAAAAGAAGGAATTAACAATAATAATTTGATTGAAATTTTGCCAAAAATAAATATTTATAGAATTAATTAAGATATCCTTTAACTTGAGTTAAAGATTAATTATGTAATTTTGTCTTAACAAGACGATCGTATAAAATAATAAGAAGATATTATTTCTTAGAAATATAAAGAATATTTAAAACAATTAATAGATGACGAGATTATGATAAATAATTAATATATTATTCATTAATAAGTACTTCATTTGAGTGGATTTTATATAAAGTATTTTGCATAAGGATGGGAAGAAATAAAAAAGACATTAAACAGAATAAAAAATAAATATTTTCCTTCTAAGTTAAGTGATTTATAAAAAAATTCATAAGAAGAAGTTGAATTTAAAGTAATTTTGTAAGGATTTATAAGCATGTTTACATTAGGTAATAAAATTGAATGCTTAGAAATATTTTTTGGAATTATAAGAGAGAAATAAACTAACGAATATTATAGCTTTTATGGAAAAAAAATGAATTAGCTAATTAAAAATTTTATAAAAGAATGTTTTATTTATGACAAAAATCATTAAAAATAAAATAATCAAGAATCTCAAAATATCTAATAATAATAACAATAAAATTGTCAAGAGTAATAAAATAGTTTATAAATATAATTTTAAGTTCAATGTATAAACTGGATATTTTAATAATTCATAGATTCAGATTTAGATTAAAGCTTAAGGGATAACATAAGATACGAAATAGTAAAAAGAGTGTTAATTTAATTTATTTAAAATAGTGAATAAAGAAGTATATCAGACTTTTTTATTCAAAATGTAGGATTTTTCAATAGATACATAAACCCTTAAAACAGTCAAGAAAGCGCTATATTAACGGCAGTTCCAATAAAACATATGCAAGAGCTTTCATGTATATTTTTGATAATTTAAAATATATATAGTTGCGTAGATTTGAATGAAATAAAAGATTATATACATAAAAAATTGTTTGGAGTAAATACATAAGGGAACGAATTTACAAAAAGCATAATAAAAATATTATATAACTATAGAAGAAACGGGTATGAGTTTCTTTTACCATAGTAAAAAGGATAGTTTTCAGATTTATTAAGGGAGTTTTAACAAAATGTCTATAATTGTTTGTCTGAAATAATAATGAAAACTTAAAATAAGGAAAATTTATACAATTAATTTCTTTTTTTAGCAAAAGGAGAACACTTATGGGACTTAATAGTTGATTTAGAACAAACAGAATTCCCTTTTGATGTTCAAACAAATTTTTAAGAAAAGGATTTAAAGAAAAAGAAAGTTAAGAAATAATCTTCAAATACATAGAATTCTATAAAATCAACTTATTTTTAAGAAAGTATTCTGTTTTCTTTAGATAATAATGAAAATATTTCCTTTAATTTTAATGAAAATATATAAAATGAAAATGATCAAGAATAATAATAAGAAATTTAAGAAAACGGAGAAAACCAAAAGATAGAATTAGACGTAATAAACAAACATCCATGTATGTAAACGATAATAAAAGTTATTCGAAAGTTATAATAATTATTCCCTTTATAAAATAATTACGTGCCTTTATGGATGTCCTCGATATATGAAGAATTAAATAAAGAAAACATTATTTTGAGTGTGAGAATATTTTTATTGAAAATAATAATAAACAATTAAGATATATTCGGTTTCTATGCCAAAAACTTCATTTTTTTTCTAATTGATTACATAACTTTACCTAATAATGGATAAAAGTTCTTTCATTATTTTCTTAGGGATGTTGTTACTACTTTCATTACTTGGACGAGTTCTAATCCTTACATAATTACAAAAAATTTAGATATTTAAAATAAACAAAAACTCTGCATTGCAACTTCTAAATTAGCTAAGCTTTTAGGTCATAAAGATAAGTAGCTTTTCAGACAAAATGTTGGTATTTTTTCTTCATTCTTAGAAGAATGTAAGGATTTAGTGTTCTTTGAAGAAAACATAATACTAAAAATGATGTTTTTTTAAGCTATTTCTTAAAATAAGGAAGCTCAAGAAGAAACATAAATTTGGAATTTTAATGCCGTTTGTTTGCTTTAGTTAGCTCTTCTTTTCAAAATTCCAATTTTGTTAAATTTTTAGAATTTTTTAAGTGCTTATCTGCCTGTTGAAAAATATTCTTTCTATGTTTCAGATAATTTTCTTAAAGTTTTAAAAACTCTATTTGGATTTTTCGCACATAAAAAAAAGACTTTTGCAAAGGCTAGTGGATAGGGTATTTTTTATTTTATTAATTTTAAATTAAAAAAATTAAAGTTATTGGAAATTTATTGCTGTTTATGAATGAATTGGATGGTGTTTTTTAAAATAAAAGAATATTTTTTGAAGAAAAAGCTGTTTTGAATATTATACAATTATTGAACAATGGTGATAAAACATAAAAGGAGAGATTCCCTATAGTTTTGTATGGAATAAGCGAAAATTATTCATAAATATTAAATAATAGTACTCTATTTACATATACTTCTGAGTTTGTTCTTAATAAATCTGGATAATAAAGATCATATATATTAGCATCTTTTCTAAAGTTTTTAAAATAAAAGCATTATAAAAGAATAGAAGTATTTATATATTTATATATTTATTAAAAAAAAAAAAAACGAAAAATAGGCAAGTTAAAATATAAGAGATATATGTTATTGTTTATAGGGAAGTATAAAAAACTTATTAAAAGACACATCATCAGAAAATCAAGATTAATTTTTAGAATTAATCTAATATTTTACAAATTAACATATCTTATATTATGCTGAAATCCACTAGCTTTTCTAAATTCTTGTTCCTGAATTGCATGAGAAATACTAATAAAACATAAGCGAAGAATTAAGTGAGAAATACTATACATGTATATTTAATTTATATGACTATTTTATAACCCAATAAGAACCAGCAAACTTAAAATAATAAAAAGAAAATTAATTAATAATAGATGAAAATTTCGCCCAAACATTAAAATGTGCAGTACTTTCAGGATTATGTTCTCCTCATTTCAATATAAGATAAAAATCATTTAATTTTTTAGATAAAGAAACATCTGACTCAGCTTCTCCCTATGAACGTTTATTACATCTTATTTAGGAAATTTACTAACCTTAATAAGAAAAATTATGGCTTATAAGTGCAGTTCCTTTAATACTTTGTCTTTCTAAAAAAACTTCTGATTATTCCAGATTACTTTTTGATGAGAAACTTGATAAATACGCCTAATATTATGATTGGGATTTCCGATAATAAGGAAATTTGTTCAGAAAACACAACAATTCATAACCATTAACACCCTTCTATACACTTTCTTAACCTTTTTATGATTCTTAAGGGTTTGCTATTCCTAAAAAAAAACATTAAAGCACTTAGAGTAGTTAATAATAAGGACTTTTGAGTACAATAAAAAAATAGTAAAATTTGTAAGAAAAATTCGGATCTTCAGGAGGAAAAATAAGAGCTACATATTAACCTACATTACAATTTTCTTATTTATCTTAATTTAAAAATTCTTAATAAATGTACAGTGTAATGGAAGAATAAGAAGAATATGAAGATGATTTTGATAATAAAAAAAAAGAAGTAAATTAATAATAGAATTAATAATAAGATTTATTTTCAAATGTCGTTATTAAAAAAAAAAATGAATAAATGTCGTAGTTTTATAAATAGAACTTCATTGATTTTTCTTAGGTAAATTTTTCCTAAAATAATACACTTCGTTATTAATAAGTAAATGAAGGAAAAAAACTCACAAATTCTTTACAAAAAAGACTTTATTTAGAAAATGTACAAAATCATCGATAATAAAAAATTTCAGCATTAAGAAAATATAAAATAGGAGAACTTCCTGATATTTCAATATATTATAAAGATCTTATTGATCCTCTTATAGCCTTATGTTTTATTGATGAAACTATAGCCGGAGAATTATTTTAATTGCTTCTTTTCGCTATGTATTAGAAGGAAGAAAGTAATGATAGGTAAAAAGTTCTGAAAGAAATTTTAACTAATTTATTACAAAAAACAACTCTTTTTGACTTTAATTTCGTTTCCACTATACATAAAACCATGATAATGTTATGCAAAGAAGAAGGAGTACTTTTTGATAGTTCCTTAATTAAAAAAACTGGGCTGTAAAGTCATTCCTATTACACTTCCATCATATTGCTTGAAGAAAATTTGTTTAGTTTATTATATAAATATATTGATTAAAAAAAAAGTGATTCGAAATAATAACCATAATAATAATTATAATAATAATAATATTATTAATAATAATAATAATAATAATAATAATAATAATAATAATAATAATAATAAAAAGATGAATAGGCAAACATCTATTGGATGGACTTAATAGATATATACTCACATTTGAATGAAAAAGATTAAATTAAAGGAATTCTTAAAAAAGCATTTAAAACTTCCTATAAATGTATTAATGATAATTTTAATAATAATCTAACTCATGTTGTTACAGAATTAGAAGAAGCTCTTGATTTTAAAATTACTGGCTAAATAAATTTAGCGGAAAAGTCACTAATTAACATAATAAACATTTGCAACTAATAATAATACGATGAAAGGATTAAAAGCTATCTTTAGAATGAATATAAAGATTGTTTATCAATGCTAGGAAAATGGGATGATTTAGCTAATGAAATAATTTAAGCAAATTAAAATGTAATTAAAATAACATAAAAAATATAATTATTTTAAATTAAATTTACTAATATAGTGGTTAGATCAACCAGAAAGAATAGGTGCTGAAGAAATGAAAAACTTAATGATAGCACTGATGCAAGCAGATGATAGTGAAGAAGGTAGATGGGAATAATTAAAATACATAGTAAAGGCATGGGTTTAAACAGATTATGGAAAAAATATATTAGAAGGGCCATTAGCATATGAGATGGCTTTATTAACAGTAATTGATGTAGATATTGATAGAACCAGATATTATCATAAACTAAGTGAAGATTAATTTTTAAGCGTTTGGGGAAAATTCGGAAGTTTTACTTCTGCATCTAAGCATGAATATTTATCTAATTTATATAAAAATCATGAATTGAAGGAGTATTTATAGTTAGATGAAAAAAATCAAATCAAACTTGAAGATTGCGTTGATTTATTTAAAAAATGGTAGGATAGATAGGTATTTTTTAAAAAAAAAATTAATATTATTAATTTAAATAATATAAAGCCTTCTTATGCATATGATAGTTAAAGCTGTTGGGATTAGATATTAAATAGCAGAGAAGTATTCGCATTGGCTTTATATTCTAAATATAATATATAAGAAGAGGTAATAAATACTATAAGATCAAATTGGTATGTATAAAATGCTAAAGGAATGGTAAAGAAAGGCATTTATAGCGCAGCTGATAAAAAAATGAAAAAAGCAAGCAAATATAGAAAAGTAAAAGAAAGTTTACCTGAATTTAATTTTGAATTTTATAAAATAACTTGTAAATATAAATTAAAATAATTAGAAATAGACTTAGAAAAAAACAAAGTTTTAGAAAGACCCGAATATAAATTCGAAAAATTAATTGAAATTTTTCAGAAGGAAAAACTAAAATACAATCTAGACATTGTTTCTCAAATAAAATTCGATTTTTTGACAATTTAAGTCCGTGAAAAATTCATTGATGTTTACAATGATTATTCTCTAACATAGTAAGTTAATAAACAATTTCTAATTTAGTATGCTAATATGCTTAATAATATTTATTATGATTATCTAAATCTTTTTAGAGACTTCTAATAAATAAATGATATAGAAAATAATCCTGAAAACGTTCTGTCCATTTAAAAAAAATATTATTATCGTTTTTCCATTTTTTGTGATCATTTATTACGTATTATTGAATCTGAAAGTCGAGATGAATTGAAAGTTACATTAAAGCAAGAATATTAAGTAAAAAACTTATTAATATCAAATTTTTTTAAATAGTTTTTTTTAAAAAAAAATATAAAGATGACATTAGAAAATGTGGGAATATCATTTATAAATTATAGTTTGAAGTGTTTTTCAATAGCAAGCTCATCATCATAATCATCATAATTCAACTAAAATTTATCAACATTATTACTGAAAATGTTGAAGATAATGCAAAAGTTTCCTTAGTCAACTGGCTATATATTCAAATAGGCAGTTTAAAATTCTACAATCCCTTCATGGCTATTTATACCTTTTCTACCCTAAATGATGCATATATTAAATAAATAAAATCTAGTTGAATATTTTGAACCTCTATTTAATATTATAGCGTAGAAATATCCTGAAGCCCTAATATATTAATTCAACACAATTTTCGAATAAAAATATATGTGTGAAACTTAGCTGAGTATTAATATTTTTGAGCATTTGCATGCAACGATGTAACATTACTTTTTATTTATATAATAGCTGAATTGTGTCACAAATCCAGAACATAGATTAATAAATTATTTAGAAAATATGAGAAATATTATCGTTTAAGCAAATCATAAAACTTAATAAAAATTAAATGAATTAATTGATTAAATGGAATTCGATCTTTTTTCCCCTAATTAGTTTTGGGGAAATTACAATATTAAATTTTGTAAAGATTACTTAATATATTTTAAACCTCTTAAAGCTAAAATTAAAAATACTTAAGATTTAGTAGAGAAAAAAAATTATTTTAGATTAAATAAAACATTTAAAAGACAAAGTCAACATTAAAGATATAAGAAACGGGCACGATAAAATATCTAATTATTCTTTATTTTTAAAAGATTTTTAAGGAAGTACTTCCGATTAAGATGGATCCTAAATAGAAATTCCAGGTTAGTATACTTCTAATTCAGCAATTATGAGAGAACCTTCAAAAGAACTACATTTAACTATATAAAGCTTTGATTAAACTGTTTTTTCTTTAAAAAGTATTAGAAGACCTAAAAGAATTATAATATATGGTTCTGATGAAAAAGCTTACAAAGTAATTTTTATATAAATTAATTATTTTTTATTAAATTAAAAATAAGTTCCTTGTTAAAGGTGTAGAAGATCTTAGACTTGATTAGAGGATAGAATAAATATTTGGAGTTATGAATAATGTTTTTGGAACAGATCCTTAGTGTGAAGAAAAGGAATTATTAATTTCTACATTTAATATTATTCCGATGACAAATTAATTAGGATTATTAGAATGGGTTGATAAAACAAATGTCCTTAAAGAAATTCTAAACAAAGAATTTTAATAAATATATAATACTACATATGATATAGTACAAAATAATCCCGCAATCGATACTCGAAGAGAATGGTTAGATAAAATTTTTAAAAGAAGAAATTTATAAGAGCAACATATTGATTTACTTCAATTATAATCAGGTAATAAAATAATATTAATTATATTTGTTTTTGTATTATAAATAAATATAATTATTTTAAAAAAGAGGATGTAATAAATAATTTCGAAATCTAATAGAATATGATGCCTGTAGATTTATTAAAAAATGCCTTACAGAGGCTTTCTGCCACTTTAGAAGCTTATTTATATTTAAAAAATCGATTTATAAGGAATTATGCAGTAGTTTGCATTTCTGGCTATATTTTGGGAATTGGAGATCGTCATTTAGAGAATTTTCTTATTAATTATTCAAATGGAGATGTTATTTCTATTGATTTTGGTTATAGTTTTGGAGCTGGAATAGGCTTAGCAGTTCCTGAACTAATGCCTTTTAGATTATCGAAATGTTTTTAAAATTTAATGAACCCAATAGGGTTAAATGGAATTTTTAGATAGTCTATGATTTCGGCTTTGTTTGCTTTGAGAAAAAAAAGAAACCTTTTAATTGAATTTTGTGAAGTCTTTATTAATGACCCACTTATTGATTGGGTGAAGTTAACAAAAGATAAAAAAATGGGTACATATAAATATTATATTATATAATTATATTTATAATGAAAAAATAGGAACTATTGTATTTAATGAAGACCTTGCACATTTAAGTAGTGCAAAAAGTTATTAATAAAGTTAATTAAATAGTGTAGGGAGCTTAGGAGGCGAATAAATTAGTAGCTTTGAAGAGATTTTACATCATATTTAAAGAATTGATGTTGTTAAATTGAAACTAATAGGAATGAATCCTTAATAATTAATGTTATAAGAATTATCTTTATCTAAACATAAAGATTAAAAATATTATCCTACTTTAGAAAAAGCTATTTAAGGAAATCAGCAATAATATAGAAATTAATATAATAGCATTTAATTCTTAGATGTTATTTAATAAGTTGACTGTTTAATTGAATAAGCAATCGATCCTAATATATTAGGTAGAGTTTGGATTGGATGGTGTGCTTTTATTTGATATTTTATAAATTTATTTATAAAAATATATAATAAGCAATATCTTAAGAAAATTAAAATTTATTATATTTTTTTATTTTTATTTTTTTTAATTTTATTTATGTTTTTTCATAAAATAAATTACTAATATACTTATAACCTAATTAATAATTTTTAAATAATCATATATTATTATATATTATTTTTAATACTCATATATATTTTCATAAAATTGCACTTTAATATTAATATTGTTTTGAATTATTATTTATTTTTTATAAAATATTAATGCTTATATTTATTTGTTTTTTTTTTCAAATGTTTTTTAGAGTATATTTAATTATTTTACTATTACTATTTTTCTTATATTATGTTTATATACGAATTTTATTGTCTCAATTTAAATGGCATAGATATATTTAATTTAACTAATTCCTTAATCTAAAATATTTTAAATACCATCTTTAATATATTTTACTATCATTTATTTGGATTAGTATTTTTTTATTCTTTTAATTTAAATATTTTATATACAATCTTTTATTAAATTAATTTGAATAAATCTTTTAATTAATATTTAAACATATTATTTAAAAATCATAAAGTCAAACACTAAATTATCTTTCAAGGTTATTTATATTTTAATTATATTTATAAAATTAATTTTAAAAAAAAATTACAGTAAAAATAACAATATGAACAAGTAATAATTTATTTTTATCTGTTTAATAATTTATAAGTTAAAATTAAAAAAAAAAATTAAATAAAATTAAAAAATATGTTCTGGCAGGATTAAATTTAAAATGATAAAATTTTAAATTTAAATATACCAAAAGATAAGTATTTGCATATAAGAAATTTAAACATTATTTATTAAAAAATGAGTTTAACTTTAATATGTATATGTGATGATAAAGAATTCGTTATTTGCCGTTTTCCTTAGAATTAATAAAATAATGTTAAAATTAATTTATATTTCGATTCTTAAAAACAAGAGTTTACTTTTAAATTATTAGGAAAAGGTAAAGTATAATTAACTGGTACTTTAGAAAATAAACTGTTAGGATTTAATCATAATTCTATTGAATTAGAAAAAGATGAATTTAATGCAATTTGAAAAATTACTAATAGTTTATAAATAAATATTCATTTTTAAAATTAAAATATGACTTATCAAAACATATATAATTATTATGTATTAAATAATAAGTATATTAGTTTTTTATGACTTAATATATTTATTGAACTACAATATTATAATTAATATACATTTTTTTAAAAAAAATTAAGAAATGTAAAATGTATTTTATTTCTATTTTATAAATATTTATGTATTATAAATTTTTTATATTAACAAAATATATTTAAATTCATTTTATAAAAATTAAAAGTTAATATAAAAAATTTTATAAATATAAAAAATATTTTTATTAATAATTCCTTTATTTTTTTAAAAGAAAATATATTTTATTAAAAATTATTTTGAAATAATATTATTTAATTAAATTTTAAAAAAAATGATTTAATATATTGGTGATTTTAAATATAAATTCATTTTATTAGGTATTTCATTTATGATTGAAAAATATATATATAAAAAATATATTAAAATAAATAGGTAATTAAGGTGTAGGTAAAACAAATATTTTGTCGAGGTATAAATTTGGTAAATTCGAAAAAACACATGCTCCAACGTTAGGAATAGAATTTGCATAAAAACATGTAATAATTTCTTAAGAAAAGGTTAAAATATAAGTTTAAATATGGGATACTGCAGGATAGGAAAATATGAATTCTATTACAAAAGCATTTTATAAAAATGCGATTGGAGCTTTATTAGTTTATGATATTACAGACTTATAAAGTTTCTATGATTGTCAAAAATGGGTAGAAGACATTCAGTAAAATTGTGAAAATTAAATCACAATAATATTACTAGGAAATAAAGCAGATTCAGAAGAAAAAAGATAAGTTATAAAATAAATTGCTTTAGAATATGCAAATAAAAACAATTTTGCTTTTTTAGAAACTTCTGCTTTGAATGGCTAAAATATAAATGAAAGTTTTTAAATATTAGTAGAAGGTAATTATTTCTTTTTTTTAAGTAATAAATATTTTCTTAGAAATATATAGGCAACAAACATAAAATAAATATTCTGGTATTGTTTCTAATCCTCCTTAAAATTCAAACAAATAAATACCAGTTAATGAAGATTTAAATTTAAAACAAAAATTAAATTAAAAAAAAAATTAAATTAAATAAAAAAAATGCTGCTGATTTTTAATAAAATTATATTAAAGTGTACACATTGATTAGTTTTTTTTCAATTCACTGACAATGATAAATAAAATAATAATCAGTCAACTATTAAATAATCTTAATTTATTAGCATTGATTAAATATATATATTTATTAATAGTTAAATTATATAGGAATTTTTTATGTTTAAATAAAATTTAATATTAATAAATAGCTATTAGAAAGTATACAAATTATTTGATTTTTATCATTTTTTTAAATGTTTTTTACTTTTTTTAAAACTTAATCAAAATAAAAAATTAATAATGTCCTATTTTATTATTATGATTATTAAAAAAAAATATAGAAAAAAAAATCATTATGAAAAAGTAATATATAAATTAAATATTAATTATTGAATAAGAAAATTTACAAATTAGGCATTTCTTAGCTTTTTTTTGAAAATATTTTATTAAGGCAATTATTTTATTTTTTAAATCATAAAAAATTAATAAAATAAATTATTCTCAAATAATAACCGTAATTTATAATCTTAAACTTTATATTATAAAAATTGTATAAGATTGAAAAAGATAATAATTATTTATAATAAAAATCATTATATAAAAAACAATTCGCAAGTATTTAAAATCATTATTATAGTCATTCGTCTTATTCTGATTTAAATATTAAAAAATATATTTAGTATTTATATTACATATATTATGAATTATATAGTATAAAAAGTTAAATAAATAAATGCTTGTTTTTATGAACCATATTTAGCATAACTTTATTTTTTTTATTTTAAATTTGTTAAAAAAATATAAAAAATATTTAGAAAATGCTTTTATTATTAATTTTTTTTAAAAAAAATAATAAAACAGACACTAATTTAAAATATATAATTATATAAAATTTATACATATAAAAGATACATAAAATTTTATCTTAAATTATTTAAAAAACTTATCAAAAATAATTATAATACAAAATAATATTTATCTTATAAAATCAATAATTTATTAATATTTTTTGTTGCAAAGTAATATTTAGTTATAAAAAATAATAATTTTTAAATATTTACAATAAAAGTAAAATTTATTTTTTAAATATAAATGATTTACACATAACTAAAGTAAAAACTTCAAAGTTGATAATATTTTCAAAAAAATTATATTTTAATTACAAAAAATGAAATTCAATTTTTAAATATATACTTTTAAAAATTATGTTTTTATCTATTTTTCTTATTCTATTTTATTTGCAATACTTATTATCTTAAAAAATATTTTCTACGAGAATATAATTTTTTTTATTAGGATATTTGAATTAATCCATTAATTGGATTTATTAAAATATTTTCTAATTTTCAAAAATTTTTTAATTTAATATATATATGTATACATATAAATTTAAAAAAAAATCATCAAAAAATTTAAATAAAAAAATATTAGTTTTTTAAAAATTACTATTATTAAAAAAATAAAAATTACTAAAATGTAAGAAGAAGAAGTAATTCATTAAAAAGCAGAAAGGTTAGTAAAATTTGGTTCGATTATAAGTTTAAACTTAAAGGACCATTTTGATAATTATATTTATTGCGAAGGTTTTATGGATGAATTAGTCGAATTAAAAGAATTTAAAAGTACAGGATAAACAAATAGAAAAGATGATTTTTCAAGTTGTTTATTTATGATACTACCATTTTAAGATATAAATTCATTTAATTAATAAAAAAATTTATTAGAATTATTAACAGATAATAAATAATCTAATGAAATTGAATGTAATATAATTAAAATAATATAACTAAAATAAAATAAATTAAATTAATATAATAATAATAAAAAGAATTAGGATCGGAAAATAGATTAGAAGATAGAAAAAATAGAATAAATGAGCTAAGAAATAAATTAGAAAGTGAATATGCATACAATCTAAGTACATTAGAAAGACAATTTGGTTAAAAAATTCTTTTAGTTAATTCTAATTTTATGCTTATTCATATTAATACAATGAAATTTGTTTGTTTAAATATGGATAATACAGAAAATTTATAGTATTATTTTTATTTTTATATTTTTTAAATTAATAAATTTTAGTATATAGCTTGTCCAATATCCTAATAAATATTGTTTTTTCAAATTTATACCTTCATTATTGCTATAAACAATGAGAAACGACAATTTCGTTTATGAAAACGAATTAATGTATATTTGCTGTTGTGAGTTAATTGATGGGAAAAACCCTTTTTTATGGCAGAAATCAATGTAGAACAACAAAAGCGCCTTTAAATAATACAAAAGGTAGTGAAATTAATCAAAAGAATTTGCTTTATGGAAGTATTGATTATGCCAAAGCTTGGAAGTATTATTTTTGAATTTAATTTTTTTTATTTAACTAAAAAAGATTAAATTTATATTAAGAACCGATAACAAAAGATCATATTGATAACGAAAATGAAAATTATCTAAAAGCAGGTGATATAATATGGATAGTTTTATCTTAAAAAAAGGTTTTTATAATTATTACTATTTTTTATATACATATTTATATAAGTTTTATTTGTCATGTGAAAGATTTAATGATCCTTTTATTGACTTAATGATTTAACAAAAGTAAGATTTGGAAAGATAAAAAATGAATGAACTATAATAAATATTTTAAGTAAGCTAAGAAAAGCAAATAGAAAATTTAAATAAAGAATTATTTGAAAATTATAATACGTAATTTTAAAGTATAAAGAATTCAATTGATAGTGATATGATGCTTTTTTACGAATTAAGTAATAATGGATTATTCAAAATTGAACCTATAAATATTTTTGAAGGAGGAGAATTACATTGGGGCGAAAAGTATAGAATTAAGCATTTAATTTCTGGAAAATACTTAAAATGTGAAAAAAAAATTGGTATTTTTAATAATAATAATGAAAATGTATTTTAATATTTTTGATAAAAAAAATTAATATTATTTATTTTTTAGCAAATAATATATGAATTAGGATTAACTAATATTTTAGATAGTTAAACTTTATTTAAATTTGTTCCAATAGAAAATTTATAAAACAAATATATGTCAAAAAGCAACATACATAAAGATGCTTATTTTAGATTATAATATTAAGATTAAGAAAATATTTTATGGCTTGGATTTTAAGAAGAGTTTAATGACTAAAACTTAGAATAAGAATAAAATAAGTTATTAATTATTATTATTTTTATTTACTAATAAATAAAATAAAAATAAAAGTAAGCCCATTTTTGAGAAAAAATTAAGAGATATGAATATATTTAGATTTAGAAAGTCAGAATATTAAGATATTTGGGAAACTCATTTTTTGTTATCGGCTATTCCTTTGTTCATATAGTTATCATTAAACATAGTAAATGTTACAATGAAAGAATTTGAATTAAAGCAATAAGATTAAAAGTTTATTTATTTCGAATTTAATTTTGATAAGGTTGTAAATACAATAAAGAATTTATAAGAATTTATAACAAACAAAATTATATGTAATATATCAATGAAACACGAATACAATTATCCTGCTTAAGACAGATAGAATGTAAAAAATATATAAAAAAATAAACTTAAAAAAAATAAAGAAATTTAGAGAATAAGGTTTATTAGGATTATTTTGCTGGTTTTTAATAAAAGTGTTTCCTTAAAAGGAAGAATTTTAAATATTGGACTTAAAAGCAGATGAAAGTCTTCTTTAGGATGAATAAGATTAAGAATTGTAGCAAAATATCAAACGAAAAGAAAAAATATATAGATAATGTGTTTCTCACATAAAAAAAAGATATAAAATATCTTATGACATTTATAATTTAATTAAATTATCATGCTATAAAAATAATATTAACTAAGAGTATTTCTTTTAATTTGCACATAATTTTGCACACCATATTGGTTATGGAAAGTTTGTCACTGAATCTTTCGAATTTTGTTTTAAAGGAAATTTTAATATTCTTTAATCTTTGCACTAATTCGAATTTTAAAAAGACAAAGTTGATTAAGTTGGACCTGAATCTTCTAGTAATAATACGTTTGGACATGAAGTTTCAACTGAAAGTTTCTTTATTACTCTAATAAAAAGATTTAGAAGAATGGAGCCTTATACTAAAAATGATATTTTAAGTCTTTTGGCTAGTTTTTGCATTTTAGAAGATAGTACTATATACATTAACTAAGAGAAAATATTTTAAAGTTTTGTAGACAATAGGACTATTATTTTTACTTAATTGTTAAAAATTAGAGAAGAAAATGATGAAATTTTTAAAATTTAAATGAGAAAAAAAAATCCAAAAACAGAAGAATATGAAATAGTTTCTCGGTTATTGGAAACTTTTGATAAAAGAAATATTTAAAATTAAAAAAAAAATATTACTAATAAAATTATTGGAGATTATTTTTTAAGTTAAATTGATCTTTATTGTAACATGTGTGCTAATAGAAATTATACTTGTGGAAAAGCCTTTGCTAATATATTTTCAGCTAAAACGCTTTAGAAATATATAAACTCTTCTTAAGTATTTTTTGTTTTAATTTAAGCATATTTTATTTAATTTTTATTTAGATAAGTTTGGATTTAAGAGCAAGATTTTGTAGGCTTTAAAGAAATATCTATATAGATAAAGAACCTAGATTAAAAATCTAAAAACCTAATTTAGTAAGAATTTTTAAGCCTTAGAATGATAATAATGATTAAAAAAAAATACTCAATATTTTGTTTGATCCTATTCTTATAAAAATGTCTAAAAATCCTGATTGTCGTGTAGGAAAAGAAAAAGAAGAATATATTTAAATGAATAAGAAAATATTTGAGAAATATAATGATAAAAATAGAGAAGATGATATTTATATCAAATTCATTTAAAATAATGATGCTGAAGATAAAGAATTTCTGGATGATATAAAAATTTTTATTAAAAAATAATTAAAATAATGCTTTTAAGAAATAATGAAATTCGAAAGCATGAAATTAGTTAAATAATTTGGTATAATACTTTTTTTTTTTTAATTTTATTTATTTTATAAAATAAGAATATCATAAACTTGAAAATGATAAAGATTTAGTAGAATGTGATTATTCCTCAAATCAAGATATCTATAATAAGATATTTAATAATTTTACTTATGAAATTATTTAAAGTTTTCATATAATGCTTAAGTTTGGTCTTTTCACTGATTATTCTGGAAATAACTCTAGAAATATATTTAATGATATTGTTACTTATCTTTCATTTATTTTAGAATTCGATATAGATTATGCATCTGAATTAATAAAAAATGGAAGCAGAGGAAAAGAATAATAGAAAATTCCCCCTTTGAAAAGAAGTAAATATTAATTAATTTTTATAATAATATTATTTGTTTAAAATTAATAATTATAAGGTTATATTGCAAATAATGAGAAGTAAACAAAAGAATAATTAAATAACAATACCGATTTAATAAATACTTTAAAAGTTTTTAGTGCAGTAGGTGGTTAAGGCTTAAATGTTTTAAAAGGACTAACAAATTTGGTTGTGAAAGAAGATGAAGAAGAAGATTAAACTGAAGATATAATTAAAAAAATAGATATTGATTCTTAAAATGAAAAATCTACATCTTTTCTTAAAACTTATTAAAGCTTATTAAAACTTTTATAAAAATATACTAATAAAACTTATAAGAAAAAAGGTTTTTTAAAAATTTAAATATATAAAAATTATAAAAAAATATAGAAATAGAAATAAAAATTAGTAAAGATCTTGAAGCCTTAATAAAAATTGAAATTTGTAAAATTTATGAATATTTAATGGATTGGCGTGAAGATTTTTTCATTAATAATATAATGAAATATTTTACTGAAAAATTCTATAATAAATATTAAATATTGCTTGAAAAACCTCAGAAAAATCAAGAATTGGAATATTAAAAATTAGAAAAAGAGCTAAATTAAGAATTGTAAGAATCCCTTCCAGAAAATATGTTTTCAGTAGGTGAACCAATATTTAAGAATTAAGCTTTTAGAAAATTCAAGTAATTTGGATACGAAAAAAATAATACAAAAGATGAACCCGAAGTAAATAATATAGATGACATAATAAAAAGACCTTTTGTAGAAAGTTTAATAATAGGTTTTAATAAATTAAAATTATTAATAAATTTTATTTTTTTAAAAGGATTTTATTTTGCAATAGATTCTGATTTGTAAAATAGTTTGATGAACCTTATTTACAGGTGTTATAACCAAAAATCTAAGTTTTTAAAAAATTTAAATAAAATAAATTTAGTCAAAAGCGGGTAAAGTGATAGCGCTTACCAAAAAATGAGCAAATTAATAAGCAAATTAAAAGCTTTAATTAGTTATTCATAAAGTTGGTTATAAATAATTGAATAAAATAATTATAATGAAAAAGCAGAAGAAAATTTAGATATTACCTTATAAAAGTTAAGTAAATTACATGAAATATTTGTTGATTCTGAGGATAATTAAGAACAATTCGAAGTTAGCTAAAAAATATTCAAACATTTAGAAGGACATATTGTACTTTTTTAGTTTATTGAATAAGGAGTTTCCATTTTAGAATTAAATGCCAATTATTTTTAAGAATATCATACCGACTGTTAATATTCTTATAAAAAAGATTTTACAAATAAAGTTATTGAAGGTAAAAATATATTAATTTTTTTTAAATCTAAAATTAATTAGTTTTCAAAAAATGTCATTTTATCTTAATTTAATTCTGCAAAAAAAATAGAAAAATACAAAAAAATATTTTTAAAAGTTATGAAAAACTACTTTTAAACTAAAGCTATATTAATATAGGTTAAATTGATCTAATTAAGGAGATTTTTAAAGAAAATATTGAACTTTCTTACTAAGCAGATGCTTATTTTAAATACATTAAGAAAATTATTAAAATACATGGAAAATATCCTCAATTACTAGATTTATTTCAAATTTAGATTTAAAATTCTATGAAAAGTGACAATAATGAAATACAAAAATATGTTATTGATAACATGTTTGATCCTAAATTTATATAATACATTAACGTAAATAAAATAAAATTATTAAAAGTTTTAAAATTTATAAATAAATATAGCCATTTTACGCAGATAATAGACGTGATGATGATGAATAAATATTACTTGTTTAAAATGATTCGAAATAATATGATTAATTACATATCACATCTAAAACCCCAGGAAATTAAAGTCCTGATAAGGCCGTAAATCTTAAATCTTTAATAAAAGAAGGAAACATATAAATAAATGATTTTAATTAAGATGAAAAAATTGAAAAAGTTAAGTTTAATATATAAAAAACAATAAAATTTTATTAAAGAAATTTAAACGATGAATAAACTTAAAATGAAGAATATACAATAAAATATATTTAAATTATAGCTGATGCTTTAAAATTCTAATAATTAGGAATTACATTTATATATAAAGCTTATTAAAATATAAGAGTTAAATAACTTTTGAACATTTTATTTTAATAAATGGAAAATTACGAGCAAAGATAAAAAAATTTACAAAGTTATAATGAATCAATAAAGATAAGGTAGCATATTTCTGAATTGCTAGTAATTTATTTTAATAAATTAGAAATTAGTATCAAAGATTTTAAAGATAATTAAAATGTAATAAAAAAAAATTAATATATATTTTTATATAAAATAAATAGAAATTTATTGAATGTGTTGATATTGAAATATTTAAAATGAATAATTTTTATATTTATTAAGAAATTGAATAAAATTATATTTGTGAATTTTTTATTCCTTTAGTACTTAAATATCATGAACATTTTTTAAGAAACAATGTGTAATAAAAAAAATATTCAAAAATAAAATTATAAATAATTATTTAAATAAAATATAAGATTATTAGCTATATAAAAAATTTAAGAATAAAAAGAATATGAAAATTGCTAAAAAATATTATTATATGGATAATTATTTATTGATAATATAAATAAATTTATAGATTAAAATATTAATATAAAAGTAAACTAAAAACTAAGAAATATAGCTTTGTTATCAAAGAATTTATAAATAAAATTTAATCCAACATTATCTGCATTAAAAGTTAAATAATTAATTTATTTATAAAATAATTAAATTAAAAATATATCTATATTTTATTAAAGGATTTGGTATAAAAATAATAATAAGCAAATAATTTTATATTAAATAATGATGATGAATATGAAGATAAGTTGCCTGAATAATAAAATTTTAATAATTAATTTTCAATATCAAACGTAGTAAAAAAAAGTCAAGGTAATTAATTAATTAAAATTTTAACAATTTTTTATTTTTTTATCATTTTTAAAAAAAGGAAATTATATTGGTAAACTTAAAGCAGTTGTGAATGTTATATTATTATATAGATAGTAATAGTAAGTAAAAAAAAATGATTAATAAATTTAAAATATACCTTATGATAAATTATCTAAAATAGAATAAATAAAAAGAGATTCTATTCATTTAAAATTATGGACATTATTAAAAAGGAAGCTTAAACAATCACCGTAAAAAAATATTAAAAAAAACAAAATAAAATAAAAAAAGTGAATTAAACGAAATGATAAAAGAAGAAAGAAGAAGATTTTGTAATTGTATAACTGAGTTTGAAAAATTTGTTGAAAAACCAAAAGAAGCAGCTGAAGATTTATTAATTTGTAAAGAAGATATAATAAAAAAGTTATTAATGTTCATTTAATATTGGAGATAATTAGGAGCTTCAAAAGGGAGTGTTATTTTTACATTAAAGTCTTTAAGGCATATAGTTGTAAAGAAAGGACCTTAAGAATTAGCTGATTAAGATAAAAGCAAAGAATAAGAATAAAAAAAATTCAGATAAAATGTTATGAATGGATTGAATACTACTAGAATATGCATTACACTTATAATGAATGAAAGTTCTTAAGATAAAATTTATTTGTATTATATATTCAGGCTTTTAATTTCATTATTAGATGATGGTTTATAATTTTTTATTTATTTTCTTAATAATATTTTATTTCAGGTAACTAAAATGTATAAGAAACGGTATATAATTTCTTTATTCATAATTCTGAAAGTGAAAAATTTTTCAAATAATTATATTATATTATGAATGATGAAATTAATTATATAGCAAAATACAAAGGAGAAAAAACATCAATAGGATCAGTATTTAAAAATTTTAAATATATAATAAATAAAAAAACAGGGAAAAGGTTCAGGTAAAAAACCTTTAATTGAAAATGTTTTAAGATTACTTTAATTATTCTGTGAAGGACATAATTAAAAATTATAAGATTATTTACGTTTTTAAAAATCTTCAAAAATAAATTACGATTTAATATCTTAAATAGTGAAATTGTTAGTCTCTATTAAAATCTCAAATGAAACTTATGGAGCAGTTAAATAATGTTTTGATACTCTAACTGAAGTAGTCTAAGGTCCTTGCAAAGAAAATTAATTGACTATTATATAATCTAAGTTTTTAGATTATGCCTTGGATTTATTAAAAGAAGAAAATGTTTATGCATAAGGAGTTGATAATATAGTAGAGGAAATTTAAGATGAAGAAGAAGTTGAATAAATTAAAAACTCTTAACTTTAACAAAAGGGTAGATAAAGTGGCTAATTTGTCTAAAAAAAATCTGATTAGGCAAACAATATAATTTATAAATTATAATATTTTTATATTATTTTTTTAATATAGGAACCTCTTTTAAATGGTTAATAGAAAATAGCAAAAGTAGCCAAATAATTTTAACAAAAATAGAAATTTAGAACAAAATAAGTTTTTTATTAGAAAGTGCACAAAGCTTATATTGCAAGAATAAAGCATAAATGTTTAATTACCCTTTTAAGCTTACTTGAATTATCAGAAAATGATTAATCTATAATGAATAGGGTAAAAAGAACTATTCCTATTTAAGTCTTGACAAATTAATTAACTGAAATTTATGAAAAAATTAAAAAATAATATAATGGGTAATATTAATCTGAATTTTTTGGACTAGTAATTAATTTTTTTATATATATTAATAAATAAAAAATAAAAAAGTCTGAAAACGATAAATATATTGATATAAATAAACCTTCAAAATTAGAAGATGAAATAATTATAGAGTCAGGCTTTAATTTATATATTTTGATAAATATATTGTTAAATAGCTACAATAAAAATAATTTAGATTAGGAATAATAAGAAGTTTATGATTTTGTTAAAGAGTTTACAACTGAACAAAAAAAAGAATAATAAAACTTTATTATGGGAGGTATTATTGGAGACCTTACTAACTTAACTTCTTCTTTAATTAATGCTGGACTTGGAGCGGTTGTTGCTGTGGGATAGAAAGCTTTAGAATTAGGTTAAGATAGTGAAGACGATTAATATAAAGTATTAAATTAATTAAAATAAAGACAAGAAATTTAAATGTTAAGAAGAGAAACCTTTAAGTTTTTTTGTGATAATACTATACATATAGAAATGCTTAGAGGCGATTAATTAACTATTTTATATTTTCCTAAATTACCTTATTGTCATTTACCAAAAGAAAATAAAGTAAATCATAATTTTTTTTAAAAATATATATAAAATAAAAGGAACTTTTTCATGAAAATGTAGATTATAACAGTGACAAAGGTAAATTAAGAACTTTAATTGAAGAATCTGAATATTTTATAAAAGTAAATAAATAAATATCATAAAAGAAAAAACATAAAAAAGGTAATGGAACATGAAGAGAAATGTAAAAAACTATTTAAGAAATCATTTATAACTGGTTTAATAGCTGAAAACAAAGGTTTATGGGAAAACTTGGCATTTACATGCAATTGTATAATAAATATATTAATATTGGCATCATATGGCGTATTAAAAGGAGAAAGAGAACTATTAATAATAAAAGCAACAACCCCAAACGGAATAGACATTGATTATTACAAATCTTTGCTATAAACTAGTAGAATATAAGATCCTCGGCTTTTTCAAGTTGATAGATTTGATTGGACTCTAAATTTAATATAAGCATTTGGATTAACAAATTTAGTATTTAGTTCTTTAGTTATAGTATTATTTTTTGTAAAAAAGGCTCCTCTTTTATTAGAAGATATGTGGCGGAATTGGTATTCAAAAAATTAAGGATTAACTTAAAAATTAATATATATAATACCTTTATTATTGTAATCTCTGAAAACTTGCCTTACTGATTTCGACTTTGTATATTATACTTGCTATATTTCTTTTTGTATAATAGGTTTAGCCGTTCATCCTTTTTTTTTTGGATTTTTAATTGTTGATTTTATGAGAATCAAGCTGCTTAAAAATGTTGTAAAAGCTGTTTATATTCCTAGAGTTGATCTTGCACTTACATTTATGGTTTTTGTACTTATTCAATATTACTTCACGATTATTTCCTATATTCTATTGTATGATTAATATTTGGACCATGGAGGGTCTTGTACAATTTTATGGAAATGTTTCTTGTATACATTTAATTGGACTTTTAAAGAAACTGGGTCTATTGGAGGTTTACTTATTGATCCAGATATTAAAAATAAAGTTTTATAGCCAATTATTTCAGTTGATGACAATGGAAATATTTAAGTTGAGGAAATTGTGAATAAATAATTTTTAGGAAGATTTTTTTATGATAATTTGTTTATTTTTATACTTGTTATTCTACTTATTAATATGGTTGCAGGTATTTTTTCATTTTATTTAATAAATATTCTTTTATATATAAAGGTATTATTATTGATAACTTCTCTGCTTTAAAAGATGAAACTTAAAGCAAAGAAAGTTCGTTGGAAAGAAAATGTTTTGTTTGTGGAATTGATCGGGAATTAATAGAAAAATCTTATGATGATGTCTAAGATGGATTTTTATAACATTTGAAGGTAAATTAAATACGCTTATATAGTATTTAAAAATATTTTTTTCAGAGAGATCATTATATGTGGAATTATGTATATTTTAAAGCTTATTTAAACATGAAAGATTCCAAAGAGCTAACAGGAAATGAAAGTTACGTCAAAGAATAGTTAAAGACTTTAGATGTTTCTTGGTTCCCAGTAAAAAGGTCATTAAATATTATTGATGAAGATATGAAAAATGAATTAGCGAGAAAAGAATAAATTGATAAATATGAACACATAGTAATTATTTTATTTTAATATAATTAAAAAAAAAAAAATAGAACAATAAAATTAAAGAAAAAATTGAAAATTTAAAATAAAAAATAATTATTATTCACAAAGAATTTTAATGAAGTTAAAAATTTATTAAGTATTAATTTTTTTATTTCTTTTTATTATTAATTTTTGTTTTTAATTAGTTTATTTAGTATTTAATAAAAGATTAAAAATAAAATATAATTAATACTAAATATTATATTTTTAAATATAAAAAATTAAATTAATTTAAATATATTTCAAAAAATGAAAATCTTAAAATAAATTGCTATTTTTATATAAATAATAAGTTTAATTTAAACAAAATAATGGTTTCATGATGTTAAAGCTGAAACATTAACAAATTTAGTAAATAAAATTAAAAAAAAAATAAAAAAATTAAAAAGAATTATCGTGAATATATTTTCTCTTCAGAATCAAATATTTTTGTAGATTTTTTTACTCCATGGTGCATGTATTGTAGGCAAATGGCGAATGAAATAAACTTAGTAAATAAATAAAAAAAAACTTTTAAAAATTAATATTAAGTTATTTGATCATTACCAAAAAGAGAATTCTAGAAAAGACGTGAGAATTGTAAAAGTTAATTGTGACGACGAAGTTGAAGTTTGTAGATATTTCAAAGTTAGTTCTTATCCTACAATATTACTTTTTAAAAAAGGTTAAAGTGAATAACCTATTAATTTTGAAAGTTATAGACTATTTTTATATTTGATGTAGTTTATAGAAGATAATATTGAACCCGAAGTTAAATAAATATAATAACAACAGGTTAAAATAGATTATAATTAGATAGAAGTTAAAAATTAATAAATAATTTAAAATCTTTTGAATTTAAACATTACTATAAACAATTTAAATGAAAAGATTTAAAATAATAACTTGATATATAATAAGTAAAATTCTTAAATTTAATAGTATTTAAATTTTTAAAACTAATTTAAACTTAATTATATGAAACTTTCTGCATTTTTTATTTTTGGAATTATATCTGGATGTCTTACTTCAATACATATTTAAAAGTAAAGAATTGCAAACAATACTATAAAATATAATTGATTATTATAATAAAAAAATTTTATTATATATTTTATTAAAAAATTAAATTAAAAAAATATTAATAAAAATTTACTATTTTTTAATTTAACCATATATATTTATATCACTTTATTATTTTAGCATATTTATTTTAATTTTTATTTAAAATACAATAAAAAAAAATAATCGTTTTTTCTGATCTTATATTAATAAGTTAATGATTTTGAAACATTTGTAAAAAAAACTTAAAAATATATTATATAATTTAAAGAATAAAAAATTTTATAACCCATTTTAATAAAACTAAAAAAATAAATTAATGTGATTTTTCTAATTTTTTAAATGTGAATTAAGTTTAAAAAAAATATTAAAAAAAATATAATAAAATATTAATTTATTGCAAAAATTATTTATGCTGTTTTGCTTGTTTAAAAACGTAAAAAAAAAAAAAAAGCTAAAAAAATATATGTTAATCTTTATTTAAAATTCAATTTTTATATTTAATTATATAAAAAATATTTAGAAAATATATATACATATATATATAACAGTAACAGATTATAATCATTTATATATATATATATATATATATATATATATATATATATTTATAAATTTAAAATAGTATTAATTTTTTTATTTTATTTTTAAAATAATTATATATATATATTAATTTTATTTGTAAATTATTTTAAATTAAGATATTTAAAATAAATAAAGTTAAATAAAAATCAAAAGAAAAAAGTAAATAAAAAATATATTAATATAATAATTTATTAATTTTTAATTTATATATTTTTTTAAATAAAAATAATTTTAAATAAAAGGTTTACTAAACAATTTGTATACATAGATAAAATAATATATAAATAATATATTTATTAAATATTTAATAAATAAAAAAAATTAAATCAAAATATATAATATTTAGAATTTTTTTTTTTTTTTTAAATAATTAAATTTGATAAATAATAAAGATAAATAAAAAAAATTTATAATTGAAAAGAAAATATATATAAATATAATTATAATAATATAATATAATATAATATAATATAAAATATAATTTAAGATAATATATTTTATAATTATTTTTACATATAAATATTTATATATATAATTATTTTTATTTTATTTTAATATTTATTAAAATGATATATTTACATATAATTATAAATATTTTTGAATTTTTATTTTTTTTTAATTTTATTTATTTTATTTTTTCTAATAATTTTTTTTTTATATTTATTTTATTATATGATTATTATATTTTTTTATTATGATTTATTTATGTAGTTTAATTTAATAGGTATATAAAATATAAAAATTTATTTTTATATAAAATTTATATTAATTTAATAATTGATAAAATTTTTTTATAAATATTTATTTTAATTTTTTTTTTTTTTTATATCTTAATAAACATATATATCTAAATATTTAATTTAATATATTATTTTAATTTAATTATTTTAATTTAAATTTAATTTTATTTAATTAAATATAATTAATTTAAATTAAATTTAACATAATAATTAATTTAATATTTTTATATAATTTATAAATTTGTTATTGTATAAAATTAAAAACTTTATTATAAACACCTAATTAATTTTTTTTAATAATTTAAATTATAAAATAATGAATAAATACCATTAGTAATAATCTAATTGTTTTAATAGCATTAGCAAATAATATAATTAAAACAATTCAATATTTAGCAAATTAAATTTTGATACAGCAATAATTCTATTAAAGTTAAAAATTAATTCTTATGAATAAGCTTTTTTCTAAATATTTACATGCTCGATATTTTTATCATTACAAAATATTCATAACTATATTTATTTTTTAAATTTATTTTACGATATCAAAGAAAATTCTAAAATATTTTAGTTAATGTAGAATGTTAAATATATAGATTTAAATTATTTATTATCGCTTTAAACTAATTTGTTTAAAATTATAATCTATCTATCATCATCTTATATAATTTTAATTATAATATTTTATTGGATATGCATTTTTGTTCGATATCAAGACCCGTAAATAAAACAAAGAAAATATTTTTATGGAAGATGGCTCTATTATTTATTAATGTATTACTCATATATTTTCTTTTTTCCTTTTTGTTTAATATTTCTATCTTTGATTTTCTGTTCAGATGATATTATAGGAAACTTAAATATATAATGTTAATTTTAAAATTAAGAATATTTTTATCTTGTATAAATTTCAATAACATGTATAATATTAGTTATAATAGCAGAATGGTGGATTGTAATTTATTTTCAAAATAATAAACATTACAAAAAAGATTAAATGTGCATTGATAAAAAACCAATTTTTATGTTTTAATTTTCTTTTTTTAAAATTTTTATGGCTTTATTTTCTGTTTGTAAAGCTAAAAGTTATATATTTTTTATTTTTTGGATTATTATTTAACTTTTGATAGTACTTTTTTTGTTTATTTAAGTAAATTTCTCTTTATCTTTTTATACTTATTCAAACTCTAATATAAGATAACTTTTTATATTTATGATAAATTTACTTATTTCTTAATAATTAGCTTTTGGAACTGATGAACTATTGAGAATAATATTAAATAATTAATCTTCTGAAATAAATAATATTTATAAAGAAAATGCGATTATTTTAATATTTTTTTATTTCTTTTTAATACTATTAATAGGGCCATATATACGAAAGTATATAATAATCAAAAACATTACAAAATAATAAAAAATTGATGAATTATCAGAAGATAATTTTCTTTTATTGGTTTGCAATTTATAGAATATTGTATAAGAAATAAATAATTAATCTATATACGATGCTATATTTAAATCTATTCTTTATTAACATATTCAAAAACCTTGTTTAAATTAAGAAAATTTGGAATAATGTTTTTGTTCTTATAAAATGATATATGATCCTAAAAAAAATAAAAAAACTTCTATAAATAAAGCTTTTTATTCAATTAATAGTAAAGTTTTTTATAAATTTATTATTAAAAGATGGTTTGAATTATTTTTGTAAAAAAAACCTTAAAATTATATACTTTATATAGATTATGCAGATTTCCTTTATTTTAAAATGAAAAATTTATCACTTTGCCTTAGAAATCTTTAAAATATAAAATTTAAAAATCTTCTTCCTTTAAATCGTTATAGATTATATAGACTTTAACATATAATAAGAAAATAAAACATAAAAAAAAATAGAGAAAGTTATAAAAATAAACTAGAAATAGAAAGTGTAATAAATATAGAAGAAGAAATTGGATAAATTCATTAAAAAATACGTTCGACAATATCTAACAATATAAAATTTTGGGTTTATTTAGAAAAATCAAACATAAACTTAAATGAGTTAAATTAAATAATATAATATACATTTAATTAATTAAATTTAATGAAATAATTATGGAAAAATACACTAATATATGTAAATTTTAAGAAAAAGTGGTGCTTTTACTACATATGGTATTATTTTTACATTTTAAACAAGAAAATAAAGATCTAAATGTTAGAAAAATTTTAAAGTAATACATAGATGAATGAAAATGATGTTTTTTCATAAGAACTATAATAATAAAATTAAGATGATGTATATTCTGTATCTTCAAATTTAAAAATTGAAGAAATAGAAAATATAAACATTAAAAAACCATAAGTAGTTTATGATAGAAATAGCGTTGTATTTTATATTGATTAGGATTACAAAGGAAATATAATCAAGGTAAATAGAACTATATTTAATATTTTCGGATATTAATCTAATGAAGTGGAAGGATTACTTAATATAACGTAATTAATGCCTAGGATATATGCAAAAATGCACCCTATATAAATAAAAAAATTTAATTCAACTGGCAAAACTAAATCCCTTTATTCTTAAAAGAAAGTTTTTTGCATTAATAAATAAGGAACTCTTTTTCCTGCTTGGAAATTTGTAAAATAATATATTAGTTTAATTGGAAATTGTGAATATATTTGCCTAATTAGACCTATATTTTAAAAAACAGAAAATTTTGGTGAGCTTTTCTTAATACTTAATGAAAATTGGGAAATAGATTGCATGACAAATAAACTGTTTAATGCATTTGGAATTGATCCTAGAACTTATTTAAATTTAAATCAATGTTTAAATTTATTGATTTTAGCACCTAAACTCATAAAATACAGTAAATTTGCTAAATTTTTGAGTATTAGTGATTACAAAAATATAAAAAAATAGTAAAAAGAAAAGATATTAAATGGGATATAAATAAAAAAAAATATTAATTAAAAAATAAAATAATTGAATTAAATTCAATTGTTTAATAAATATAATAAAAATAATAAAAATAATAGAAATAATAAAAATAATAGAAGTAATAATAATAATAATAATAATAATAATAATAATAATAATAATAATAATAATGATTTTATAATCTAAATTTAACCTAATATTATTCAATAATAATCCTCTTTATAAAATTAAAAATAGTTATCATAAATTCAAGAAGAATTTAAAGTAAAATATATATATTTAATTTTGAAGATTTTTATAATAATTATTTTAATAGATTACTTAAAATTTTTATCCTAAATAATAAAATTGTTTTTAATAAAACTCCCCTTAAAAATAAATTGATAATAAAATAACAATTCCTTTATAATAAATCTAAGAATTTGATAAATCATATACAAAAGAATCTTATTTGTCATAAAGTCCATCTAATTCTTAAATTAATTAAAATTAAGAAATAATTGAATAATTAAATTATGGAAATAAAAAATTTCCTTATTAATTAATTTTTAATTAACAAAATATCTTTTAATAATAATAATTATACTATTTTACAAATAAAACACAATTAGAATCTTTTTAATTTAATAAAAATGAATAAGATAATAAAGATGTTATTTAATAAAATAATAATCAAGAAGAATATATTGACAATTATTAATAAGTAAATATATAATAAGATTCTGAATATTTTTAATAAATGGATAATTTAGAAAAAGGATAAGTTATAAATTTCAAAATCAAAGTACCGACAAGAATTAATGATATATTAAAGGATTACAATGCTAAAATTTTAAATATAAATAATGAAAAAAACGAAATATTTAATAATTTAAAAATAACATAAAAATTAAATAATTAATCGTAAAATAATAATGAGAATTCCTATTATGAAAACAACAAAGATAAATAAATATATGATTTAATAAAAGACAATATTTTTTAATACAGAGAGAATAAGTCTATAAGAGAATATAATTGTGTTTGTAAAGCCTAAATTAAATTTGTATCAGGAAAAAAAATTATAGTATTAAAACTTGTTAAATTTGAATAATTATAAACAAATTAAATTCAAAGCGAGAAATTTCAAGAAAAAAAACTTTATTAATATAAATGTAAAAAACTAAAATTAATTAAATAATCAAAAAAAAATTAAAAAGCATGTATAGAATCTGAGTCTTCAAAATCAAATTATTAATTAAGTTTGAAAAGTGAAGTTTCAGATACAGTAAATAATTTAATAAACTAAACTCTTTATTATTAATAAGAAATCACAACAATAATTTCAGATTAAAATGACTTTTAAGTAAATAATAGTCTCGAAAAATAAAATGGAATGGGTTATTAATTGCATGTAAATTATTTAAGCGAGCAAGCTAAAGATTATTAATCAGAAATTTCTTTAACTTAATTTCATAAAAACTTCATAAATAAGTAAGGTGCAAAGAGTTTTAGTTTTTTATAATCAGATAATATATATATAAAAGAAGATAATCATAAACCAATAAAAATAATCAAGCCAATTATAACTTTGAAAATATTTATAAGATTTTTTTTGTTATTTATAGTTAGTTTAATAATTTTTACTTATTTTTATGGGCCATATTAAAAATTACCTTAATTAAAAGAAAATTCAATTAGGATATTAAAAATATAAAATAGTATAATAAATACGATAAAAATATATAATAATATACTTAATTTATTGTTTTTATAAAATGGACAATATGATTAAATTTTTTAAAAATCAATATTTTGGACAAAGAAAGAATATTAATAATAATAAGAAGAGAGTTTTAAATAACTTTAAGTTTTCTTTTTAAAAATAAAATAAGATGAAGATTTTTTACAGATATTTTATGATAAAAGCTTAACTAAATTTTAACTTGTAGACAAATAAATTATTAACTAAAAATAAATTTTGATTAAAAATAATGTTTATTAATTAGACAGTTATGATTTGTTTAATCAATTTGTTTATTAAATATCGTAAATTGTAAAGTAAGATTCTTAAAGCCTAAATTCTAATTAAAATGAAATTTAATTTATTAGAAGTAACGTGTTCCCCTACTTGAATGCATAAATGGAATAATCGAGATCAAAATTAATAGATACTTAAGATTCTTCAGCAGATAATATTTATAGTTTTCTTATTATTATTATTATAATGATTTCTGTTATTGTTTTTATGTCTTTTTTAGTTTTATTTAGATAAATTATTGTTATCCTTAATGCTTTTGAGTCTATTTTTTATGTAAATTTATTTTTTATTTAATATTTATTAAATAATTTAATAAGGTTTTTACTAAAATAAATTAAAGTGATTTAACTAAAATAAAAAATTATAACATTAATATTCTAATGATTTTTAATTATATTACTTAAAAAGATGATATTTTATCTGGAGTTTATCCAATAAATTAATCAACTAATAAAATGAACATAAAAAATATAAATTGTTTAGATAATGAGTAAAAAAATAATGTAAATTTAATAGAGCCTTCAGATGGTAATTAAAATATAAATAAGAAATCAAAATACATAATAAATAAAAATTTCTTATCAAATATAAGATTAAATGCATTTTTGTTTTATACATTTTTTATAATTATTTTAGTGATTTTTAACTTCATATTTATATATAATATTGTCGTAGTAGCATAAAATATATAGAATTTTTTATAAAGTGATAATAATTTTATGGAAACAATAAATGAAAGCATAATAATGGTTATAGCAATTAAAGAAAAGACATATGATAAAAATAACTACAAAAATTTTTTAGAGCCTTAAATATTTTAAAAAATAATATAATTTCTATCGGAAATAAAACAAGCCAATATATAATAAATTAATTTTTCAAATTTTAGTTATTTGTTTGATTCGATTTACTATAATAATTTTTGTCAGAATTAAAATTTAAATATAATTTAAGAAACTAAATTTTAATAAGAATGCTAAAATGTAGCATTATAAAGTTTACAAAAAGGAATATACTCATTTACTTATTTTATGAAAATTGCTATTAGCAATTTTATTGTGGATGATGATATCGAAAATACTCCTTTAGATATGGAGACTATTTTTGAATATGACAGAGGAATTTTTTATGCTAATTAAGGTTCGTTTTATCTTGCTAATGCTTGGAGTAATGACACTTAATAGTATTTAGAAGATTAATTGCATTTTCTGACTTATTTCATGCCTATTATTCTTTTCATACTATTTATTTCGCATATTGTTTTAAGCGAGGTTTTACTAATTGGAAGAATTTAGAAAGAATATGAATATTTTAAGTTAGTTTTTAAAATGTATATGCCAGATAGTATTATTTTTAAAGAAAAAAGAATTAAATTTTGGTTAGTTAAAAATGGTATTTTAAAAAAATGATTTTTTTAATTTTATTAAATTTTTAAATTAATCTATATATTTAATTTTCAATTGTCTTAACTTTTTAAATTCTTTTAATTGTTTTCATAAAATAGTATAATACTACTTATTTATTTATAAAAAGAAAAATATTTTTGAAATATATTATTTTAAAGTTTAAAAAATAAATAAATATAAAATATTTATTTTTTAAAAATATTAAAAATAAAATAAGATTATTCTTTTTTTTTTTAAAAAATAAAATAAAATATCATATTTTATTTAATAAATTTTTACAATTTGACATTTTTAAAAAATTAAAAATATTAAAGTGAAAATAAAATTAATGAGAAAATTTTATTTCTTTTTTTCTTTTCTTTGTTAGTTTTTTTATCATTTGCTAATTAACATAATGATGATTATTTAAATCATCATAAAATTGAAGGCAAAAAAAATCATGAAAAACATATTGCAAAAGAAAGTCTTTCAGTTTTTTTTATATTTTTAAGCTTAACTGCAGGCGGAATTTTAAAAGAAATCAACAAACGTTTTTCAGTAAAAATTTATAATTATAAAAATAATATTTTTTTAATTTAAATTAGATACCTTACACTCCTATGCTTTTTATGGTTGGAATAATGGCTGGGTTTTGGTATGAAAATCTAGGTTTAATAGGAAGATCTGTTGAGACTGTAAGTTAAATAGATCCAGTAATTTAAAAATAAATAAAAAATCTTTATATGAAAATAAATAAAAGCATGGAATATTAATGATTTTCTTACCTGTTTTAATTTTCGAAAGTGGTTTTAATGCAGATTGGTATGTTTTTCGTAGATAATTTGGCTAAGTAAAATTGAAATATTATATAAAGAAATACTAAAAATATAAAAAAATAAAAAGAGATTTTCATTCTCGCTGTACCTTGTGTTATGTCAGGCGCTATTATTTTAATGTTTGCAGTAAATTAGTATTATAATATGAAGATGATTATTACACGTGGCCAGCTGCATTTATGTTCGGTTCAATTCTTTCATGTACAGATACAGTAGCAGTACTATCATTGTTAAAAGTAAATAAATTATAATTACAATATGAAAATATTAATAATAAATAGGAAATAGGTGCTCCTAAAAAATTTAATTCTTTAATTGAAGGTGAATCATTAATTAATGATGGAACATGTATGGTACTATTCTAAATATCTTCAATGGTTGTAAAAGGATAAACATATAGTTTAGATACAATTTTAGGATTATTTTTCACTTTAAGTATAGGAGGAGTCATATTAGGAATAATATTTGGATTTGTGAGTTCTTTTTGGATAAAAAGAATTTTTAATGATGAAATATTGGTAGTAAATATCACATTAATTAGTTGCTATATGGTTTTTTTCGTGGCTGAAAATCTTAATTATGGTATTAAAATTAGCGGTATTATAGCACTTGTAAGTCTAGGCCTTTTTATGGCTGCTTCAGGAAAAAAAAGAATTGCAAGTGAGGCTGATTAAGCTCTTTAGTCTTTTTGGAAATATATTGTTTATTCAGCAGAAACTGTTATCTTTGTTCTAGCAGGAGTTATTATTTCTGTAGAAATATCTAAATCTACAAATCTTATTCATGTTAATGATTATTATAAACTTATTGGATTATACTTTTGTATGGTTGCTGCCAGGTTTCTTGCTATTGCTGCTTTTATGAGATTTTTAAAAAAATGGGGCTACGGTTTAAATTGGAAAGAAGTCTACATTCTTACTTATGGAGGACTTAGAGGTGCTGTTGGTGTTTCTTTTGCTCTTATTGTTTCTAGAGATGATTAATTTTCAAATTAATTACGATAAATTGTACTTTTTGATATGGCTGGAAACGCTTTTTTAACTTTATTAAGTATATTATTTATTTTATATATATATATATATATATATTAGTTAATGGTACTACAACTGCTCCTCTTGTAAAGCTTTTGGGAATGTGTACTAGTTCAAAAATTAGAGACAAATTATTTTAAAATTTCTTGGAAAAAAAAATGATTTAGGACTTGTATGAATAATCCGAAAATCTTAAAGAAAGTAAATATTTATAAGATGCAGATTGGGATTAAGTAAAGAAATATTGTGGCGAAGACGAACTTAAAAAAATGATTAATAATCTAAAAAAAATAATAGAAAAAAACTAATTACAAGAAAAAGAAATGAAAACTTTTAAAGATAAAAATAAAACTGCATTATAATAATAGTAAATTTTACTTTTTATAGCTTTATATATATATTTTAAATATAAAAAAAAGACTTGTTTAAGATGTAGAAAAATAAGATGATGATTAGGATCAAAATTTTTGGGATGAAGATCATTTAGAATAAGAAGTAGTTATAGAAGTTAGAAATGTTTTTCTTAGGAGTTTAAAGGTTTTATATTTTTGTTAATATATATATAAAAAAAAATTAAAAAAAAGGCAACTTTTTGGAAATTATTTGACAAAAATCAATGCTCTGGTGAAAGTTTATTAAGATTAATTGAAACCGTAGATTGGGATTTAGATAATGAAGTATCCGAAATGCATACTTGGCAATGGTTAAAGAGATAAATTCACGAGAATTACATTAGCTTTTTATTTTAGATTAGAAATTATCTTTTAATAGGTCGTTTTGCAAAAAAAGAACTCTATAATTATATAGCTGAAATATATGATATGGTTTCTTCATTCATTGAAGCTCATGAAATTGTAGAAGAAAGTATTTGTTAAGTAATAAATTATTTTATTTATATTAATTACATACTATATAAGATGAAATTTGAAGAAAAATATGTTGCAGAAATACTTTTGGAATCAAATGAGAATAAAAAGCAAGCAGAAAATTATTTATATAATTATTTGGATGTAAGTTTTCCTGAAATAAGTAAATCCATTAGGACAAAAAAAGCTGCTTATAATCTTCTTGAATTTTAGAAAGGTATATTTACTAAATTATTTAGAAAAATATATATATTTTATATAGATATTATTCAAACAAATGCTGAATCAGGATAATTAGACGAAAAAGAATATTACTAATTAAAAAAAAAAGTAGATTAAAATATAATTAATCTAAATAATTATACACCTTCTTGGGTAATTAAAAAATTAAAATTCCTTTTAAATATTAATTAAATAAAAAAGGCTGTTCCAAAATTAAAATAAATTTTAGAAAACCTTTAATTTTTCTAATTAATTCCTAAAAACCCTAATAGCAAAGTCGATACATTAGATGAATTAGTAAAAGAAGCTAAAGAGGAAATATTTTAAAAAGATAATTTTGTTTTTAAAGTAGAACAAATTTAATAAAAGAAAAATATTCATAAAAATATTTTTATAAAAAAAGTAAGGAGATAGAGCTACTTGTTTATATATAATCACTAGAGGGGCAGGAACTGAATTTTCAGAAGGAGAAAATGGAAATATTCGTTAAAAAAGAGGAGTTGGTCATATACTTCCTATATAATAATTAGCAACAACTAACAATCGATATTTAACAAGTAAAAACAAAAATATATATAAAAAAATAAATAAAAAATAAAAAAGGCTTTTAAGCTGATTGTATAATGTATACAAGTAGTATTAATTTATAATCAATAATTCATTTAGCAAAAAAATTACCAGAATTAGAAAATTTCATAATAAAAGAGAGTTTACCTTCCTTATGCAAAATATTTTTTAACTAATTTAATCCTTTAAGCTATTTAGATAAATAAATAATAGAAGAAATTTTGAATGATGTTACAATTTAAAGATATAGAAAAGATGCAGTCGTAAATTTGCCAAATGGAGCAATCTTAGCAAAAGGTATAATTTTTTTAAATATGAAACTAATTATAATATTTATTTTTTAAGGGGAATTATAATTATAAAACGTTTATCATGAAGAAGATTAACCAAATAAATAATCAGTAGATTCACATATGTAATAATGTTAATAAATTGGTACAGAAAAACATTTATCTAGTTAAGCCGATATGGAACCACCGTAAAAATTAGATTATGAAGCGTTTTCTGTTATTTTACCAAATAAAAACTTTCATTAATTTTAAGTTTTAAAAAATTGTATATTAGTAGAGTTTGATTAATAGGATTAAATTAAAGATTATTTATAAATTTCAAAATAATAATAAGGAGAGAAACGAATAACTAGTATTAAGAGAATGATGAATAGAATTTCTTCAATAAGAAAAAATACAATTAATAAATGATTATAAACTATTATTTAAATTATTATTATATTTTATAAAAAAGCTACATAAATACATAAATTTATTAATATAAGTTATTACATATGATATTTTTGCTAAAATATATGTTTTTTAATCTTTTTTTTATTTTATTTTATTTTGTTAAAAATAATTTATTTTGTTGTTATTTCTTTTATTATTTTATCATTTTAGATTTATAAAAAATAATTATCAAATTTGTTTAATATATAATAATTATAAAATATAAAATTTATTTTTCTATATAATACATAAAATATTATTTATGTATAAATAAATAAATAAAGATTGGAAATTGTTTTTCATTTTTTTCCGAAATTCTTTAGTTAATCTTATAAAAATTATTTTTTAACTCTATTGTTATTAGGTCTTAAATAATTTTTATGATTTAATTTATCCAAAATATCATCGAAATTTTCATATTATTAATTTAATGTTTTAGCTTTAACTACATCTTATCTCTTATTCTAATTAAAATAATTAAGTCCAATTTAATTCATATAAGATTTAAATTATTCTTATATTTTCCTTAAGTTTGTATTTAATTCTTTAGTCTCTTCTTAACTTTTGATTTATAAATACTTTTTATCAAGCAAATAATTGTTTTAAATTTATGCTTTTTCTTAATTAAACTCTTCAAAAATGCGGTTTATTGAATTTTTTTTTTATATAAAAGGCGATAATACTTTAAAGCCTAGATAAGATTATCTTTGTTTTTGATTTGATTAAGGACTAAAATATCTCTAAGGTTGAAAGACTTTTTGTTTGGTTTGATTTTTTTAATATTTATTTAAGGGCGATTTATTTAAATTTTTTGAAGCTGGTAAATAATTTGAAGAAATTTATTTAGATATTAAATTTGGCTTTATTTTGAATTTATAATCTTTTCTGAAATTTTATTATAAAATGTTTTTTACATTTTATAATTTTTGCGAACCAAATTACTTATTTTAAGCTTAAATCATTTTTTCAAATATAAATACTCTTTAATTGAATATTATTTATTTCGTTTATTTATATTTTATTTAAAAAATATTTATTTAAATGCTTTTCTAGGGTATACTTTTTTTATAAAAATTATTTATAAAATATAATTAATTAATTTTGTTTTAGATAGTAAATAAAATATTGTATTAAATTAATAAATTTTATAAAATAAATTATTAAAACTTAAAATGAAGTAATTTTATATATAATCAAAGATCAACGAATATAATTTATAATAAAATATTAATAAAAAGCATATAAAATTCAGAATTTTATGAAATAGAAAATATAATATTTAAAACATATAAATACAAACATCATTCACCTAAAAAAAGTATTAAAATATTAGAACCTTGAAATAAATAACATTAATTATTTTTAAGGAATAAAATTTAAAATTAATAATTATCATAATTAAAATTATAAAATTAAAATGAAAAAAATAAATATTTAACTCAAAATTATAATAATGATAAAAGTTAAATTAATAATTCTTTTTAATAGAAAAAGAAAGAATAATTATATATTAAAGTTAAGAAATCAACAAACAAAATTACAAAAGAAGTAAAATTAGATTTTTCAAATTAAATACGATTAATAAAAATAAAAAATATTTAATAAAAAGCTCGTTCAGCAAGTAATATATCAAATACATAATAACCTAAGTTAATGCTTTAAATAAGCAATATACAGAAAATGTAAAGTTTATAGACCGAAAAATCATTAAAAAATAATTAAAGTTAAACATAAATAATATAAAAATTAAATTAAACTTTTTCATATGATCAAATTAACATATCTCAATTTATGATTGTGGGTAGTTTGGGAAAAGGTATATATTTTTTGTTTATTAGTTAAACAACTTATTAAATAAATAAAAAATCAAAAGGATCTAATACAAATGTAAAGCTTGCAATGAATAAACAAACTGGAATGTATTATGCTTTGAAAATTTATTAAATAAATATTTAGTTAGATTTGTAAAAAATTAGAAATATAAAAAGAAAAATACAAATATTATAAAGAATTAGTCATCCAAACATAATATAAATGTCTTATTTTTTTTAGGATTAAACATAAGTATATTTTATATATATTTTTTATTTTAAAACTAAATAAAGATAGTTTTAGTAATGGAATTTTTCTCTAAATTATCTTTAAAAGAATTCTTAAAAAAACGAAAAGAACATAAAATTAGCGAAAATGATGCAAAGTTAATTTTTAAATAATTACTGAATGGATTAGACTATTTACATAATAAAAATATTATTCATAGAGATATTAAACTTGAGAATATATTAATTTAAGAATAAACGAAAAAGGTAGCGTATATAGATTTTGGATTCAGTATATATACCTCTTAAAAACTTAAAGTTTTTTGTGGGACACCTAATTATATAGCACCTGAAATATTACATATTCAAATTTTTTTCTTTTCTTATTTCTGTATTTTTTTAAAAAAACTCAACAAAAAAAAAGTGATTATCTGTTTTTTTATTTTTTTTCGTCTTTTCTTTTTTTTATTGGGTTTTTTAGAAAAAAAAATTAGAAAAAAAAATAAAAAATACAATATGAACAAATAGTAGTTTCAAAGATAGAATATTGTGGAAAAAAAGCTGATGTTTGGGCATTAGGGGTACTTTTATACGTCTTAATAACTGGACAATATCCTTTTAAAGCAAGCTCTGATAATGAATTATATAAAAAAATTAAAAGCTGTAAATATACTTAATCTTATAATATTAGTATTTAAGCGAATAACATATTGACTAAGATTTTTAAAATTAATCCAAACCAAAGGCCTGATTATAGATAAATTTTATAAGAACCCTGGTTTAATTGTTGAAATAAATTATTAATATTTATTAAAAATTATATTATTATTTTTAAAATATTACTTATTTTGATGTTTTTTTTATTTTATTGTAATATTTACAAAAATAATATATAAACTTTAAAATATTTATTTATATAAAAAAATTCTTTTTTAATTTTTTATTTAAAAAATAATAAAAAATCCATATATAGTTATTAATAAATAAAGTTTTCTTACTTAGTTTGAATATTAATTTATAAATTACTATTTATGTTTTTATTTTTTAATAATTGTTATAATGAAAAAGTTAATAATAATAATATTTATTAAACAGCTTTTAATAAATTTTTAATTAAAATGATATTAAATAATATTATCATAATTGTTAAATATTCTATACAAAATCAAATTTTACAATGGTTATTTAATATATGTTTTGTTATTAATCTTTTATTTTATTTTTTGGATATAAAAAATATAATTATTTAAAAATAGTTAATTTAATAAATAAAAAAAAACGAAGATTGTATAATTTATACAAAACAAACTTATTTTAGATAAAATAAAAGATTAATAAAGTATAAAAAAATTAATAAAACTTAAAAAAAGAAGTAATTTAATAATTTTTAAATTAAATAAACAAAAACTATGAAAAAAATAATAAATAAATTGGAATTTCGTATAAAATTAATAAAATTAAATTAGAAAAGAAAATTTTAGACGATTATTTGAAATAAAAAAAAATCCTAAATTAAAACTCAAAGTGTTTTCAAAATAACAGTTAAGTTAATAAAAAGTAGTATAAATTGTAATGATATATAATTTTCGTATTTAACACATAAAAATTATACAGAAAACATATTAGAGGTGATTGTGATAATCTATAAAATTAAATTTATAAAAATAAATTATTAATAAGATTTTTAAAGGTTATAAAGTTTAAAAAACAATTAAGAAAAAATTAAATTTCAGTTAATATTAAAAAAAAAATCGATACATTATTATTTGTTTTATTCAGATAATGTATCTTGATTTTTTATATATTTTATTTTTTAAATATAAATAATAAAATTAAATTTATTTTTAATTTATTTTTGTTTCAATAATATTTTGTATTAATATTATTATTATGCTTCTTAAAGAATATTTTTTATTTTAAATTCATTTTTTAACTACTTAATGTAAAATCTTCTTTGTCCTCAAAATCTTAAGCTTATTACAAAGAATTTTTACTAATAGATTTATTATTATAATTTTCAGCTAATAAATCATTTACACTATAACCAAATATAATCTTATTAAAAATCTTATTTTTAATTTTATTTTCATACATTGCTTTTAAACTATTTTTAAGAGATATTTTTTTTTATTTAGACCCTAATTAGAATTCTTCAATCTTCTAAGTTTCTTTTTTTATTATTAATCGTTTTGTTAGTTACTTTGTTTTAATATTTTCGGAACTATTATTTATTATTAACATTCTAATTATTAATTATATAATAATTGTCCTTTATATAAATTAAAATTAAATATAATATTTTTATTAAAATTGCTTTAAATTTCTATATTTTAAGAAATGTTCTTTTTTTAATCTTAAAATGAACTTAAAAAAATTTATTTTCTATTTTTTAAAATATTAGGAATATATTAGGAGCCAACTTTCCAAATTTTTTTTAACAAATATTTATCTTGAATTTTATTAGTATTTCCTTATAGAGTAGCATAATTTATTTTTTCATTATATTAATTAACATTTTAATCAAGATTAATTTTCCTAAGTATTTTAATTCCTTTTTTATTCTCGTCAATTTTCATTTTTAACGGTCACAGTATTTGTAAATTATGATTTATATTATTTAATGGGCTTTTACTTTTTTTTAATTCAGAAAAATATTAAACTCCTTAATCTTAGTAATAACCTAGATTATTATTTGACATTGTTAAACTTTTCTCATCTTCACATTTTTCATCTAAACCTTATAAAGAAATTATTTATTCTAGTTTATGGTATTTCAATTATTTTTTAGATTACTCCTCGAAAATTTAACTTATTTAAAATGACTATTGGCATTATTAGGATTGTTTTTTAAAAAATAATTTAAAAAAATATTTTATTTTATTTACAATTTATTTTTAAGAATTGCTTTTATTATTACTTATCAAACTTTATTCTAATATTTATGTTTTATCTGTATTTGAAATTGTCTTTTAAGTATTCTCATTTAGTTTTACACCTGCATATGAAAATTCAGGAATTTGAAATTACTCATAAGTAGTGTTTTTTAATGTGAAAAATACAGTTGCAATATTTAATTTTACTTACTTATATACTCTATCTAAATAATTTTGTAACTTTTTTTAATTCGGTTATTCAAAGCCTTTATAAGTTATTTATTATTTCCAATTAAAAAAATCAATAATTGATCTGTAAAACATTTATATAATTTTTGCATGATTAGAATTGATAAAATTATCACTTTTTGTTTTTTCTTTAATATATTATTTTAAATCTTTTTTTAATTTTTATTATATTTTAAATTCATATCTTAATTATTTTAATCTTTTTGTTAATGACTTTATAAGTTTATTTTATTTAAAAAAAGATCAATATATTTTAATATTTTTTACTTATTAAAGTGAAGATATTTAATTATATACTGTATTATACATCAAAGGTACTACCTTTACTAAAAAAAATTCTTTCGTATCTATCGATCTTATGTGATCTTTCATTATAAGTTTTTCATAATCAACAATCTTTTGAGTTATATCATTAATTTAATTTCTTATTTCCATAATTTGTATTATCTTTTCATAATTAACTTTAATCACAAAGTAAATAGTTAAAAAAAATTCATTAATATTTTAAATAAACTTTTTTAATTAAAAATAAAAATAAATACATTAAGATATATATATGTATAATTTTTTTGAAAAATAAACCTTTTATTTTTACTCTTCTTATATTAAATATTTTGAATTATTAATTTAATTGATTTCATCACAAATTAATATAGATTCTTTCTACATATTTTTTAAAAAATAAATTTCATCTTAAAATGATTATTTAATTCCAACAACTTCTTTATTTTAAAATACCTAACTTCTTGATTTAAACGCCCATTAAATTTCTCTAACAGTTCTCATAGTATACTTTATATTTAAAAACACAAAATTAAAAAAAAATGAAAACAAAATAAATACTTCTAAATGTCCTTAGTAAGGTGAAATAGTTCCAATAATAGTCGTTTTAGCTTTTCCTCCTAAAAACTCTTTAAAAAAAGAAGTAAAGAAGGATTAGTCATAATCTACAAAAGAAGTTTACTTATTATTGGTATTAGCTTCACAAATATTTCTAAGTACATTGTTTAAAGAAAGCATTGCGTTATTAACACCTTTACAATTAATTCTATCTAAAGGTTAATATGATTCAGTATCGATCAAATAAAAATCTGCTTGAGTTTCTACTTCTTGTCTTCCCATATCTGTGTTTTGAAATTGTCGCGAAAGAATAGTGAATTTGATAATGAAAATCTGTTTTTCTAATTAGCTTTTAAAAAGAGTAAAGGCTTATGAAAAATCCTCAAATTTAATAATAATTATCAAAAAATCACTTTATATTTACTCTATTGATGTCTCTTTTTCCGTTATTCTTTAGTGCCACCTTTAAAAGTGTTAGATATTATAACATATCATCGCATCTTGTTTGGCTCAAACCTGGCAAAAATTACCCCTATTGTGTACTTTGTGTGTTATTTGTTCACCTGAATATGCTAAAGATCTTAAAAACAATTCGTAAATCCAAAAAAACTTACATATATTGTTGATATTGGATATACCTTATCTTTTTGTTGAAAAATTGTCCTTGGAATTATAAATGCTAAACCTTTTTTTTTTTTTCCTTTGTGTAGAATTTTTTAAATTTATCTAATAATATACCTGGATCTGATACGTTTCCTAATAATGTGTGTGTTTTTCCTGAATCACTTCCTCCTATTATAAATATTGCTTAGTTTATTCCTTTAAAGGTGTCATTTATTAAATCTACTATTCCGTATTGAAATAACATGTTTGTTTTGGCTGCTGCTGGCAATATTTTAGAACATCTATCAAACATTATTTATATTTAAAAAATTGAAAATAAAACCTGTATAGCTTCTCTTTGGTTATTTATTTTTCTAGTTCATGCTTAAATATTAATGATTATCTGTCTAAAACTTCTATAGTATGTTCTTCATTTTTCTATGATTCTGGAAGAAATAATGGACGAACTCTTAGAATTGATTAAAATTATTCTTTGCCAGAGATATAGTTTTTTTGAATAGAATTTTGTTCGTTATTTATCAAAGATTCTTGATTTTTTTTAGTTTGTCGATTTATGTATTTTGATAATATTTTCATTTATTTAATTTATAATTTATTTTAATAGAAAATATATTTATTAAATTTTTATTTTATAAAATTCTATGCATGATTTTTTAAGAATTTTTAAAATATATACATAATAATTTATTGAATTTTTTTTTTATTTTCAGTTATATTATAAAATATAAATGCAAATTATTCAAAATAATATTATTTAAAACGCAACAAAATAGTAAATATGTAGAAAAAAAAAAATCTTATTAGAATTCTTCTTTTTAAGTCTTTTAAGAATCATAATTTTTTGAAAATTTTTAAAAATAAATAATTTGTAATATTATTTTTTACTTATTTTAATATTGCAATGTTCATATATTTAAATTCAATAAAACTTTATAAAAATTATTTAAATTTTCCAATTATTCTAATTTTGTATCAATATAATATTAATCTTACATCGAAATAAAATTATTAATTAAAAATCCATTCATAATTTTAGCAAAAACATCTTCATCATATAAATAGCTAATCTAGCTATATTTTTATATTAATTCTTATTTTTTATTATCATCAATGCTTTCTTCTAAAGGATAACAATTTAAATAATCAATCAAAACAACTCTTTAGAAGCTAAGATCTTATCCAAAAGCTAAAATAGAAGAAGGGAAAGGATGAATTTTATTATTTAGTACAATATATTTTTTTTCGCCATAAATTTAATATAATATGAAAACAATAGCACAAGGATTTTTTTAATTTTATATTAAGAAAGCATTTTACTTTTAATAAACAAAACATGGTTAATTATAAAATTTAGCAAAGTTTAAGATATAATTAAATTAATTACAAATAACAAATAATTATTAAAGTCTTTAGTCGAAAATTAATTTAAATTAAATTTTATGATTTGTATTCAAATTTTAATAATCAAATATGCTTTGTTCTATAAATTATTCACTTTAACATAAATAGTCGTTACCAGTAGTAATTAAAATAGACTTATTAGAAGTATAAGCAAAAAAATATTAACCATCTGAGAATTATTCGAAATGCAAAACCTTGGTTAAAACTTCATTTTGACTTTAAAATATGTTCTAATAAATTATCCCATTATTTTATTTTATATTATAAACTGTAAACTATTCACAAGTAGCTATTAATATTTCTTCATTGTTAATAAAGTTTCCAAAATCTCCTCTAAAAGTTTATAATAAATTCCCATTGTTTTAATATAAAAATATTTAATAAAAATTTGTAATCACTAAAAAATATGATAAAGATTTGCTAAAAATAACTTGATTTATTTTAAGATTATCGTTTACTTTTATTTCATATGTTGGCTCATTATAAGGTTATCCAAAAATAAAATATTATATCTTATTTTCAAAAACTATTACTATAAAGTTATTTACATTTATTATTTGCTATATCCATTCTTTAAATTCAAATATTATATCACCATTATTTATATTTTCTAAAATTGTTTAGTACACTTATGAGTATATTTGCTTATCTTCTTTTAATTAATTAATACAAATTAGTAATTTTTTTTGTTCTGGAAAATATTCTGATAAATGTACTGATAGTTAATTTGATATTTTTTTATTTAAATAGATTTTTCCTTTAGTTAATAAATATTATTTATAATTTATATCGTTTTAGGCATTTTATATTTTTATATGAAAAGGATCATATAAAAAATTTCTATATTCATACAAATCTAAGTATTATTTTGCTTATTTTAAATTTTTATATTACTATAATTATTAATAATCGTTTTCATATTTTTTTATTAATGCATTTTCTTTTTATTTTACTAATATTTCTTACTCATTTTTAGAAGGAGGTTGGTAGTAAAATTGATCTTTTAAAAATGGCAATTAATAATTATAAGGGTTAAAATTAAGTCTCTTTAAAAAAACATTACTTATTTTTTGATTTTGTAGTGTGTTTTATTGCTTATTTTGTTCTATAATTTGTTATTTAGTATTTTATTAAACATTTTATTTACTTTCGTATAAATTTTATTAAAATAAATTTGGTATATTTCCTATATCATTTTATTATTAGTTATTTATTCCAATAAACATTTTCTAATTTTTGATTAAAGAAATATTTATTTTCCTTGTATTTAATAAATAATTTTTTAAATTATTGTTTTTTAATTTAGATTAAAAAAAGATATTTTGATTATTAAATTATTTTCCCTTTCAAATTAAAAGAGATTTATTATTTTTTTGAAATAAATAAATAAAATAAATATTATCAAATAAAGTTTTTTAATTAGAAAATAATTAATTTATATAACATGTTTTGAATTTTAAAATAAATTTTCTATATAAAAAAATATATTTTTTTTAATAAATAATTTTGTTTCAGTTATTATCAGTTTATTCTTAATTTATATATTCGCTATCATTTTTCTATATTTTATCAAATTATTAAATTTTACCAAAATCATCATGCATATCATTATTAATTTCGTCTTATTATTAATGAATATCATTTTAAGGGATAGGAAATACTTTGTTGCTTTGTTTTTTTTCTATCCAATCATTAGGATTGAAATTATCTGGAACAATCATATGTGGTTCAAAAATAATATCATCTTAAATGAAAGTCCATAGAATAGTAAAACAATAACCCAATACAAATATATATAAAAGCACAATAAGTGATATAGAAGTAATTCTTTGAGTAGATTATAGTGTATTTTCATCTATTGCAAAGAATTAGATGGCTAAAAAAACAATAAGAAACATTTCCGAAGCAACTTCTTTTAATTTAATAAAGGGAAAATGAAAAGGATTGAGTGTAAAAACTAAAATAATGTTTAATAGCCTACAGAAAATGCACATAAAAATCTATATTGTTGGGAATTCATATAAAAATAAAATAAAAATGACATAAAGAATTTTCAAAAAGTAAGGAAAAAATATATAAACTCTTGCTTTTAGAATATCAAATTAAATTCCATCAAAAATACATTTAAATTTTTCAAAGTAATCAGTTCTCTAACTTATATTTTTATAAAGTATTACTTTTTTAAACAAAAAAAATGTGATGAAAATTAAAAAAATCATAAATAATACGCAAATAGAAAAACTAGCTATTTCTAATTAATTTGAAAAGAAGGAGTTTTATTAAAAAAAGGCAAAAAAACTAACTAAAAAATAATAAAAAAGCCATTCAAACATTCTTAAATATCCACTAAACTTCATATGTTTATGAAAGCTTTCAGATAAATAGTTAACTTTTTCATTTTTAACTACTTTTAAAATTATATAATTTAGAATTTGTATAAAAAACATGATTGCGAATATCAAAAGGGCAGTACCAAAAGCATTTTAAAGGAAATTTAAATTAAGTATTTCTTATCTTACAAAAATATAATTATTAATTTACTCGTTAGAAATTATTTTATTATTTCCAGCTTTTATCAATGGATTATACATGGCTCTCATATTATATATTAAATCTATATAAAAGAACATTTTTTAAGCTAATATGTCATGTCGAACATTCAAAAATCTCAAAAGTCCAATACTTTGAAGAATCTCGACAAATTTATAAATCCTTCCTTACCCAAAATTATAAATGTAGCCAATAGAAACCCCAGTTATAGCCAAAAGGGATAATACAACAAATGAAATGGCAACACTTTCCGCTTATTTAACTTCGTCTGATGTATATTTTATAAAATAAGACATATCACTTTATACAGGTTTAAAGTTTCCATCCCATTAATATCCATGAGCATCAGTGACAATAGATTAGAAGTATTCCCCAAAATTAAGTGCGATTTTTTTATTTCGAATTGTGTTTTAGAATTAAAATTCAACTCGAATGGTATTGTTAGAGATGAAAAAAGCTGTATAATTGTAAAGTTTTTGATTTAAGTTTTCTATTTTTAATTATATGTCAATTACAGAATCCAACTTAGAAGGCTTTTTTTTCAAAATTCTTTCAAAAACTATATACATATTAGAATATGATGTTTTCGATTATTTTAAATAAACTAAAGTCATTCTATTTTCAAAACATTAAAAAGGACCTTCATTTTTTAATAATTTACATTTAAATCCTGTTTCTATTTTACATTCAGAGCTACATCCATCTCCATTCGTATTATTACCGTCATCACATTCTTCTTTTAAATGATAGTATCCATCTCCACATGCTTCTCGAATTTCTAAGCAAGCGTCTTTTTCAGGATAATAACCTAAAGTACATTTCGTACATAATTTTTCTTCGAAAGTACATTATAAGCATTTTGAATCCATATTACATAATTCACAACTACCTGTTTTTTTTTCTAAATAATACAAATCAGTACATTCAAAACAATCACTTTCTGAACCACAAATGGCGCATGGAAATTTACATATTTTACATTCTAGTCCAATTAAAGGGTTCAAAAAAGAAAAAGAGCCTTCCGGACAATAATTTTCGTAACATTTTCCTTTATGAAGAAGGTAGTTTTGATAACATCTCAGACACGACTTTTCTTTAGAGGAAGAACATGTTTAACAGTTTTTCTCTTTGCATTCAATGCATTATTAATTTAAGAGATTTGGATAAAAGCTTTAAGGGCATGATTATTAACATTAATTAGTTCTTTAATTCATGAAGTTACCAGGAAGACATTAAATGCAATTTTCAATAGCCTTTCCGTTGCATCTTGCACAGTTTTATACGCACTTAAAGCAATTATCACGACCTCCTTCAACAAAATTTTCACAACCAAATCCTAATTCTATAGTACAGAATTCAGAGCAACCATCAAAGTTGTTTGTATTTTCATCATCACATTCTTCATTTTAATCTCTTTGTCCATTACCGCATTTATTCTCACATATAGATGGGCTTTCTTGAAAAACATCTAAGGAAGGAGTACAAACATAATTTCTTTCAATTTAACAATTCTAATCACATCCATCCCCAGCAATTGTATTACCGTCATCACATTCTTCGTATTTTACTTTTATTCCATCTCCACATATAATTTTGCATTTGTCTGCTGTTTTTGTGGTTCCTCCTTTACATTCATATCCTTTTGTTATTTAGCAAGTTTAACAGCCTAAACTTTGCTTTTCATCATCGCATTATTCTGTAGAATGCCTTCTACCATCTCCACATATTGCTAAAAGAGCTGTACATATGTCTTTACTTGTAATTGAACCATTTTCACAATAATAATCCTATTCGATTTCGCAATCTGATGAACAACCGTCACCACTTAATGTGTTACCGTCATCACATTCTTCTCCTATGTCTCTTACACCATTTCCACACTTTTTTTTATTATTATTAATTAAAAAAAATTATTTACCAATTTTGTACAAACGTCATTTGAAGTATTTGATCCTCCAGTACATGAATAGCCAATTGTTATTTTACAATTTTAACAACCAGCTTAACTTATTGCATTTGCAGATGGACCGACATCACATTATTCATATTAATCTCTTTTTAAGTCACCACATAATTTTACACATGTGCCTATGCCAAAACCAATACATTCTTTTAAGTATAATTGTGTAAATTAAATTTTCTATAATTTTTATTTTACAAAATCCTATATCGACAGTGCAATTTGTACATCCGTCTCCTGCTATTTAATTTCCATCATCACACTCCTTTAAATATATTTATATATAGTATTCAAACAAAAAAAACCTCAAAAGAATCTTATATTCCGTTTCCACATAATTTAATGCAAGTATCGCTAGTAGTAGGTGTACCTCCAGTACATTAATAACCTGGATCAATAATACAGTTAGTGCATCCATCATTATTTATATAGTTACCATCATCACATTCTTCATCTAAAATAAATAAATAAAAAAAAATTATTTTAATGAAATTTTTTACCTACTGTTCTTTTACCATTACCACATTTTAAAGTACAAACACTAGGAGGAGTTGAATTATCGCAAACATATCCAAAATCAATTTAGCAATTAGTACATCCATCATTATCATTAAAATTTTAATCATCACAATTCTCACCTATATCCATATTTCCATTGCCACATAAAGTACATGTTTAAGTTTTTGTATTTCCAACTTTAGTAGCAGTACAAGTAGCAACACACATATTAGAAGATTCTATAAAATAATTTGCAGTACAAGCTGTACAATTAATAGTATCAGTAACAGGAAGCGGAGAAACAGCTGTTGAAAAAGCTCCTGTGCATTTTTAGCAAGCAGCATCACATAACGAGCAGGTTCTAAAAGGCGTATTATTCATACCATACAAAGAACTTGGACATGAAGAAAAACATTATCCGTTTTATTCAAAATAAGTATATGAACATCTCAAGCATTAAATATAACCAAAAGTTGCAAAAGTTGAGCTACAATTCTACATACAATCAGTATTTATATTTCCTATAAAAAGTTAAAATCCTTCAATTAACTTAAGATGTGAAATATATATTTTTCCAGTAAAGTCGTTAGAACTGGAACCTATTTAAGTTGATACTTATTCGGTTTCATCCCAAAAGTTATCTGTACCTACACTATAATAAATATAGCCACTTGTCTTTCCTCCGCTATAATCCACTTTTAGTACATATTTTTCGTTATATCCAAAGCCTGAGTCAGGCAATGCTAAAGATATTTACACTTAAAAAGGAGTGTTTCCGATAGTAAAATTTATGGAATCATCTGAATATTGATTATTATTTAATTTTATTTTAATCGAAAATGCTTTAGGATTTGATAATGGTATATATACTAATACTTAAAATAAAGTTTTTTTTGTTAACTTTGAAAATAAAACTAATTCGCCACTATTTATTTAAAAGCCAGTAGGTATTATTATCCAAAAAGAAATAACAAAAGCCTTTTTATTTTATAATAATAAAAATTTAATTTTTTTAATTTACTTTTTAATTATTCCAAGCAAAGTCATTTATACTTAAAAATACTGATTTTTCTAATTCCAATCCTTTTTATGGAGTAATAGCTAATGATTTAATATCTAAATCATTTTTTTAAAGTTTATTTCCAAAATCTGATACTATTTGACTATTTGCAACTTCAAATCTATAATAAAATAATTATTAAAATTTAAGTTAATTATCAACCAAGGCATAGTTATACCATTAAAGTTCATTCTAAAAAGAATATTAAGGAAAGTAAATAAATTTATCTATACTTCCACAAAATCTTTTATAATTACCCCAATATAGTATTTATAAAAGCGTACTTGCGTCAAAATTAGAATGAAAACCTGAACCTAATGAGATTCTTAATGTTTTTAAAACTAAATCTTTGCTAGGTTACCAAGCGAAAAAACTTATGTACCCTGTATCTAATTCATATGATATTCCAATGAAAAACCAACTTCCAACTTAATAATTAAAAGCTTAATTATAAATATATGAACGAGAACCTATATTTTTTATATTTAAATAAATAAAAATAATTATTTAATAAAATATTTTTAGTATTTTTATATACTTGAGGTTGAGTATTATACCATTATCTAATAATTTGAAGAATCTAATGTATAATAAAGTCCTAATCTTATTCCTTTATTTGTTAAAGGAGTTATGTCTTAACTGTCTTATGTAATTCGAAAAATATTATTTTCTGTTTAAGAACCTATTTAAGTTGAAGGTTTTACCCACGTGGTTATTGTAAAACTTGAAATGGTATTTAATTTTATTTAGGTCGCACTTCTTATTATATAATCACTTGAAGTTGAATCCTCAGAACATTTACCTACTACTAATGAATTTAAAATTATTTGAGGAGGTTCAACAGAACATACTTGCATTGATATTTTTTTTATGTTTATTGAAAATATGATTAAAAATAGAATTATTGATTAAGAATAAATCATTTTATTTATTAGATTTTAAAGAATGTGTAGTTTAAGATTTTTCGTTTTCTATTTAAGCTTTTCTTCTATTTAAAATTAAGAAATAAAATATAATGATATTAGTATTGAATATTTATTTTAAAAATTAAAATTTGTTGATATTTAATAATGATTTATATTATAATTATTTTATTTCTAATTTTAACATTCTATTTTGACAAAGATTTTTTTTTTTTATTAAATATAATTATTAAAGCAATTAAAGAAAAGTTTATTTTTTAAATATAAATTTTAATAAACAAATATATTGACAAAAAAATAATATATTCAAATTTTAAAATATATTAAATTCTATTTACTTAGTAATAAAAACATTAAATTATAAAAATATGTATATTTATTTAAAAAAGTAATTAAATATAATTTATATTTTCTTCTTAAAATTAAAAATCAAATTTATAAATTAATATCTAATTTTAGTTATGAATTAGAATTTAAGTCTTAAAAACTATAAAAATTATTTAATTTTAAAACATTATCAGTCTAAATTTTCTTTATAAAGGCAAAATTAATCACATTAGCTATTTTTAACAGATAACTAGTTATCTTCATAAAACTAAAGTTATTTCTGAAATTAAGGAATTGAGCTTTATTTTTAATTTTTAATATTATTTTATTAATTATTTGAATCTTTAAGAGGAACGAAGTTTTTTTTCAATATTAAATATTCAGATGCAATTTAAATATTATTTAAACAAAATCCAACTTTACTTTACATATCAGCTTTAAGTAAAAAAAAGGAAATTAACTTTAAATGAGTACATAAATTAACAACTTTACTCTTAATAATTATATATGTGAGTATATTTAAAACATCATCTGTTGCTATACAAATTTAATTTACTTTATTAAAATTTATTTCCCAAAACTAATTTATACATTTTTCTATTGATTAAATACATTAAATTAATAATTTCATTTTTATTATAGGACTTTTAATAAATTAAATAAGTTTAATTTTTTTTATTATTTTCCAATATGGCAATTAAAATGTATTTTTTATTTTTAAATTTTCATCTATATTATCTTTTTATTAATTATACATATTCTAAAACCATTCTTTTGTTTTAAAATTCAAGCAAAAAGCATCTTTGACTTCTGAATCTTGAGGTTAATATTTATCTTCTTGATCAATACAAATTAACTTTTATTAAAATTCTTCAATTTTTTATTTATGAAACAAATTTATTAACTCAAAACTAATTGAATAAATGAATTCATCCTAAAAAATATAATGAATAGTGAAATACCATAAATTTTAATAATTTAAAAGAACAGAATGTTTAGTTTTAATGTTGATAATATCATAAAAAAACATCAAACAATTTAAATAGAAAAATGTAAATTAATAAATATCAAAAAGCATTTCATCAATTTATTTTTCATTTAATTTATTTTAACATTCCAACTATTTATATTCTTTTAAAATTTTATCGTACTTTTTAACAAAATAAATCCTATAAATTTTAAATATTATTCTTAAAGGATTATGTCTATTTTTTAATTATTTTATTAAAAAAGATATTATTATTTTATAAAAACTTATATTTTTAATATTATCAAAATTTATATTTTCATTCATTTATTAAATTAACTTATCTTCATTTTCTTAATAAATATTTCTATTTTTTTAATAAGTCTGCATTTATTTTTAATAATCATATAATATAGTATTTATTTAACTTCTAAATTAACTTTTATTTAAATTACTTATACAAAATTTCTAATATTCATTATCATAATCAATAAATAAAGGCAATTAATCAAACTCATTTTATTTACTTTTACTTTCCTACGATTTTTAGCAAGAATTTTTGTTTTCATCCTATAAAAAAGATTTTTTTTATGTATAAACTAAATAATCTATTTCTTTCATACTTTCTTATAAATATAATATATATTTTTTCTTTAATTTATATAAAACTTACATATTTAAACTTAAATTAACATCAATTGGCTTTTCTAATATTAATAAACTTTAACATCTTATATCATTAATTATATTAAATCATATACTTTGTTTGCCCATTTATATTCAGGATTTTTGTTTTTAAGTAATAAAGATTCCTGTTGTGCATATGATTACCATAAAGTTAATGTTTTTACTAATTTTTTTGTTTTTAATATTTTAGAAAATAAAAGTTACAATTGTTATTTTTTATTTATGATAATATTTCTAATTTATTTTAATTTTAATACATTATTTTCGTATATATTATCATGTTAAAATATGGAATTGTTTATAATGTAATTATTTATTTTATTATTCGCATTATCATATATTTTTTAAAAATTTTATTAGATTTATTAATGTAATTAAGATGCATATTACTATTTTTTTTTTTCTATTATTTTAACCCATTTAAATAAAATAATTTAAATATATTTTTTATTGATTTAAAAATATTATTAGAGATTTATATTTTATTTATATATATATATATGAAAGTTTGGTTTATAAAATATTAAAAGATTTTTTTTTTTAATTTAAAAATTGTACATAAAATAAAAATAAAATTTAATTTTTATATTTATAAAACATATATTTTATTTATTTCATTTTAAAGTTTTTAAAATCAAAAAAGTACTTACATTTTGCAAACTTTTAAATGAGTATTAATTTTTAACATCAGTTATACCATCCCTATCAGAAATATTTATTTATTTATTTTCATATAACACTTTTGTTCCAATATGCATTATAAAAGTGTTATTTAAATTTTGGTTTTCAAAAGTAATTTATTAATTTTCTTCTAAGTGGCAAATATCTAAAGTTAAATTATTAAAATTTAGTATGTTTTAAATTTTATTTAATTCTTTTTTTTAAATATCAAATTTTTATTAGAAATATTCTCCTTTTAACAAATCATTATTTTCAACCCAAAATTAAATAAATTAACTTTATTAATCTTCACTAGTATTTTAAATTCCATGCCAAATTTCTTCGCTTCCTGATCTTAAAATATGTACATCTCCCTTTTCAATGATAACTCTTTCTTTTAAAGTTGAGTTATGACGTATTTATCCATCGAGTACTATGGTTATTATATCGAATTTACTAACTTTATTATCTTTAGCAAATTCCTCTAAAGGATTTAATGTGTATTCATTAACAGCTTTTATTTTACCAACTCCAGTTTTAAGAGGATTATAATATTCTCCAAATGTAAAATAATAAAAACCTTTTGCAAAACTATGATTGAATTAATATCTTTTATTACTATATTCCATTTTTTATATTATTATTATTTTTTATTATTTTTATCCTTTATTCTAAAATAAAAATTTGTGTTTTTTTTAATTAAATAGTTTTGTTTTGCTCATTTTAAATTTTTTTATACCAAAAATTCATATTAAATAAAATTTTAAAAACTGCTTGATTTTCTATTGATTTTGTTTAATAATTTCTTAAGAATTTTAAGCAAAAAAAAAAAATAATGATATTTATAAAAAAAAAAGTAAAAATAATTAATAAATTACTACTTCAAAACTATAATAAATCAATCAAACAAACTTAAAAAAATCTAATCTATTTATACAAAAAAAATTGTATTTTTTACTAATGAAAGCTTATTTATTATACGCGGGAATAAAATAAATAATTTTAAATTTTTTATAAATATCAAAATCCGTATATAAAATATAAAAATATTAATAAATTTATAAATATTTTTATAAACAAATATTAATGAATTAGTCAAAATATATGGAAAGGCTTAAACTGCAATAATCTTTGCAAATTCAAAAATCAAATATAAAGAAGCTAAAATTAACCGATTCTTCATAATCAGAAGATGAAAATGTAAATTGCTTAAAAAAAAATTTAGAAAAAGAAATATCTAGCTAAAAAATAAATATTGATGAAATTAATAATAGTAATGATATTGTTTATGTTGAACTTTAAGATGATAATTAAGTCTAATATTCTGATTTTTTTAAATAAAATTTAGTTGATGATGAAAAAACAAATATATTATGGATTATAAATGGATCTTATTTTCATTTATATTTACTTTAATTATATAAAGAAAACATTTAGAGAAAAGAATAAAACAATAATTTATCAGATTTTAGTTTCGATTCTGAATAATAGGAAATTTATACTTAAAATGGGCTTAAGTTTTATATATTTATAAATACAGTTTTTCAGAATAAAAAATGATATTAGTTATTTAATAAAAAACCGAATAAAATAATTTAAATGTATAAAAAAAAAAAATTAAAATTTTTATTTTATTATAAAAAAAAAGGAAGTATAAATTGAATTCGATTTATTTGTATATTTAGATAGAAAAGTATTATCTAATATTTATGGAAAGTATTTAAATTTTTTAATATTTTTTATTATTATTATTATATATCTAAAATAATTAAATAAACTCATAATATTTCTCAGGTTAACATTTGATAGCTAATAGAAATCTCAAATTAAGGTTATATAAACAAAATTTATTATCTCTTAGTTAAAAGATTAAAAATTAGTAATAAATGGATATATTAAATAAATCAAGCATTCTAAGTATTTAATTTAATATATACTAAAATAATGTTTTTTTTTTTTAATAAAAGATATATTTCAAAATAAGCTACGGGGTGTGTAGGATTAAGAAATTAAGGAAATACTTGCTATATGAATAGCTATTTATAAACTTTATATCATTTATCGTTTTTTGCAAAATAAGTTTTAAATATACCTTCTAATTAAAAAATTGATAATTTTCCTGATGCTTTATAAATTTTGTTTTATGATTTATTAACAGGAACAACTTAAGTAAAAAAAATAAAAATATTTTTTTAAGTATGCCTTTTGAATGATTTTTATAAAAAAAGCAATAAACTACAAATTTATTAAAAAGCTTTGGATGGGAATATGAGGATGCATAAGTTTAACACGATATTTAAGAATTCGGATGTAAAATAATTAAATTTTATTATAAGTAATTTACTCAAAGGTCATTTGATAGAAACCCTAGAATAAAATATGGATAAATATCCTGAATTAAAAGGATCTGTTTAAAAATTGTTTTAAGGATAAACTATTTATTATATTAAATGCATTAATGTCAATTTTAAAACTGAAAGAATAGAACCTTTTTTTGATATATAACTTTAAGTAAAAGGTAATTTCTAAATAAATTATTATTTAATATGTTATTTTTTATTAGATATGAGAAGTCTAAAGGATTCTCTTATTTAATACACTTAAGAAGAAATGTTAATAGGAGATAATATAGTATGTTATTTTTAAACATTAAGTAAATATATTATTTTTTTAAAAAAAACTAGTATGATACAGGCGATTAATAATACGGGAAATAAGACGCTAAAAGGGGAGCTAAATTTAAAATATTACCACCGGTTCTTTAAATAACCTTAAAGAGGTTTGAATACGATAAAAATTATGTATTTTTTTTTTTTTTTTTCTTATTTTTTTAAAATATATAAAAATATAAAAGGGTTACTTAAAAAAAATACTTGATCCTTATGAATATCCTTTAATTTTAGATATGAAACCTTTTATGAACTTATATAATTCTAAAAAAAGTGACAATAATGTAAATAACGTTAAATAATATAAATAAACATTTCTAAAAAAATAAATATTATTTAAAGGAATTTTAATATGAACTTTTCGCAGTTTTAATACATAGTGGATAATATAGTGGTTCTGGTCATTACTATGCTTATATAAAAAAATAAAAATAATGGTTTAAATTTAATGATTCTGTAGTTGAAAAAATAAGTGAATCTTAAGCATTATAAGGAGGTAGGGGAGGTAATGCTACTCATTTAGTTTGGAAACCTGTAATTTATTTTATTTTATTTTTATTTATTATTTATTTTTAGGAAAGTTTAACTTTTTTAGAAGAAAAAATTTAAAAAAAAGAAACTGCTTATATGCTGGTTTATATAAAATAAAATATGAAATAAAAAATTTTAGAAGAAATAACAATTTAAGATATTCCCAAATGGATTTTAAATTTAAGATAAGAATAAATATAAAAAGAAGAAGAACTAAAAAGATAAAAAAAATATTTTTATGTCGGAATTCTTGACTTTGAAACTTTACAATAATAAGCAAATGGTTTTTTTAATATTTACATATATATTTTAATTTATTAATAAAATAAAAAAAAAGGAAATGCTTTACTATACCATAAATTATATTTAAAAAGCTAGAATTAAGTGGGTTTTTCAAGAATTTTATAAGTTGAAAAAATTAAAACAGTAGAAAAGTTTGTAGAATAGATTTAAGAGGACATAAATTTAAATTTAAATTATTTTACAATATGGAAAATAATTTACTAGTAAGATTAGGATTAGGAAAGAATTTGTAGTGTGTAATCTTTATTATATAATAATTCTGCAATTTAGACATTTGATTAATATTATTAAGGAGTTTTTAAATAAAATTCTTAAATTAGTTTTCTAATATTGCATATTTCTAATAATTTTAAAAAATTCTAATTAATAAATAAAAACTAAATAAATAATTAATAAAATAAAAACGAAATAGAATTCGAAGATTTAGAAAGTGAATGCTTAAGGGTAAAATAGCTTTTTTAAAAAAACGAGATATTTCTTGTTTTTGTTAAAGTTTTTAATAATAATAAAGGAATAAGTTTATATAATTATTATTATGAAAGCTAATTATGTTCATTTGAAAACTTTATTACTAAGATTTTAAAAGATAGTTAATTTTAGAATTTGGACTATTTTTATGAAAGCAATCATACTATTTATTAAATATAATAAAATCAGGTTTAAGATTAATTAAGAGCAATTTTCAAAAATAGTTAGTTTGGCGTTTTAATAATTCAAGATTTATGTCATTAATAAAAAAACTAAGTATTTTTATTCTATATATATATATAATATTTCTAAATTAATATCATAATCATAGTTAGTTCAGAATTAATATAAATATTGGAATGAGTACATATTATTGAATTTTAGAAATGTAAAATTATATTAATTTTAAATAAATTTGATTGTTTAATTTTTATTAAAAGTCTTAAGATGAAATATAGTAAACTTTTTAATTAGAACTTAGCTAAAATATAACATATCCTTAATTACAAAATTTAATTCATAAAGTAAAAAAAGCTTAATTATATTTACTATATAATAAAAATAAATGTTTTTAAATTTTTTAAAGAATTATTATTAAAGTAGTGAAAATATTCCGATTTAAAATATATATTTTCAAGTTTTTGAAGATAATGTAAATAAAACATAATTATTTTTTATGTATTATTAAAATAAGGAATTAAAGCAATTATCATTTAGTGAAGATCTAACAATTATATAATTATTAGAAAATTAAAAATTTTTAAACGAAAATATAACAATAGAATTTAATTATGCCCCTTTTTAATCTGCTAAAGATAGATTAGAAAATATCCAAATTAATTTCATTTTTATGAACTAATCTTTAAACGGCTATTTAATAAATGATCCTTAACTAATTAATATATCTATAAAAAAAGATTCTTCAATAGAAAATATCTATTAATAGTTATATTAAAATTCATAATTATTGTAAATAAAAAAAATAAACACTTAAAATATATTTATAAATAAAATATTAATAATATGAAAATTTAAATATTTTTAAATATACAAGCTAAAAAAATAAAAAGATATATTAACAAAGAAGAACAAGAAAATTTATAAGGAAGGCTTTAAATACTGTTTTCTTTATCAACTGATAAACATGAATTAAATAGTATAATACCGAATATGACATCTTAAATAAAAAATCTAGAATTAAACATGAAAAATGTTTATTTATTTTTTTTTGAAAGAAAAATAAATATTCTAAGTGATATTTTGATATTTTGTTAGTTTAAACTTAATAATAAAAGCTAAAATTTTTCAAAAAATTCTCAATAAAATGTCGGACATCCTTTTGTTTTATTAGTTGATGAAAATACTTAAATATAATAGTTGTATTTGTTGTTGTTTAATCATTTGAAAAATAAGAAAATCAAATATTTTTCAAATGATTCTTACTAGTATCAAATTAATAAATAATTAGAAGCTTCTTTATATAAAATTGATGGGTAATAAAGCTACTCTATTACTAATAATGATAAGAGTACTCTTTACTAAAAGTTCTGTTCTGAAAAAAAAGTTAATCTTAAATTAGAAATATAAGTTTATGCAGTTTAATTAATTTAAATTTAATAAGATTTTTGATTCAGAAATTAAATATAACTATAGAAAATGTATATTTATATATAAATGATTATAATATTATAATATTCAAAAAATAAATCAATATTGTTTTTCCTATTATTAAATATTTATTATTATTATTTTTTTAAAAATTTATTATTATTTTTTATTATAAAATTTTGTAATGTTTAATTTATATTTTAAATATTTCAGAATTCCATATATGATTCAATCTCTTTTATTATTTAAATATAAATATATGTATTAAATATATATAATTAATAAATATGATTATTTAAATAAAAAATTAATTAAATTACGAACTGAATCATCTATTTTTGGTTAAAATAAAATTTAAATAAAAATCACTGGAACTATATTAAAAAAGAGTTCGAAAAGAAAACAATATATATACCTATTTATATAAAAAAAAATTAATAAAAAAATATCAAATATAAAATCAAAGAATATTTATATAAATATTTAAAAATATATTTATATTTCCCATTTGCTTTAATCACTATCTCTGCATGACTTTGGATCAAATTATTTCATATTTAAAATTATTTATTTATCAAACATAACGAAATTAAATATAATCTTTGAAAATCCACAAGGAATTAATACATAAACAATAACTTTTAACTAAATTTATATATATATAAAATAATATATGTTTTTAAGCTAAAATATATACTTCTATTTTAAAAGCTTGACTCATTTAAATATATATTCCTTCTATTTTTTAGGCAAAAATGTTGCATATGTAAATAAAAATGGTAATAATAAATAACCCAACTATAGAAATTAATAAATGTCTTTATTTATTTTTTTAAAATAGTTAAAATTTATATAAAAAATAATATTTGGTTTAAAACTTTATGTATTATCTAAAAATAAATAATTCTAAACATAATGAAATTATAATTCCAATAAAAAATACTATATATTATAGAATTTAAATAATTTAGAATTTGTATTCATATTGATTGGCTGCTTTTATTATATTAATCCTTTTTTTAATTTTTGATTTTTTATTTTTTCTTAAAAAAGAAAAGAAAAATTAATACTAAAATAAATTTATTACCATGTTTTAGTAGAATAAATTAAAATATAATAATATATGTAGGTTTAAATTTACTCTAATACAATATAATTACTCAAGTATTATTTTATTTAAACATCATAATAATCATAATAATTAGCATGTTAATCAATAAATTAGGCATAAATAATGGCATTGTAAATATGTAGACTAACTAAAACTAATAATAAAGTATTATAAATAATAATTTAAATATAATTAAACAATTAATAACCTATATAATAAGCAATCAAAATAAATGAAAACTAAATTATTATATGTGAATAAGGAAGCTAATTATTTTTTATCCATTTTATTTATTTATATAAATTAAAAAGAGTATAAAAAAATAAAATTATTAAAAGGCTAAGGAGAACATAATTCGAAATATTTTCTTATTAATTGGTATAATCTAAATCTGAAAAAATGTTATCTTCGCAGTTTTTTTGATAAAAATAATTATTAAATTATTAAAATTACATTATTGGAAAATTTAATAATAACAAAATAAAATTATAAAATTTATTGCTAAAAAAGAAAAAATATATATTTAATTATTAAAAAAATTAGAAAATATTAATTAAATAAAAAATAATAGTATATATAATAATCAGTTTTTAGATAAATTATAGTCATCAATAATAATTTATTTATACATATTAGAAATATCCATATAGAAGTTAATTTAAAAGGTCTAATTATGTTCTTAAAACATTCTAATTATAATCTCTTTTAGTTATTTAAACTTATCTTTCTTATTATCAAAATAGTATCCTAGAATTTATATCAACCCATTAAAGAATTTCAAATACTATCCATTTTAATATTTATTATAATTTTCTTTAATGTATTTAATATTTTAAAAATAGGTCTATTATTTGTTTTATAAATTAATTAAATATTTATAATTATTAAAGTTTTCATCAGAATTAATAAGACTTTGAACCAAAGAAGGTAGATATTTTTCATACAAATCCGATTTTACTGAGAAGTTTTCAGAATAATTTAAAAGATAATTTTATGTAAATTATTTGCAATTATAATATACATCTTCATAATTTGTAAAAACGTCTTTAAATTTCCCAGAAACAATTATTTCATGTAATTTTTTTACAAATTCAAAATCTAATACACTTATTTTTTCGGTTATTTTTTGAGCGGATTTCTTTCCCATTTATTTTGAGAATTTATACATGTTTTATGCATTTTTATTGAGTTTTTCTTACTTTTCTTTTACTTGTTATTCAAATGAATTATTTATTTCTACTAATTTTAGAATGCTATTTTTAAATTTCTAATCACTTAAGTTTATTTCGAATTTATTTGTTTCGAAGTTCATGAATATCTCATCAATTTCTAATAAATTTTCCATTAAAAATTCAAAATATTTAATATAATCTGTAAAAATAGCATTATATTTATTAAAAATTTCGAGATTAATATTTTATTAATTCTTCTTTATTAATCCATCATTAAACTTGTTCATGAAAAATCCCAAAATATTTTTTATTTCAATAAGAACATCTTATTCATATAATTAATCATTTAATATAAAGTTATTTAAATCAACAATTGCCTAAAATAATCCTTTATTATTTTTCGCTTCTTATTTATAAGATTCCATTAAAGCCACAACTTATTATTCTTATTTTGTTTTTTTCAAAAAGCTATTTATATCATTTAAATATTTATCTAAGTTATTAGTATAAAAATCCAAATTATTTAATATTGAATTTTATTTTATCAAATTTTCTAAAGAAGCTTATATTTTTCCAAAATATACTTTCCTGAATTCCGCAAACTCACTAATTTATTTCAGATTTTCGCTATTAAAATTAATGGCTATTTTTTCTTTTAATATTTAATTTTATTTTTCTATAAAATATGTTATTATTTGATTATATTAAGTTTTTTCAGTAACTTTCCATACTTCTTCTTATAAAATAACTTAAGTTTTTTCTTTTAATTAATTTAATGTATTTTACACATCTGTTAATTCTAATTTATTTTTTTCATAGCAATTAAATAAATATATGAAATTTTTTTCTATTTGTTCTAATAAACGATAAATTGAGTAAGTTTTTTAAAAATAATTTTATTTATTTTCAATTAATTCGAAAATACTGTAGATATATTTTACTTGCTTAATAAAATTTTTAAGTTTTTCTTTATCTTCACTTTTATTTATTTTAATATTCTCTAAAAAATTTCTAATATTTTCAATAGAACAGAAGTTTTCATTTTTAATTATATATATTTTTTCAAAGGATTTTTACATAATAAAAAACATATTATCATAGAGTTCGATTCCTTATTCATATTCAGGTTTACTTTTTTCCTCAAAAAATAATTTACTATTACTATTGTTATTATTAGATAAACCTTTTTTTTTGTTTTTTTTTCCATATATAAAGATACCCAAATCATCCAATAAACTTTTTGATTTCAAATAAATATTCTCATATTCTTAAATTTCTTAATTCATTTTATTATGATTTTCTATCTCGGCCATTTCTAAATTAATTTAATTATAGGAATTCATAAAATTTATTAAGGTATTATTACTAGATTATTACGTTTATTATGTTTATTAATATTTTTTTTTTTTTTATTAAATACAATCTAAAATAAAAATTTTAAATGCCAAAAAGCCTGCAATTAATCCTTCTAAATCATCTTTAACTTTCAATATTTTAAGAGGCATTTACATTTTGCCTTCTCTAATATATGAATTGCTCATTTTTTGTAAAAATTCTCCTTTGTTAATTTATAATTCGCTAATTACTTTTTCAGAATCAAAAAGAATTTCCTTTAAATTAAAATTCGTGTTAATTTGATTTTTTTATTAAAAAATTGAATTTTCGCAAACTTTATCTTAAAAAATTATTTTCAATTTCTATATTTCGATTATATTTTAAGATATATAACTCAAATAATCGTAATTTTAGAAAAAACAAACATTTTCTTAATTAAATGTATGTACTTTTTCACAAAATAAAATATGCATTTTTAATTCGTTCTCATATATCTTTTCTTCCAAGTTTATTCGATTTTTTATATATTCTTTGTAGTTTTCTATTTTTGTGTTTATTTACATTAATTTATTCACATTTTCCTTTACTGTATTTATATTATTTTCCTCATTTTCATGAAAAGGAATATTTAAATTTTAAAAGAATTAAACAAATATTCTTTTGCTTTCTTCTTATAAAGGTAAAAGGTTAAAATTAAAATATTATTAGATTTATTATATATTTTTTAATTATATTTAACTATTTTATATATTCTCTTAAGCTAAAAAGAACTAAGAGATACCAGATTCTATCATTTATTGAGAATCCGATGCTTTGCTTATTAGTTCTTATTAATTTTTATCTAAATTCTTTACTGATTAGTTAAAATTGCAATAATATTTTTGTTTATAAGCTTAACTTTATTTAAAAAATTTACTTATATTTTCAATCTTTTCTTTAATAAGGGAAAACTCATGATTTTTTTACTCTTTTTTTTCATTTTATAAATTTTTTAATTAATTTAATTATTCAATTTCTTAATTTAACTAATCTTTCAATTATCCAAAATCGTTATTTTATTCTAAAAATACATAAGGCAATTATATTTAGGTATATTCTTATTATTATATTTCGATTTCTTTCCTAATTTCATTTTTTTCAGATTATAAAGGTTTTTTTATTATATTATATGGATTTATATTATTATATTCTTCATCGATTATTTCGATTTATTTTATATGAATATTGTGTAAATAGGTATTAATTGGTTAAGATTATTAATTTATTTCTTCTAATTTTTGACTTAATGTACTTTCGGGTACTTTTTTTTTTTCTGCTTATTTTAATGACACTTTTTAAGGAGAAACTTGGGCTTAGACTTAAAAATTCATTTTTATATATAAATTAATATATTTTGAAAATTATATTTTTTATTAAATTAAAAGTTTTTTTTTATTTATTTATTTTTTATTTTAAACACAATAAACATTTATTAAAATTTTTATATTATTTTAATCATTCTCCTTTTGAGATATAAAAAATAAAATAATCACCAATTCTTAATTATATTTCGTTTTATAAATCTTAAAATAAACCCAATTTTCTCGCTTAGCATATAGCTTCTTATTTATTATCCAAAACTTTAATATTAATTCCAAAATTTTCATAACTTTTAGAAACAACACCTATTTTTTATTTTTTATTTTTATTTTTTCATAAAACAAAAAAAACCTGGATTTTTTGCTTAAAATATTAATTTAGAAGTAATAACATCTACTCCTGCACATCTAGTTTCTTTTAAAGTTAGTTAAGGTTCGAAAAAGTCTAATCTACATTTTTGATTATTATGAAAATAATTATATAAAATCCATCCTGAATATATTTATTCAATTTCACAGATTCTATTTTCATCATATAAATGGATTAAACTAGAATCTATATCAATAGGTATTTTTGGAATATGTTAAAATATAGGTTCTTTCCATGTTATAGAATCAAGATCAATCATCCCACCTAAATTATAGTAATTTATAGCTATTTATATATTATCTCCTACTTTTATAGGAGTAATTGCTTAAACAAAAGTTTGTTTTTATTAATCATAATTGTGCTTTTTTTTTATTTATTTTAAAATATAAAATTTTTCTGAAATAATATTAAATACCTTACATTCTTCCTTAAAAGCCCAAATAATTCTATTTTTATTGGTTTCAATTGCATCGAATTAATATTTACAAGAATATATTTAATCTTTTTTTCTAGTATTAAAATTACTTGAAAACTTATAGGTAAATTATAATTAAATACTCTAATCTAAAAATAAAAAATAAAATATATAATAAAATAAATAAATTATATTACTTTTTATATTAGGTAATAATTCTGCATTAATGATTCTATCCATTCTAATACCTTTTATATTATTGAATTTTTAAGTTTTATAAGACACATAACTATCTTTGAATGATAAAAAGGACATAGTATTTTTAATAAATTTATTATCAAGATTAACCATTTCAAATTCTAAGACTTCTGAAAATTTATAATAAAATAAAGAGTTTATAAGTTTTATATTTATTTATTCATCAAAAAGGAAAAAGAAAATTTTATTTTAAGCCAAAAAAGGTAATTTCATAAAACAAGAAGTAAATTCGCAATTAATTTTTATTTAATTACTACTCTTTTTATTCCCCTTATTTATTTTTTTATCTTTTATTAATGAGTTTTCCATTTAATCTCTTGCTTCGTATCTCATACTTAAGCGTTTTTAAATTGATTATTCAGTCATACAAACACTTCCATTCCTATAAGATTCTCTTATGGAAATATTTGAGTTTTCCTTTTGGAGAGTTTCTGTTATTTATCTATGAAAATTTGATATTTAATTATTTTAATTTTATTATTGTTTTAATATTAATTCCTATTATTAATTTTATGTAATGTTTTTTCCATATTTACTTAAAATACTGTTTTCATTATTTATTAAACTATCTTCGCCATTTAAAGTTTTTTCGATTTAAATCTAATTAAAGTCAAGGCTTTAATTTATATTATATAAACTCTTTATTTTTGTTATTTATTATTATTGTTATTGATACTTTTATTATTATTGATTTTGTTGCTATTATTATAATGGTTAACCTTTGTATTTTAAACTTGCTTCTAAGCTTTATTATGCTCTTAACATTATTGCTGATGTTATTTTATTATTGTTACATTAAATTTATTTTATCGTTATATGCCTTTGATTTAAAGGTTTGGTTTCGTTTTATCCCATTTTAAATTTATAATTTTTTTTTTAAAAATAATGACTATTTATTGTTAGTATATTAAAAAAAAAAAAATTTAAATTTTATAATTTTTATAAATAATATTATAGTTTTAACTAAAATTTAATTTTTACTCATTTTCAATATATTTATGCAAAAATTATAAAAATATTTTTATTTTAATTATTTATTTTTTGGATAAATATTGATTAAGATTTTTAATTATAATTAATAAATAACATTTAAACACTAATATTTATTTATATATAATATTTATATATTTAATATAATGATTTTACAATTATTTTTTATTTTTTTAATTCTTTATTAATATTTATATTTTTCAGTATTATTTTTTTTATTATATTCCTTTCAAATATAGTTATTATTAAAAAGACATCAGATTATCATTACCTAGAATTTATCTTTAAAACTAAGGTTTTATATTTTCTTTTTCTTTCTAACTTTAAATATGATTATTTGGAGATTTAGATGAGCTTAAGTCATCTTTTTTGAAAAAGATTGCTTTTTGTTTATTATTATTACTTAGATTTATATTATTATTTTATTAATAATTATTTCTATTAATATTTTGTTTAAAATCGTTTTTTTAATTATTTTCATTCATTAAATTTTACTAATAGCAAGTCATATAGTTATTATTTGAATTAATATTTTTACTCGAAATATAATTCGTATTTTTGTAATTATCTCTTGAACTATTTTAAACTATGTTATTAGTTTTTGTTGGTGTTTTAATATTTGTTTTACCATAATTTTATTCATTTTAAAACTTACTTTTAAATGTACTATTCTATATATTAATATAAAATATATAAATTATATTAAATATTTATTTAATATATATTTTTACGTTATTTTAACTAATATTCTTTATGTAATCTTTCATTTGTTCTTATGCATTTTGCTTATTATTAATGTATTTATTTTATATTTATTCATTTTCATAGTTAAAGTTTTATTCTATTTAATTATCTGTAAAAAACTAATTCTATTCATTTTATTAGTTAAATATCAATTCGTTAAATTTTTATTTATTAATCTATAAATTTTAAATATTTTAAAGAGGTTAGTTTAAAAACATTTATTAATTTTTTGTTGTTTCTATTTAAACTTTTTTTTTAGTAGCTAAGTTATTTTAGTTATTATAATTTTAATTTTAAATATACTAAAAATAAAATGGTTCAGAATTCTAAATTAATTATTATTATAATTATTATTATAATTATTATTATTATTATTATTATTATTATTATTATTATTATTATATATTTTTTATTTATTATTACATTTATAATTAATATTTTTCTTATGTTTTTTGTGTTTCTTGTTTTTCTATTTTTTCTTAAAATTGTTTTGCTTTTTCTTACTCAGATTTCATTATTTATTTTTAGAATGGAAAAACATACTGTTTTATTGGATTATTTGTTTTTTTAGTTGCATTACTATTATCCCTTATTTTTTCCTAGCTTTATATTTTTTATGTATTGCAATTATCTTCACTTATAGTACTTTTTTCTAGTTCATTCTTTTATTACTAGGTTTCTATTTTTTACTTTACGCAATCCAATTTTTACAAAGCTTAAACAAGTAAAGTTCTTTCTTCTCCTTTTTTATATGTATAACCAATAAAGTTTACGTCTTGCTATAAAATAATAATTAATTATATTTAACAAAAAATATATATTATATACTTTTCTATTTTTCACTCTCTTTATTTTTTATAAATTTTCATAATCCCAAGGCTCTTCTTCCTAATATTTTCAAATCTTGAATCATCAATATCACTTTTAATCTTTTGAATAAATAAAAAAAAAAAATTAATAAAAATATAAAATGTTTAAAAATTTAAATACATTTGGAATAAAAGGAGATTTTTAATTTCTAATATTTTTCCAATCAACACCTTAAAAAAAAGGATGAATTTTTATTTCAGTAACTCCATTTAGGCCTAATCTTTCTGTAGGATCACATAATAATCTTCTTATAAGATCTTTTGCTTAAATCGAAAGATTAGACTCTTCAGGTATAACCAAATATTTTTTCCACTAAATAATTTTTTTACAAGTAGTAGTAGGATCATCTGAATAAAAAGGTGGATAACCAACTAACATTTCGTAAAGAATAACTCCTACAGACCACCAATCAACAGTTTCTGTATAGCCTTAATTGCCAAAAACTTCAGGGGCAATATAATCAGGTGTACCAACAGTAGAATATAAATATTTTCTGTTTCTGTTAAATTTAATTCTATTAATTTCATGTAAATTGGTTAATATTTAACTTTCTTTTAAAGATATTTATTATTCTCCAAGTTATTTGATTCCTTTTTATTAATTAATATCAGCTTCTTTACATAATCCAAAATCACTTAATTTTATATGTCCTTCTTTTGTTAATAATATATTATCAGGCTTTAAATCTCTATGAATATAATTCATTTAATGTACTGCTTCGACGGCTAAAACCTATTATTATTTTATTTTATTTTTTTAATATTTTATTTTTTATTTTACTATTTCTGCTATGTAAAATTTCGCTTCTACTTCTTTCAAAACATCTTTTTCCATTAATAAAGTCATTAAATCACCTCCTTATAAAAATTCCATTACTAAATATAGATATTTATCGTCCTTTTGTTATATATTTATTTTTATTATTAATATTTTATTTATATAATTACCTAAAAACTGTACCTCAATTCAACTATACTTTCTATGTTTGCAGATACAAGAACGTCTCTTTCAGCTCTTACATGCCCAACTTAATTTTTGTATACCATCTCGTTTTTTTTCATCTTTTTAATGGCTACTACTTCTCCAGTTATTTTAGATTTACAAATCCTAACTTCACCAAAAGCACCTTTTCCTTTTTTAAAATTTTTTTATTGTTTTATTAATTTTTTTTTTTAATAAATAATATTATATAATTATATATATTAGTTTTAAATTAATTTACCTATTATAGTAAGAGGTTCGAAATCTTAAGCAGTCATTTTTTATCTCCTTTTTTATTTAATAAAAAAATTATTATATTTTAAAAGAATTTTTTTAATTTTTTACATTTTTCTCATATTTTAAGCTTCTTATTATTTTATATCTTCAGTTATTTGCTATTCTTACTACTCATTTAAATTTAACTCTTTTATTTTATCTTTAATTACATCCCAATGTTCTTTTCTTTCTTTCTCTTATACTTTAAGTTTAGAATATTTTTCTTTAAAAATATAATAGTTTTAATTTAATGATATAATTTATTTTATATTTACTTTCAATATAAGCTCTTGCAGCTTCTGCTTTTTCTTTCAAATTATTTATTGATTATTAATTATCTTCAACGTTTTACATTTAGGTATTTATGTTTTATTAATTTGCTTAATTTTTTTGTTATTTTTAATGTTTTTTATAATTATTTTTTTTATTTATTATTTTTAATTATAAAGTTATAAATTGAAATTTGTTTTAATTTCGAAATTATAAAATTAATTCAAAATTCAAAAATTTTAATTAATTAGGAATAACGAATTTAAATTTGAATTTTATTACGATTAATAAATAATATTTCAAAATTTATAAATAAAAATATCTCAATTAAATTGAAATATAGTTATTATTAAGTAATTTTAATAAAAATAAGATTATTTGCAATATGTTCATATATAAAAATAACTTTTTTAATATTTATAAATAAAAATATTTATTTTAGAAATTTATATTATTAATTTAAATTTAAGTATTATTAAAATATATGAAATATAAAATTAATTATTTATATTTATTTTTTGTATGTATGTTAAATAATTATATTATTTTTAATTTAAAGTTGAACTAAAAAATATTCTGTTAATTATTTATTAACAATTTATATTAAAATATTTATTAACAATTTATATTAAAATAATTTAGGATATATTTTAAAATAATTTTTATTATGATTTAATATATATTTTTATTAATATTTTTAAAATTTTATTAATTTAGAATAAAATAATAATTTAAATCTTTTCAATAAAAAAATTCTTATATTAGTTATTTTATATTATTTATTTAAAATTTAATTTATTTGAAATTATTTAATACTCATATATTATAATTATAAAATAAAAAAAATACTTTTGTAAAAATAACAATAATTGTTTATTAAAATTGATCTTTTTTAACTAATATTAAAAATATATTATTTATGAAATTAAATATTAAATTGATTTTTTATATTTTTATTTTAAATAAAATTAATAAATTCGACTCATTTATGTTATGAAAATAAAAACAATGTTTTTTAAAATTAAAATATAAAATAATATTAATAATAATATATCAAATGATTTTCATTATATATAGATACATATTTTATATTATAAATATTTAATAATATAAATTTTTATATAATAATTATTATGTTTTGCTTAATAATATAAATTATAATATTTATATGACTATAAGGTATATAAATCGTTTAACATTAACATTTGTTTTAAAAACTTTAGAAAATAAATATTAATAAATATAATAATAATAGCTTTAAGTTTAATTTATAAATAACTAAATAACTTTCTTAATTTTAGGAATATTTATATTTTTGAATTTTATTAGACAAAGTGGTGAATAATCAAACACAATATGGATATTTTTTTCTTTATTTGTGATATTGATTCCTTTAACAATGATGTTATCATATTATTTTTAAGATTATTTCTTAATATACCATATATTATGGAATTCTTTATTAAATATTGGATAAATTGGTTTAAATTATATGTATATATATAAATACAATGAACAAAGTTTATTAAATGATAAATGCTAATAAAAATATAGCGAAAAAGATATGTTTTAAATTTTACTTGTCCATGAAATAATCTTTATTATTCAAGCATTTTCTGTTGATTCTTCTAAGTTTATATTGGATGCATCAATTATATTAGTTAATAGATTAGTATAGGCTCTCGTATTTTATTAACTACTAAATTAAATTCTATATATAGATGTCTTATTTTATTTATAACCTTTTTTTATTATAATTAATAGATATTTTAGAGAAACTATATAAAGGATTAAATTTTTAGATAATAATAACAATTCAGAATGGTTAAATATTATTAATAATATGTTTAATTCGAATTTAATTATTATAAGATGGAATTCTATGTTAACTAGAATTGAGTTAAAATAAGCAAGTGGTATATTAATTAATTACTTTTTAAAAACTAAAATATTTTTATATATTATTTAATAAAATAAATAGAAAATACAATAATAAAATATCACGTATTTGATGATGAAAGTATGAAAGAATTTTACAGTAAGATTTTTTTAGATACAAAGACTTGTAATATTTAATAATTTAATATAATTTTGGAAGAAGGGAAAAAATTAAGCCTTAAAGATTATTTGATTAGAAGATGTTTACATTTACAAGATACGAAAACTAAAAAAAAAGCAATAAAAAGATACACAGTTAATTTAAATTTCAAAGCTATAGACATTAGTAATATTAGTAATAAAAAAATAAAAATAATATAATATATTTTATTATAAAAAAAAAGAATCTTAAAATAGTAATTCTAAAAGAAAAAGATAGAAATCTTAAGATTCGAATGAAAGTGAAACTTTTGTCGGATTTTATTATGGAGGAGTTGATAAATAAAAATATACAAAAATATTTAGAATTAAAATAATGGATTTTTAAATGAATGATACAGTATTAGTATTATCATTAGAAGATATAACATATTAAGATGAAATAAAATACTATTAAAAATGCAAAAAAGCATCTGATAAGTTACTTGTTAATGCTTTGAATGATTTTCGTGTGAAATTAGTACCTATATTGACAGAGGTGAGTTTATTTGAAAATTATAATTTCGATGATCATTTTGATTAAGCTATAGAAAATATAAAATATAATGTTTATTTGATAATAAATAATATATATACTTTATTTGATTATTTCTAAATTAATGAAAAGAAAGGTTTATAAATAAATATGGCTTAATTTTCTCTTAAATAAATGATTTAAGATATTGTTTGTATGTTTTCTGCTTAATCAAAGATTAAAAGTATTGATTTTAGCCATAAAAATAATTTGAGAAGAACTGATAGAACTTTTTCTGATGAAAGGAGAATTAAATAAATTCTTATTTGTATTCTTTCGAGTGTTTTTGAGAAAATTTAAAAAGGAAAAGTCTTCTTAAAAATTTTATTAGATAACAAAGATTTATATGAGAACCCTATTACACATAGTGAAGGAAAGTATCACCCAAATCTAAAATTTGAATTCGAATATGAGATTTATGAAAAAACAATTGAGTAAATAGATGTTATATATTTTACAGAATTATTTAATAAAATTTAAGACAAGGTTATTGAAGAAATTATAAAAACCTTAGGTTTCTTTTGTTTTTTTAAATTTATTATTAACTGAATAAAAAAAAGGTCCTTATTAATTAAAATAAGAATATGATAATAAAAATAAAATAACAAAATTAACTTTTTCTATTTATGCAGATTTCAAAAATTTAAGAAATTAAGAAAGATTATACTCCTTAATAAGACCTTAAAATTTCATAAATTATGAGGAAACTAAATACTCTTAACTTTAAAATAATCTAGTCGAAAATTAAGTAAAATAAGAAAATTAAGAAAATTAAGAAAATTAAGTAAAATAAGAAAATTAAGAAAATTGTGAAAATTATGAAAATTAAAACAATTAAGAAAATTATGAAAAAATGTGTGATTAAGAATTTCTTTAGTTATATTAATAAAAATTATATCATGAGAATTCGCAAGAAGCAAAAACGTTTTAAGAAAAAGATTATATAAAGTAATCATTTTTCTGATTATGAGTAATTAAAATAACATAAGTTGAGTAAATCTAGTATTACTTTTTCTTCAAATAATAATTTATCTTCATTCTATAAAAATAATATAGATCAAAAATGTCAATTAACTTAAAAGGACTTTTAGTTAGTAACCTAAAATAATTAAAATTCAGAAAATGTTTAAGAATATAATAAAGAATTATATTCAGAAAATTAAAATTCGGATGATGATAATTATAATATGTCAAATTAAATTTAATTCACAAACAACAGTTAATTAAAATAATGAGTTTAGTATAAATTTAGTCATTATTTTAGTAAAGATCTATATAGTTTAAATGATTAGGCAATTATAAATAACTAATAAAATAATTAGAATTAATAAAAGCTTAAAGAATATAATTATAAGAATCAAGAAACTGAAAAAGATTAAATAATAAGTAATTATTGAATTATATATTTTTTATTAAAATAAAAAAATTAATATATTGAATATATTATGTTTAATAAATTGTATTTATTTCTAAAAATTTTGCGTTTTAGAAATATATCAAAAAATATTTATTTAATTTAAATAAAAATAAATAATCTATTTTTATTTATTCATAATTTTTTTTTTCTCTTTATAGTTTTTTAAAAACTACTTATATAATTTATATTGGCTTAAAAATTATTTATATTAGTTATAATTCTAAAATAATTGTTTATATTAATAAATTTAGCCTAATCAAAATGTTTTTCTACTATAAAATCTTCATTTTTTTAATTTAAAATTTTTTATAATTCAGAATTTTATTCATATATACTTTAATTGTCTTACAGTTATTAAATTTAATATAAATCCAATCCGATTCTTAAAGTCTCATAAAATAAACATATTTTTTTTTTATTTAACTAAGCTTGAATATTAATCAAAAATATTTGTATATAAAGGAATTAAGAATAATATGAAAAGAAATAAATAAGAGAATATTATATTTTATATGTATAGCTATCCTTCATAATTTTATATATAATAAACAATATTATTTCTTATTCCGATAATAAAGATAGAGATGTATAAAAACTTATGTTTAGCATATTATGCTATTTAATATAAACGGAGATTTTATTAAATAAGAAAATAAAATAAATGGAAAAGTGAAAGAAAAATACTAATTTTAAGGCTGTATTTCTCATATTCTTATGCAAAATAATAGCCATTAATATTGAAAATATAATAAAGAAAATTTATAAAATGCTAATACTATAATATAATCATATTAAATATAATAAAATTATTTTATTTATATGTAATTAAAAATAAAATAAAACTTGATTAATAAATAAAAATTTTTGTGATTAAAAATTCTTGTATTTTTAATTATATATAGAGAATTCATTTAAAAAAGTATGATTATAGTTATATTATTAAAAGCTGTGTTAATTAAAAATAAAAAATTATTTAATTTTTCGAAAAATTTTGAAATATTTTATATTATTATTAACAATATTTATCAAAAATAAAATTTTTATTTTATTTGTATTAATTAAAAAATTAAATATTAAATAAAAAAAAATATAATAAAAAATGCAAAAACCTCTCAAAAACAAATAGATATCTAAAAATAAACACAAAAAACAATAAAGTTAATAAAAGTAAAAATAGTTTAGGAAAGCAGGTTAAAATAATGAAAAAAAAAAAATATATTTAATTTTTAATTAATAAATTAATATACAAAAGAACCAAAACAATAGCTTGATAAAGGATTATCGGATTAATAGCTTGTTAAAAAAAAGGAAATTAATAAATTAAAAAAATGATTAAATAAACAATAGAAGATTCAATAATTTAGAAATGTTATGATAGTAAATATATATAAATTAATTAAAACATAAAAAATAAATATATAATTATAAAAATAGTAATATTATTATAAATATATAATATAGCATTTTTTAAATTTATATATTTATTTTTAATATATATAATTTTATTCTTTATATATTTAAAGGAAAAGAAAAACTAAATGTTATTAAATAATCAGATTAATTTAAAAAAGAATAAAAAAAAAATTGAAATATATTAGTTTATTCTTAAAAAAATAATATTTTCATTTTTATATTTTAAGTACAAAAAGAGTTTCATTTAAATATAAACTTAAAATTTAAATATCATTTTATAACTATTTTTTATTTTTTTAATAATAAAAAATTATAAATCATATAACCAAATGTGAAAAATATAGTATAGTCTATAAAAAGTGGTTTATTACAATTTTTTTTGTTTTGATTTAAATTTATTAAAAAAATAAATAGGTTCTATTTAATAAGTTAGTTTTTATAATTTTATTATTTCTATGATCTCTATATATAAATAAAATTAATAATTTAAATAATTCTTTTAATAAAATATAAAACTTTTTTTATAAGAAATATTTTATTTTTTTTAAACAAAATAAATAAATAATTCATTTATTAAATTTTTACTAAAATATAAAAAAATTTGAAAAGTGTACAAACAATTTAATAATAATTCTATATATACGAAAAACAAAATCTTCAATTAATATATATTATAATAAAATGAAAAAATAACTATAAAAAAAAAATTAATAAAACCTTTTTAAAAAAAAAGTGAAAAAAAACAAAAGCAAATCAAAAAAAAAAAAAAAAAGCATAATAAAAAAGAAGAAGAAAAAAAAAAAAAAAAAAAAAATATAAATTAATAAATAAAAAATAATAATAAACAATTTAAAAACAAAATAAAAAACAAAACAAAAATAATAATAAAGGAAGAGAAAAAAAACAAAGTAATTACATGTCTTCTTAATAAAAGCAGCAAACTGAACAAGATTTTCAAATAATAGAAGAAAAAGTGCAAACAGTGAATGGTGATACAACAATAAAAAAGTATGAAAAAGGTCAATTATTAGGAAAAGGTGGATTTGCTAAATGCTTCTAAATCCTAAACTTAGAAACGAAAAAAATAATGGCGGCAAAAATAATACCTAAAAACACTTTAGTAAAGAACAGGGCTAGATAAAAACTAATTTCTGAGATAAAAATTCATAAAAGTCTTCACCATATACATATAGTGAAATTTGAACATGTATTTGAAGATAATGAAAATATATATATATTATTAGAATTATGTCCTCACTAAACTCTAAATGAATTAATTAAACGTAGAAAAAGATTGACTGAATTAGAAGCTTAATGCTATATTGTTTAAATTGTTAGTGCTTTGAAATATTTACATTAAAATCTAGTTATTCATAGAGATTTGAAACTTGGAAATCTATTTATTGGCGAAAAAATGGAAGTTAAATTAGGTGATTTTGGGCTAGCTACTAAACTTGAATTCCCAGGTGAGAAAAAAAGAACAATTTGTGGTACTCCTAATTATATTGCTCCTGAAATTCTTGATGGAAAAGTTGGACATTCGTATGAAGTTGATATTTGGTCTTTAGGAGTTATTATTTATACATTGCTAATTGGAAAAGTAATATTTTTTTTTGATTTATATTATTTATATATATATATTTAATCTTTTTTTTTTTTTTTTTTTTCTTGTTTATTATTAATAATTATTTATATTATTTATAAGTTTTTTAAATGTTTATTATTTTTTTATTTAAAAAAAAAGCCTCCATTTGAAACTTCAGATGTAAAGACAACATATAAAAAAATAAAATAAAACAATTACTCATTCCCAGATCACATAACAATAGCCCCAAATGCCAAAAATCTAATTTAAATAATATTAGTGGAAGATCCAACAAAAAGACCATCTTTGGATGAAATATTAGCCCATCCATTTATTAACAACGGAGTTAATGTACCTCGTGTTTTGCCAGTTTAGACACTTTAGAATCCTCCTGACAGTTCTTTCTTGAAATAATATACATCTAATAATTAGTCATAATAAAGGCAAAGTTAGTAATTAGGAAATACAGAACTTCTTTATAATAGTTCAAGAATACCTCCAATAAATAAAGAAATATAAGCATAATAATAGTAACAATAAGGAGGATTATAAAAATGTTAAACAGCTTCAAATATTCTTTAAAAAATGCCTGCATTAGATTAATAATTAGATAAAAGAGATTCTTAACTTGGAAATAATATGTTTTCAAGTAATGCAAATTTGTAGATAAAAAGTACGGGTTTTGATAGAATGATGGAAAATAATAATCAAATACCTTTAGATATAAAAAGTAATAATAATGTTTGGGTTTGCTAACATGTAGATTATAGTTCAAAATATGGTCTTGGTTATATGCTTTCAAATGGATGCGCAGGCGTATTATTTAATGATAATACTAAAATTGTAACTGATCATAAAGGAGTTAATTTCGAATATATTCAAAAAGTTGATAATACAGATATTATTTAATAGCATTTAATTAGTGATTATCCAAAAGATCTTAAAAAAAAAGTTACTCTTTTGTAACATTTCAGAAATTATCTTATGTCTGAAATTTAAAAAAATAATGTTATACTTAATAGAAATAATGAGAGTAATTCTTCTAATTCGGTCTATTTAAAAAAATGGATGAAAACTAGACATGCAATCATGTTTAGACTTTCTAATAAAATAGTTTAAGTTTAATTTGCTGATAAAACTGAAATTATTCTTAATAGTACTGAAAAAATTGTAATTTATTTTAATAAAAAAGGAGAAAAAACTCATTATCCTTTAGCTGATGCTATGTATTCCACTAATCAAGAAATGACTAAAAGATTAAAATATACTAAAGAAATACTTACTCATTTACTTGCAAATAATATGAAAGGATAACAATAAATTTAATAATAAGAATAAAATATTTAAGGTTAAGATGATATTTTTAAGGATTAAAAAATATGATTTTATTTTATTATATGCAATATATAAAATATTATATATAATTTATATATCAATACATATATAATTTATGATAAATTTTTTATTTTTATCTTATTTTTATATTATTAATATTATTCATTTTTTTTACTTTTCTTGTTGATGTTTAATTATTTACTTTTATATTTTTTTTTTATATCTTTATCCCATAGTATTTTTTTATTTTTTTATAATTATTATATTATTTTATATATATAATAAACATTATTTTATTTTTAAATAGATTATTTTTGTAATAAAATAAAATATTAATTTTGAATAATATTAGTATTAACTATTTAATTAATGGTATTCAATGTAATATTTTTTTATAAATTAATTTTATAATTTCTTTTCTAGTGATATTATTAAATTAAATACTTAATTATTATATTTATATTATTTTATAATCTTTTAGATTTTATTGGGAGTGGGAAAACGAGAAAAAAATAAATTTATATTTTAAATTCTGATATAAAACTATATTTTTTATAAAATTTAGAAACGAAAAAATCACCAAAAAAAAACTTTTTAAAATATTATAAAAGAAAAAAAAAAATTAAAATAAAAAATATTATTAATTATTCATTTATTTATAAAAAAAAAATTTTTTTTTTTGGAGAAAAAAAAAAAAAAAACATTAAAATAAATTAAAATTTTTAACAAAAATACCAAAAATCTTTCACAATCTAATGCCTTTATAAAAGAATATATAAAAAGCCATAGTAAATGGTAGATGGACAGCTGAGGAACACTCTAAATTTATAGAAGGCATTGTAAAATACTATAAAAATTGGAAAAAAGTGGAAGAACATATAGGAACAAGAACTGGAGCATAAATAAGATCACATGCTTAGAAGTTTTTTAATAAATTAGAAAAAGACATATAAAATAATGTACAGCTTACTGAAGAATAATAAATGCTATAAAATGTTATTTATAATAATAATTTCTGTGTAAAGAAATTAAATTCATCATGCTCATCTGTAAGGGGAAGCATAGTTAAAAAATCTATGAAAAAATAATTAAAAATGTAAAAATAATTAAGTGAAGAAAAAAAAACGTGTGAAACTTCATAAGGTATTATAATTTTTTTTTTTTTTTTTCTATAAAATATAATTTTATATTAAAAAAAATAAAAAAAAAAAATTGTAATATATATATATTAATTAAAAAAATTTTAATTTTTTTTAATATAATTATATATATAGAAAATTATTAAGATTTAACTTCTTATTCATAGAACAATCAAATATAATTTGAATGTTAATAAACTAAGGAATAAATCTTATAAAATTAAACAAATGTTAATTACTTTGACTAACAACTTGAATATAATAATACTTAAAATCGTAGTAAATATAATGAATAAAATTAATTTTAATAATTAAATAATAATGAAGAATTAAATTTCTAAAATTACTAAAATAATTAATATTTAGAAAACGATAATTTAATGTATTTTTTTTTTTAATTAAAAATAATCAAATTTTTATTAAATTAATAAAAATAAATAAATTAAAGATAATACATATAAATCTAAAATGAATACTCGTAACTTATGAATGAATAATTTTATTTTAATAACAGACGTGCTAGATTTGAAAGCTTTGATTTGGACAATTAGATTAAAAATAACTAAAGACAAATACCTAATTTTAATTGAATTTAAGAAATATAATGTAATTTATAGTAACTAATTATACATATATAATATATATGTATATATATTTATAATTCGTTATTCATGTTTTCATATTTAATTTTTTTTTTTTTTTTTTTTTTTTCATTCAAATTTGATTATTATTTAATAATATTTATTACTTTAATGTTTGTTAATTTTTATTTGCTTTTTTTTTATTCTTATTCCTTTATAAAATTATAATAATAATCATATAAAAATATTTTATAAATATACTGTTGATTTTTTAACAAATTTATGCTTTTTTACTCTATGATATCAATTATTTTATCTCTTTTAAAGCTTTCCCATTTAATTCTTTTTTCTATTTCTATAAATAAAATTATATATATATATAATATATTTTTATTTAATATTAATACGTATTATATATTATAGATTATTTAATACCTTCATCAATTATTTTTTTTTTCTCCTCAATTGTATAAATATTGTTAATAAACTTATTATTAAAATAATCATGATTAGACTGTCTTAAAGAATTTCTTCTTTAATTAGCATTTTTAGTCTTCATGCTTTCATTTTACTTATTATTACATTAATAACTATTAGAAAAATTATAATTTTGGTTTTATTAAATTGTAAAGCTTCTCCGTTTTTTTTCTATCTAAATATTATTGTTATTATTATCTTTAGAATTTTAAGCAAAATTAGGCGAATTTCTAGCCGAAATTGAATTTATTTTTTCTTAACTATCTTCTTTTAATAATTATTCTTTTAACTTCTTACTAGAATTTTGTTCAATAAAAAAATTCTAATTAACATCCTAAAATGTGGGTAGTGGCTTTTCAATAAATTAAATATGGTTTTTGATTAAATTTATTTAATTGTTTATATATTCATAATTAGTATTTGTTTTTTGTGTTAAATTATAAAATTGGTCAATTTTTTATTGTATTTTTTAAAATATTTAATTATTGTTTGTTATTATTTCATTCAAATTTATTAATTACTAAACTTCAATAAAGAACAATTTTTATATATTTTTTTTTTTTTTACATTATATTGCATTTCAAATCTTTATATAGATATCATTATGGCTTTTATTTTTTCTTCTTATTATATATTTTTTTTCTCAAATTAAACTTTTTAGTCTAATAATTTGTCTTCCAACTTTCTTGTGTTAAAGTGATCGCAATGCTTTTTTTCATCCTTATATATAATAAATTTTAAATTAAATATTATATAATACACCAATAATATATATATTTTTATTTTTTATTGTCAAAAATATATGTAGTATATTTAAAATTTGAAAAAAAATTGTTTATATTTTTACTATTGTTTATAAGTTTATACACTCTTAAAAAAAGTTTTCTTGTTTTTTTTCAAGTTTATATATTTTTTATTCTATTTTTTAAAATAAATTATCATATAGATCAAACTTTTTCACTAGGCTATTATTTTCTTATATTTAAAAAGATTTTTTCATTTTTTTTTTTTAATTATTTTGTATCAAATATTATTTTAAAAATATAAATTTAAATTATTTTTTTTAAATACATTAATTATATTTATAAATAAAAATATAAAAACATTTATTATTTTTTAAAAATATAAAATGTTTACAACATAAACATAATAAATTGAATTAAATTTAGAAAAAATAGGTATAAAAAATATATTTACAAAAGCAAACATTGTTTAAATTAAATTCTATACAAATAAAAAATAGACACTAAGATAATTTATTAAATAATAAAAAAAGCTTAAGAAAATTATGAAAATGAAAAATAATATAATGAAGACGCCCAGTTAAATTTAATAAAAATATTAGCATCTTACAGTGTTATACTTTAAAATAATAGTAAAAATAATATTCATAAATATAGAAAAAAATAATTTTTAATATTTATTTAAAAGATATAGATCCAAAATTCGATACACTTTACTATTAATATTTTGTTTAATTATCTAAATTTATGTCTTAATATTATTTAAATGATTGGATGAATGCGGCTTATACATGTAATTAATAATATAAGAATTAATTAAAAAAATAAAAGCAATAAAAAAATAATAATTTAAAATAATTAATAAACCAAAATATTTCTGAAATAGAATCTTAATTAAACGAAATAGATAGAAGTTAAAGTCGAATTGAGTTAAAGGAATCACAAATAAATTAAAATTCTAATGTTAATTAAAGTGTCATAAATAATAAATATTTTAATTAAATTAAGCATGAGTTAGGTTTTGATTCAATTTTAATAGATTGTAATGAAGATATTGATAAAATTTCTTAGTAAGATTTATATGAATATTTTAAAATTAATAAAGAAAATAAACCTTGTAATTTTAGTATGGATAATACCTTAGTATAAATATAAAAAAATCATCTAATAAGTTTTGGTGATAATCTAAAAACTTTTGACAATACCTTATTTAAATATTTCATTAAATGGAAATAATTTGTTGAAAATAGAATTCAGAAAAAGTAAAAAAAATAATAATATATTTATCAATTTATTTTCCCTTATTATAGAACGAAAAAATAAGAAAAAATATAGAAATATGTTATCTCTATTTAATATAATTAAAATTTACTTTTGTAAAAAGTTTTGTTTTTATTAAAAGGTTATTCTTCTTTGGTTAAAGAAAAAAAGAAAAAATATTTAAAATTTAAATTTTACTTAAAAAAAATCTTAAAAAAAAATATTTTTTATTATACAGGAAAAAATTTAGTAAAATATAATTATTTAAAAAAAAAAATATGTATTTTATATTAAAATAGTGGATCTCAAAAAATAAGAAATTAACTATGAAAATTCAGTTTAATTATATGATTTTATTTTAAAAAGAAGGGCTCTAATAATATTATATTCTTATAAAAGAAAAATAAAACCTTAAAAAATATAATTAAATAATAAATTTTAGGTGGAATTTTTATTTATTTAATATCTTTAATAAAGGCTTAAATTTTCACAATTATAAAAAATTCTTACAAGCTTTAATAATTTTAGATTTAAGCAAATATACGAGTATTTAAGTTAATATAAGGTTTTCTATGATTAAAATTTATTGAAAAAAGGATTAGAAATGATAAAATTTAGTTTTATGTAAAAGGCTTTTTAAGGAATAAAAAGTTATAAGGAATACACTTTAAGAGCATTAAGATAAAGAAAGAGAACTTTATTTAATTAATGGAAGTATCAATAATTTTTAAAAAGGAAATACAATGAAAAAAATAATTAATTTTTTAATATTAAATATACAATAATGTTAACAAAAATTATAGAAAAATGGCGTTTCTAGACTAAAATAAATATTAAAATCCGTTAAAGATTAAAATATATGAATATTTAGAAAAAGTATTAAACATTAGAAAAATATTTTAATTAATGGATTTATTTTTACTTATTATAAAAGAAATTAAAAGCTCATTTAAATAAAAAAGATTAAAAGATCAAATAAAAGTGTTTTTATTTACTATTTAATTATTAAGAAATAAAAAAACAAAAAGAAAGATAGAAATATAATACTATATATTTTTATTATAAAAGGCTTTATAGAAAAATATTTGATTCTTTATAATAATTCATCTATTAAGAAACTACAATATTTAGAATTTTATTTAAAATTAAAAAAAAAATATAAACTTAAAATATAAGTTTAAAAAATGGAGGCAGTATACTGTTTTAGAACATATAGTAAGAAATTATTTAAACCAAAAACTTAAAATTAAATATTTTCAAAAACTTAAATTATTATCTTAATAAAAATAAATTTAAATTATTTAATTTTAGCAAAAAATGTTCTTTAAGATTAAAACAAATTTTTTTTAGAAATTAATAGAGTTCTCGAATTAAAGAATATCCTTATAAATTAAAGCCTTTAATTTTTATTAAAAAAACCTTTTATTTAGAATGTTTTAATGTCTAAAATAATATTAAGTAATAATAATAATAAATTTATATTTAATTTTAATATATAAATTTTAGGAAAACAAATAAAATTCTAAAATAATTAGTTTAAATGTAAAAAAGTTTATTTATAGAAATCAACAATAAAAGTCAAGAAAAATAAAATAGGATTTTTTTAAAAATTGGAAATTTATTATCAATTAAAAGTCTTTTATAAAACAACAAAATTTAATTGCTTTAAAGAATTATTATTAAAATTAAATAAAAAAAGCTTTAAAGATATTATTTATTAATAAAAAAACTAGAAAATTCAAAAACTTAATTAAAATTTAATATAAAAGGAAATAATTTAGTTTTTTTAAATTAGCTTATTTTAAAATACTATAAATAAAAAAGATAAAATTAAGTATTATGTTAATAATGAAATAATTATTATATAAATCTTAATAATAATAAAAAATAATATAAATTCATTTATAAAAATAAAGAAAAAAAGTTTAGTAAAGGTTCTTTGAATAAGTGATATTATAGTTAAAAGTTAAAAAGCTAAAAAAATTAATAGAATTTAAAATGAAAAAAAATGTGATATTCTAATTAAATTTTAGATAATAATAATAATAAAAATTATAATAAATTGAATTTTAAATTTAGAGAAATAAAATGAAAAAATATTTTGAAAAATTTAAAATATAAAAATATTTAAAAGTTAAATAATTATAAAAAATAATAATGAAGTAATTTTAATATTTATATATATTTTTAAAAAAATTAATATTATAGATTTAATGTATTAAAAAAATGGCAGAAAATAAATAATAATTTCAAAATATTATAAAAATAAGCTATATTAAAGAAATTTTTAGATTTTAAAAGTTTTTATAGAAAACTAAAATTTTAATAAAAAAACAAAATCTAACTGAATATAGCCTTATATTTTTATAAAAAATTAAACTTTCAAAAGCTATTAAATGCCTATTATACAAATATTTAATTAAAAAATAAAAAATTATTTCATTAAAATTTTATGCAATAAAGGCAATTTTTTATTTATTATTATTTTTTAAATATTTTTATAAAATTAAAAGATTATGAAAAATTGTTTTATTAATTGGAAAAAAATTAAAGATACAAATAAATACAAAAATTATTAAAAAATTTCAAATCTAACAAAGAGCCATACTAGTAGTATTAATTAATATTCATCTTTTTTAAAGAATATAGAAGGCGAAAATAATAAATCTTGGTCTTTATCAGAAAAAGAAAATTTTTGTGTAAAAAAGAAAATATAATGAAAATAAAGAAATTTCTTATTTATAATAATTAAATAATTTTATTATTATATATTATTATTAAATAATTATTATTTTTTTTAATTTTTCATATATGATTTTTTATAAATTAATATAATTATTTTTATTATCGATTTTAATTTAATTTTATATTAATAAAAAAAAATATAAACTTTTTTATTTTTAATTTTTTATCATAAATTTATTAATAGCTATTTTTTATAGAAATAAATGTTCTTAAATATATAGTTTTCATTTTTAAAATATATTATTTAAATTAATATGTTTATTTTAATTAATAATGAAAATAATATTTGAATTTTTAGATTTATTTATTAAAAATAATACTTATATGAAATTAATCTTTTTAAAATAATTAATGAATAAGGTTATATACAATTTTAAATAATATGTTTATTATAAATAATTTTTTTTCTCAATTTATATAGAATTAAAACACAATTATAATATGTATTTAAATTATAATAAGATATTTTTTGTTATATCAAATTTATATTAATTACAATGTCTTTAAAAATGAATTATTTAAGAAGATTTAAATTTTGTAATAATTATTATGAAAAAAATTAAAAAAATTATTTTTAATCATTTAAAAATTAATGAATTTTTGAAATTTACAATATAGACATAAAATATAAATATTATATTTAATAAATTATTGAATTTTTAATGAAACATTTGTAAAATAAAATATAATAATTAAACTTTTTATAAATGATTATAATAATTTGTCTTATAAAATATTAATCATATGAATTTTAAACCATATAGTTTATATTTTGTAATATTTAGATTTTATTTAATATAAAATAATTTTTCAAATAATACGTAAATTGTTAAAAAAAATTAAAAAGTAAATAAGAATTTTATAAATTAAAATAATTTTAAGTATGATTATAATTTATTAAATATAATGTTTAAACGTTTTAAAATTAATTTAAAATTAAAATAATTTTTTATTAACATGTTTTTTTTCAAAAAAAAAAAAAACACATTTATAAAAATATATATAATAAATAATATTTTTTTTAGAATTAATTTTAAAAAGAATTTAGACAAAGATTGGATATTAATGAAATAAAATAATAATAAATTAATAAAGGTAAACATAAAAAATTTTGTGTTTTTAAATAAATTAATATATTAATTTGTTTATAAGTTATAAAGTATATAAATCATATTATAATTTTGTTACAAATTTAATTTTAAGTAAATTATTTGTATTAATTTATATTAAAAATCATCAAAAAGACTAAATTTAAATATATAATTTTATTCCTTTAATTTATACTAATTAAAAAGAGAAGAAAAAAAAAATTAAATTTAGAAGTATAAAAATAATTTTGTATAAATATTTTTAAATATTAATTTTATACAATATATATAAATTAAAAAAAATAAAAAATAAACATAAAAAAAAAGTCACACAAAAATAAAAAATGGCTGAATAAATTGTATAAATCATTAACAATTTAGTCGGATAAATATAGAATCCCGAGATCCAAAAATAAGCTGAGGAATCTTTAAATCTTTTTAGTTCTTAAAATCCAAACGAATTCGTTTAATACTTAATATAAATTTTAAAAAGTAAAAAAATAATAACTATTTATAAGATTATATTTTTAAAATAAAATAGATTCTTAAAATGAATAACATAGAGTATTCGTAGCCAGTCATTTAAGAAAAATAACATCTAAATTTGCCGAAAAATCATTTGTAAACATATGGGATTAACTTAACGTAGAATCTTAATAATTAATATAGACTTAATTATTCGAATGCTTAAAAACCGAACCTGTTTAAAACATAAGATACTTAATAAGTGATTGTATAGGAGAATTAGCAGGTTCTTTATTAGAAGATCCTTAAAATAATAAGTGGCCTGAACTTGTCCCATTATTATGGTAATTATTTATGCAATCAAATACAAACTTAATAGAAAGTGGTTTCAAAATTTTAGTGAATTTATTAACTTTTGCTTCTGATACATTTGAAAAGAGCCAAAATGAACTCAAGAATTTATTCTAAAATGGTATATAGAATGAAAACGTTAAAATATCAGTAGCTTGTATATAAGCATTAGGAGCATATCTATCAGTATTAGAACCTAAATAAGCAAAAGGATTTTAATACTTAATTCCTTAAATGTTAAATACTCTTTACAAAGTCCTAAAAACTGATTAAGATGAAGGATAACTTATTTTGGAAGTTTTTACTGATATTGTAGAAACTGAACCTAAATTTTTCAAGGAAAATTTCGAATAATTATTCTCTACTGTTTGGAAAATCAATATGGAAGAAAAAGAAATTGAAACTGATATCAAACATATGGGAACTGAAACTTTAATATCTTTAGTTTAAAGATTACCTTAAATTGTTCGTAAGAATTAAGAATACTTATTAAAATTAATTGAATTGATTTTCTCTCATATGATTGAAATAGACCAAGAAGTAACCGATGAATGGAAATAACCTCCTGAAGGTTTCAATGAAGATATAGAAGAAGATGCAGATTTCGAAACTACAAGATTTGGTATGAATGCAATAGATAGAATTATAGATTCAGTAGGAGATAAAGAAACACTTCCTATATTATCATAAACAGTAGAAAAATTACTCTAACATGCTGATTGGAGATATAACTATGCAGCTATTATGGCTCTTTCTTAAGTCGGTGAATATATTGATGATGTAGCCACTGTTTAACCTATTATGGATGTCGTTTTGAAATTCTTAAGTTCTCCAAATCCAGTTATTAGATATGGTGTTTTCCATGCTATTGGGTAAATATCAGATGATATGAAACCTGAGTTCTAAACTGTATATAAAGATAGCATTATGAAAGTAATTCTTTAACATTTAGATGATCCCGTACCTAGAGTAGCCTCTCATGCAGCTGCAGCTTTGACTAATTTTGTTGAAGGATTTACTGAATAAGATGTATAACCTTATTTGTAGGTTACTTTGGAAAAATTGTTTGCTTTAGTAAATAGTGGATGTTCGATTGTAAAGGAAAATTGCATGACTGCTATTGCTTCTACTGCTGAGGCTGCAAAAGAACATTTTCATGCTTACTTTGATATATCTATGCCTATTTTATTCAAGGTATTTGATGCTTATAAAGGAAAAGAATATAAATAATTAAGAGGTTAAACTATTGAATGTATTACTCTTATTGCACACTCTGTTTCTAAAGAGAAATTCCTTCCTTATCTTGATTAAATTACTAATATTATTATTAACATATAAGAATCTAATCTTGATAATTAAGATCCTTAAAAGACTTACGTACTTTCTGGTTGGTAACGTCTTTGTTTGAAATACAATGTAGAATTAACTACTTATTTACCAAAAATATTACCTGGTGTATTCAAAATTGTAAGCTAAATAATAAAAAAAGATGCCTGTGATTCTGATGAAGCTGAAGTAGCTCTTGCTATGTTGGAAGTATTTATTGATTAATTCGGATCTAATTATGTTAATTATGTAGAGGAAACTACTAAATTAATATCACCTTTATGCAGTTATAAATACTCTGAATCTATTAGAGATTAAGCATCGAAATGTTTACCTGGTTTGATTAAATGTGCTTAATAATAACCAGAAACTTAAAAAAATATGGTGAGATATTTCCTTGGATTATTATGGGATGCTGCATCTTCGGAATTCGATAGCGAAATTATAATTTCTTAAATTACTGCAATGAAAGAATGTATAGAGAGTTGTGGAAAATTCATGACTTAATAAGAAATATAAAGTCTCTCAGATAAAGTTATTAAGTTACTTTTGGATTCTGATAAAAGAAAAGCTGAGAATGAAAAATGGAAAAATGAAGAAGATGTTGAAGATGAAGAAAAAAACATACTTGAAGAAGATCTTAAAATTGAAGAAAATTTATAAGTTTCTATCGCTGAATTAATTGGGGTACTTTTCAAAACTCATAAAGAATAAACACTTAATTTGGCTCACATTTTATATACTTAAGTGTTACCTAAAGTTATGGATAGCAAAGTTTCAGATAATATGCATAAATTCGGACTTTTCCTTATTGATGATATGGTTGAATTCCTCGGATTTGAACATATGGGGGATAAATGGGGCGAATTTGCTTAAGCTTTGTCTATTTTTGCTGTTGATAAATCTTCATAAGTTAGATAGGCAGCAGTATATGGAATTGGTATTTTCGCTTAAGTTACCCCTACTGCATAATTCTCTGTTTATGCTTAAGGTTTAGTTAAAACTTTACTTGCTTCTATTGCTTATCCTTAAGGAAGTGAAAAGGAAAAAACTTATGGCCATGCAAAAGATAATGCTATTAGTTCTCTTGGTAAAATTATTAGATATTAAAGTGAAAGTTTATCTCTTAATGAAATTTTGGGCTTATGGTTAAATAATCTTCCTCTTAAATTCGATAAATAAGAAGGCGTATTTTAACATAGATTACTTGCCGAACTCACAATTAATAGACCTGATCTAATTACTTAAAATGAGGGTTTCATTTAAAAAACTATTGTTACTTTTGGATAAGTTTTGGGAACTAAATTTGTTGATTAAGAAGGTACTGCTCTTATTCATTAAGCTATAAATAGATTAACTTAAGTTGATTTTGTTAAAAATAATTGGAATTCTATTGTGGCTAATTTAACTGACGGATAAAAAGTTAAATTATAATAAGGTGCTTAGGCTTAATGATTTTTATTTTTTTAATTCTAAGAGAATGAAAATATTTTTTTTCATTTTTTCTTTAAAATATAAGTTTATATATAAATATAAAATATTTGTGTGTGTGATTTAATAGAGTTTAATTTTATTTTCAAAAAAAAAAAAAAATATTTATTTTATATCAAATTAATTTTTTTTTTTTTTGGACTATAAATTATTCAATTATATAAATATTTCTAAAAGTATATTTATAAATATGAATATTATTTGAAAATATATAAAGCAAATTTATGATTATAAATAATCATTTTTTAAAAGAATTAGGCATAAGATTAATATAACTATTCAAAAAAAAAAGCTTTATTTTTCACTAATAAATAGCAAAAGTTAAATAACCAGTATGGCCTTTAATTTCACTAGGTCCACTTGTATAAAGAACTTGATTTTTTGAATTATAATGCTGTTACTCATCTTCTTCGTCATCGTTTTCATTATTACTTTTATTTGCATTGTTATCATCTTCGACTTCACTTTAAAAATAAAATAAATATATAGTTTTTTTTTTTTCAAAAAAAAATAAAAAAATACTCTAATTTAGGTCCTTTCCTTTTAACATTTAATTGCTTTTCTTAAGTTTAAAAGGCACTTTTAAATTACTTTTCTCTTTTATAAAAATTTCTTTATAAAATTTCAATTGTTTCAATTTAAACAAATTAGTATTTTCTCATTTCTTCACAATTCTTTTATACAGACTCAATACAAGGAGAAAAACAGCATAATCTTCCTCCTTTTTTTAAAACTTCTACAGCATGACAAATAGCTTCTGATGGTCTTGGTAAATCTAAAAAAACTGCATCAGCTTTGTTTTTGCTTAAATTATATTTTTCACCTTCTTGAGGTAAAAAACCAAAAGATATAACATCTCTCCATATAACATCGAAATTTTTAAGTTTTTAAGTATTTAATACTTCTTATCCGTTTTTGGCTCTTTCTTCATTAAATTCAAATGTAAATAAATGTCCGCTATTTTACACAACTCTGGCTATTGAGGAGCTTAAGCTTGCACTTCCAGTTCCTTTATTTTATCGTTATTGTTATCAGATTTTTTTTTAAATTACCTGACTCTACTACTATAGATCCAGGTTATATATTTAATTTTGATATCACTATTGATATATCAGCTTAATATAAAATTTATGTTTTATGGGCTATACTATCTGTTAATAAAACAGGGTCAGGGCGAAGTACATATACATATCCTGTACTTTTATTATTATAAATCTATATTTTATTTATTTTAAGATAAGATTTTTTTTTTTTACTTTTGAACCATATTATTGCCCGATTATAGTACGATGGTCAAAATGACCTGTTTTATTTTAAAAAAATCCATCCATTTTTAATATTTGTAATTTTAGAGAATTTACACTTTCATAAAAAATGACTTAATCGTTTTCATATATTGTATTATCAAATTATTGCATTTTTATTTTATTATTTTGTATTTTAATTAATTTTATATATATATATATTATTAATTTTATATATATATATATTATAAATTTTAGACATTTAACTTATACTATAAAAATTGAATTAAATAATTAATTCTGTAAAATTAAAATTTTAAATAATACTATAGTTAGTTTTTTTTTATTTTATTTATTATTATATTTTAACTATTTCCGAAAAAAATACTAATTATTATTTTTAATTTTAATTTTAAAATTAGGTTACATGTTCAATTATTTATTTTTAAAAAATATAAAAAATATTTATATTTTTTTAAGTCTTTTTAAATTCATGAAATAATATTAATTAAAATCAAATTATTTCCAAATATTTCTTTTATTATTGCTTTTCTCAATAAAGTTTATTTACTATTGATTATTAAATTTAAATAAAAAATAACATTAATAAAATTTAAATAATTTTAATAATTGTTATTAAAAAAAAATACACTTAATAAAGCAAAACAAAGGTTGCTACTAAATAAATTTGAGAAAATTAATTTATTATATATAAATTATTAATTATGCTAAATAATATACAAAATGAAGAATATATTATAAATTAAAGTTTTTCTCCACTAAATCAGGTTTGCAAAAAAAAATATTTTTTATAAAATTCAAATCTTTTTTTATTATTAAATTTTTAAATAGACATATTAGTTAATTAATAGAACCATATTAAATTAACCTATCGAATAAAATTAAAATATATGTAATATTTAGTAATTAGATTAAATTCAATAAAAAATAGAAAATGTCCCTAAATCAAATGAAAAAAACTACAACATATTTAACAAAAATATTTTAACTCAACCGAAAAAAGTAGTAAATATACTTTAAGCATTACACTTATTATTTAATGTGATGAAATTTATAAAAATAATAATAAAAGATGCTCGCATATATCAATTATTAACAGAAGAACAACACGAACTAATATAAGATAAAGCAGCTTTTTTTACTGTTATAGTAAAAAAGAATGATTCTATCTATAAATTAAAGCAATTAATAATAACAAAATTAATAAAAATAATAAAATAACTAAATAAAATACCCACAATATCACCTATATCTCCATTAAAAAAACTTTGGGATTTTTTCGTGGCTTGCAATATAGTTGTATCAATATATAATTTTAGTTTAGTAATATTCTTTGATATGAGTGTATATTCAAACATTGATACATTCCAATTTAATTATATAATATCTTTAATTGATATTTTTTTATAGTTTAACACCGGAATTTCGGAAAAAGGGAAATTCATAATGTAAAGATAAGTAATATCTTTAAATTATTTAAAGAAAAATTTTATATTTGATTTAATTTCAAGTATTCCTTTATTTATTTTTTTCTATTAAATTCCTTTAGATCCAATTATTTTACGATTTTTAACATCTCTTAATTTTGTAAAAATTTATATTTTAAATGACATTGTTGATAGATTAGCTACATACTTAAGTTTTGAAAAAAATCTTAAAAATCTTGTTGATTTAATTAGAATTTCCTTAGTTATTATTACTATTGGACATTTCTTTGCTTGTTTTTGGCATGGATTAGCTATTTATGAAATTGAATAATTAAATAGGTAGGATACTTGGCTTCACTCTAAAAACCTTATTGGTTAATCCGTTTATGTAAAATATGTTTATGCTATTTATTTCCTTGCCGCTACTATGATTACTGTTGGATACGGAGACTTGACTCCTTAAAATTATATCGAATGTTTATTTGTTATGTGTACAATGATTTTGACAGGAATGGTTTATGCATATTCATTGAATTCTATAGGTAATATTATTTCAGAAATAAATAAAGAAAGTTAAAGCCATAGAGATAATATGTAAACTATTCATGCCTTTATGCGTTAAGAAAATGTAAATTCTGATTTAAGGACTAGGATTTCTAATTATTTGGAATATTTATATAAAGTAAATACTTTTTAATTACACTTTTTTTAATTTAAAAAGGAATATAATTCAGTATAAAAATAAAAATAAATTGAAGTTATAGAAAAGCTTTCATAATAATTAAAGCATGATCTTATATATGAAGTATAAGGTAAATATTTGAAGGATATTCCGTTTATTTCTTAACTTGAATCTTACCATAAAATAGTTAATATTATGTAAGAATGCTCTTTTTCTCCTGGAGAATTGATTTTCAAACAGTAAGAATAAGATGATTGCTGTGTATATTATTTAGTCAAAGGTCAAGTTTAGATACTTTTTGAAAGTAGTGTTAAATATAGACATGATACTATAATAAAAGAATTACATAAGAAATAGTATTTTGGAGAAGTATCCCTTTTTACGGGAAATGCAAGAGAAAGTACGGCAAAAGCGATGGAGTTTTGCAGATTATATAAGATAAAAAGAGATGATTTTTTACAAATAATAAAAGAAAATTCTATTGATTTCGAACGTGTTTAAATGTTTAAAGAAGGAATTACACTTCAAAATAAATATAGAGCTTTAAATATGCCTTGTTATACATGTAATTGGGAAGATCATTTGGCTATTAGTTGTCCTAAAACACATCTGACAATAACTAAGCATGTATATATAAAAAAACTTAATTTATCGTTACCACATAAAACTAGAAATCCAAAAAAAAGAAAGAAATTTAAAATAAAATGCTTATTGAAATAATAATAATGTTATGAATCAATAATTAATATAAATTAAAACTAATAGTTTGAAAATTATTTAAATTAAATTGAAATAAACCTTAATATTAATTATGAAGAATTAGAAAGAATATAAAAATAATTAGATTAAGAATAAAATAATGCGCCTATTATTGAAGATTTAAATGAAAATGTAAAAAGCCCATAATCGTAAAACGATTAAAAATAGCTAAAAAATGATATTATATGTGAACTTAAAAATGAATAATATATTTATAAAAGAGATGAAATCAAATATAATAAAATTAAAGATTTATATTTTGGAGGATTTAAGAATAATATTTAACACCCCTTATGTTCTTTAAGATAAATAGATTAAGTTAATATTGATGAAAGTGAAAGAACAAATACAAAATCAAATTCAAATTCAGCTATTTTATCTATTGAAACTGAAATCTATAAAAATTAAGTTTAGATTGTTAATAATGGAATTGATAATTTTTTAAATATAAAAGATAATCTGATTGAATAATGTATTAATATAGAAAATTAAGAAACAAAATCAAATTAAACATTTGACAATCTTAGTTTAAATCATAATGATAAGAATCTAGTAATTAAAAATATAAATGAAAATTAAATATTTACTTAATAATCTTCCTAAGTTGATTTAATAAAATCCTAATAATCTTTATAAAAATAGAAAAACCCAGAAAATATAGTAAATGAAATAATTTCTGAATTCGAATAAAATAATTAAATGTTTAAACATAAGGGAACGATCAATAATGAAGAATAAACTAACACTTTATTTAATGAAAATAATATTAACAATAATTAATATATTTCTTCTGAATCTTCTTTATAAACTGGATCGATTCCTACTTTAAATATGGGTTCTTCAAATAAGATTATTTAGAAAAAGAAAAAAACACCAAATGGAAAATAAAGAATAAATAAAGAAAATAACACTAAAAAAAGAGTAGTAATTCATAGTATGAAAGAAAATAAAATAAAAATAATACTATAATTATTAAGACCTTCAAATAGAAAATAATCTTAACTTTAAAATTTTGAAAGATAATAATAATAACAATAAATTGATGGTTAAACATAAATGATTTCAAATGTTGAAAATTATGAATTTCAATAAAATTAATAATTAAAAATCCTTCTATTAGATTTTCGATTACATAAAATTTAATTAGTGATATAAAAAATTAAATAGGATCTTATACTGATTTAGAAGCAAATAAAAATTAAATTATTAATAATTTACCAATGTATATATTAGATAAATTAGATTTTTTTAAAAACTTCACTTACTATTATCCACATAATAATGTTGATCTTATATTAGATAGATTTAAAAAATTTTAGTCTGGAATTTAAAATCATAAAAATTAAAAAAAATATTAAAAAAGAAAAAACATTTTTGTGTAAGGGAAGCGACTATTAAATTTTAATGGAACAATAAATACAATAAATACTTATAAAAAAAAGAAAATATGAAAATTTTTCGTTTATTAATAATATTAGGTTAATAAATTGTAAATTAATAAATATATAAAGTGTAAAATAGATATTTATTATTATTATATTAAATTATATTTTATAATTTTTACAATATTTTATATGTTAAGATTAAAATAATTAAAATGTTATATTATTTAATTTTTATAAATACTTTATTTGATTTTTATAACTGATTATTTGATTTTCTTAAATTATTTATTTTTTTGTTTTCAATAAATAGTAATTAATTAAAAATAATTATATAAATGAAAAATAAATAAAAAATAAAGCTATCTTAAGCTTTAAAAGCCAAAAAAATTTCTTATTATTAATAAGATGTTTAATTAAATAATAGTTTTATTGTTAAAATTGATTAAATTCCTCAATTTTATCATAAATCTATAAAAAAATTAGATTTGAATCATAATTAAATAAGTTCTTTATAGGGATTAGAGTATTTAATCAATTTATAATAGCTGAATATACAATATAATTAAGTATTAAATTTATATTAACATTAAAAAACAAAAAACTAAAGATTTAATTTTTAGAAAATATATTTCCACTCAAAAAATTATAAAACTTGCGAATATTAAATATGAAAGGCAATGTAATTTAGCATATAATGAATTATTAGTATAATGTTGTTTATATTGTTAACTAATTGAAATATTTAGATGGTTGGGTATATAAAATATGAAGTTAAAATATTATTTTAAAATTTAGGAAATAACTGAGAATTGTAGATAGGAAAGTAAAGAATGTATTAATTAATATAATTAATTTATTGATATTCTTCTAAAAAATTATATTGAATTAATATTACTTTAAAATGTAAATATATTATTAATTATAACTTAAAAAAAAAAAAAAAAAAAAAAAAGATAAGTAAGAAAGTTAACTTGCATAATGAGTTATTAAATAATAGAAACAAAAATAAATTCAATCTATAAATATTGATAAGAAATTTCAATTTGGAATCAATTTTTTAAAAATAAGAAGTGATAGAACTTATGAGAATAAACTTATTAAATGATGTTTATTAAATATAAGCAAATATTTTAAAAACGTAAAATTATTTTTTTTTTTAGTTAAAATAAAAAAATGAACCAATTATTTTTTATAATAAAAAAGAAATAATATAATTGAAGCATTCAAAGATTTATAATAAAAACAAAAATAATTTAAAATAAAAATTATTTAAGGTTTAAAAGAGAAAACTCTTAATTTTAAAGATAAAATGAATTAAAATAAAATAAAATAAAATTTGTAAGAATTCTCTAATTAAAAATTATAATAAAAGTGTTTTTTATTATTTAAGTAAAATATTTTCAAACACTAAAAAATAAGGCTTTTTTAAAAAAAGCAAAGAAATAATTACTTAAAAACTTAAATTTATAAAATATTTAATTAATGGTTAAGATAAATTATTTTGAATTAAAAAATAAAAATAAATCTAAAAATAATAAATATAAAAACTTAATATAAAACTCTCTAAAAATGGAAAAGTAATATCTTATTTATTAAAAATATACAAAATTACTTTATTCAATAATAATTTTGTTTAAAATAAAAATATTTGAAACTACTTTATGAGAAAAAAAATTAAATTAAAATATATAAAGTATAGCTTTAAAATGCAGATCTTCAAAGAAATAAAAATTTAAAAATTTTTATTTTTTAAAGTTTGAAAACTTATTTGAAAAAATATTGCTTAAGTATATCTGAAGAAAAAATAAAAAATAGAAAATCAATAAATTATTATTAAAAAAAGGATTAAACAGAAATTTTTTAAAATGGAAATACTACTTTTATAATATAAAAAAATAAAAGAAAGAAAAACTGAAATTAAGTTAATTATTTTCAAATAGAATTTGCTTAACAAAAAATTTTTTATAATGGAAAAAAATAATTTAAATAATAAATTAAAAATAAATATTAGCATAAAAGAAGTTTATATAAAATTTAAAAAAGATGAAAGTAAGAATATTAAAGATATGGCAAAAAATATCTTAGAAAAATATGAAAAATAAAAAACTTTATTTATATTTTATCAAAAGAAAGTATTTTGAAAAGTGGGAGAAAAAAAAGCTAGAATAAATATAAGAAAAAATAATAGTTTAATAATTCTAAGTTGATATTAATAAAAGTTGAAAATTTAAGCTTTTATAAAATTAAAAAGTATTTTTTTCAAAAATAAAAATTTGAATATAAAAATAAATACGTTTACAAAAACAAGAAGAAAATTTCATAAAATTTAATAATATTTTTTATTCTGGAAAAGATTTTCTCATAAAACTAAACTTTTATAATTATTTTTGAAAAAAAAAACAAATAAATTTCAATTGAATATTTTATTAAATTTAAGCTTTATTTCTAGTTTAGTATTAACAAAAAAATAAGAAAATTAAAAATTCAAAGAACATATTTAAAAAAGTTATTTAATTCATGGAAAAAAACTATTAAAAAATAAATAATAATGAATAAATTTTAACTAAAATTATAAAGAAATTAAAAAAAATAAGTAAATTTTAAAAATATAATAAATAAAAAAATTAAATATATAGTATTATTTTTTTAAAAAAGTAATTTAAAAGTTTTATTTAAAGATTAATAATATTTAATTTAATTAAAGCAAAAAATAAATTTTATTTAAGTCAAAAGCAATGTAAATATTTCGAATAAGCTGAACTCTAATAATAACAATATATTAAGTCTTTAATTTAAAAAGTACTCTTTTATTTCTTATTTAAATTATAATTTTAATATTTTTTTATTTTATTTTACAAGAATGAAAGTTTTATAGAAATAATAAAAGTAATAAAAGAAGAATACGATTTAAAATTATAAAATTAAATATATGAAATTTAAATCAAATTTGATGAATTAATATAGTAACGGTAAAATGTAATTCATTAAATTAAATTAGAAAACAATATTTTAAAAGCTTAAAATTAAATGTAAGAAAAGAAAATTATTAATTAAAATATAGAAAGCAAATAACATTAATTATAATTGGATAGTTTAGCTGAAAATTCTTTTAGTTTTACTAAATATTTAACTTAAAATATTAATTAATGTTCAACAGCATGTATTTATTATATATATAATATATTTATAAAAAAACAAAAACTTAATAAAGCCATTTTAAATATGTAGATTAGCCAAAGATGATATAAATAGTTAAACTTATTATTTTTTTAAATTTAAATATAAAAATAAAAATAATAAAATTATATATTGAAAATAAATAAATATAAAATAATTATAATTTATTGTAAAAAAAATTAATTTAAATATATATATTATTAATAATATAAAAATAAATAAAATTAAAATTAAAAAAAATAAAAGAAATATTAGAAATATAAATGAACCAATATAATTATTTATTTAAATTCATTTTAATAGGAAACACGTGTAAAATAAAACTTTATATATAAAATAATTAAATACGAATATAATAATTCTATTATAATTATATATATATTATTTAACCTAAATATTATGTATAATTTATTTCTAAATATTTAAAATAGGCGTAGGTAAATCTTGCTTATTATCTTAATTTACAGAAGGAAGATTTAAAAAAGAGCATGATGCAACTATAGGAGTTGAATTTGGTTCTAAAAATATATTAGTAAATGATACAGTAATAAAAATACAAATATGGGATACAGTAAATAATCTATATAATTCAATATTATAAATAGATAATTATAATCAAAATATATAAAGGCAGGTTAAGAATCATTTAAAAGCATAACTCGCTCTTATTATAGAGGGTTACGTTATTTTTTATTTATTTTTTGATAAAATAAATAAACAAATTAAAATAGTTCAATAGGATCATTATTAATTTTTGATATTACACATAAAGAAAGTTTTGATAGCTTGTAAATGTGGTTAAATGAAGTTATTAATAATGCAAATAAAAGCCTTTCTTTTATTGTTATTGGAAATAAAATCGATTTAATTGGAAAGTAATACTTAATATTTATGTAGTGTTAGTATTTTTAATTAATTCTTATTTTTTTTACAAGGCGTTAAGTAACATATGAAGAAGCTTAATAATTTGCAAAAGAAAATAATTTTATTTATATTGAAACATCTGCTTTAACGGGTGAGAATGTAGAAAATGCATTTAAATAAATTGCAGAAGAAATTTTAAATAAAATATAAAATAAGGAAATTGATCCTAATAATCATGTAAATAATTAGTTTATATTTATTATATAAAGATAATTATTTAAAAATATATTTTATTCATAAATAAAAATATTTTAAAGAATTCAGGAATAAAAGTAGGAACAAAATAAAAATTTAATACTTAAAACTAAAATTATAATGAAAATTTAACATTAGAGTAAGATAACTAGACAAATAAAAAAAATTAATGCTAATGTTGATAGAAATTATAAAAAAATATTTTAAATAATAAATTTAATTAAGATTAAAATAAAAACTTTGATAATATATGTTATAATATATATATATAAATATATAATATATATATATATATATATATATTTATATATATTTTTCTATTTTATTTTATTTTATATTATTTTATATATATATCTATTATATAAATAACTATATCTCTATTTTTCTATTTATTAATTTTTTTTTTTTTAATTTAATATAATATAATTTTTATTTTTTCTATCAGATTTATTTATTTAATTTTAAATTTTAATAAAAATATATTTTGATAATTTTATATGAATATTTTATAAAATAATATATTTTTTTTTTTTATAGGCAAATAAATTTTTTAATTTTTATATATTAAATATTTAAGAAAAGTTAAAGAAATGTAATGCAGGCAAACGTTTTAACTTTTTATGAAATTTATTGGAATATCATTTTAAATTTTTTTTTTAATTCTTTTTAATACAATATATTATTCATTTATATATGACTTATGTTATATATACTATATAGCCTTTAATTTTAATAAAAAGATAATATTAATATTATTATTTATTGGAACATACATATCATTTAACATAATTTTTAATTTTTGTATGTCAGTTATAGTTTGTCCTGGAACTTCTATGCATTAATAAGTATAAAAAGTAAAATAAATAAAAATTTAATAAATTAAAGTAATACAAAAAAGGGTTTAATGCATTAAAATATGTGCAAAAAATGTATTTTACCAAAACCTGAAAGAGCTCATCATTGTTCGATATGTAATAGATGTGTATTTAAAATGGATCACCATTGTCCTTGGATAAATAATTGTATAGGATTTGAAAATCATCGTTATTTTTTATTATTTAATACATACTTGTTAATTGGAGTATCTTTTATGTCTTTATTATTCTTTAATATTTAATATAATTAATATTTTCATCAATTCCAAATTTATAAAACAAGAGTTTTTTAAGTAGTTTAAGCCTTATGTTATACTTTATTTATAATTTTGTTAATTTTTAATTATTGGAATTGGTATTTGGCTTTAATAGGGAAAACTACTATCGAGTTTTTGGCTAAAAAAACTGGATACAGAACTGTAAAAATATATAAAAATACATAAGATTGGCGAAATAATTTACATAATATTTTCGGTACTAAGAGTTTTTTTTAAATTTTTTTGCCAAGTATTAGACCTTTACTTTAAGACGGTACTTAATGGGATTTAATATAAGAAGAAGAAGAAGAAATATTATGAAATAACTGATATATACAATAATAATATCTATATATTTTATATAATTATATTAATAATTATTTTTTTTTACTAAAAAAAATCTAAATATATTATAAAAAGAAAAAAAAAAATGTAAAGTTTTTAAGATTTAATTAATAAAACAAAAGAAAAATTATAAAATGAAGCTAGAAAAGAATAAAAAAATATAATTTTTAGAAAGTTTAGATTCAAAGAAATTCAAAAAGACAATATAGAAGAAAGTGTAAAAATAATTAATGAAGAATTTAATGAATAACATCTCCTAAAATTATTACAAGAATTAAAGAATTATTTAATAATTTCCTAAAATATTAATTTGTAGATTTCTTAAATAGTTTTTTATTTTCGAAATTTCCCTTAAAAAACTTCTCTAATTATAACACATATTTATGATCAAAATCTAATTTTTTACCTTTTATAATTTCTGTAAAATAATCCTTAAAGTAATTAAACTTCTTCTATTATTCAGATTTTAGCTGTAGTAGCATCAGGTGATGAACTTTTTACAAACTCTATTTTAAAAAAAAATGGTTTGCATATATTTCTTTCTTTTCTTAACATAAATTAGGGTAATATAGATACGCTCTAATCTGTATTTCTTGGATTAATAAATTTATGTAGTGAATAAAGAACTGAAGTAAGATAATATTTGTAAAAATAGGGTATTATAAAACATTTAAATGATTTTTTATTATAAAAAATGAGCTATTTTAATTATTAAGAAGCTTTGGAATATTGTTTTTAGCTTTTAGCAGGTATTTGTTATGACGCTCCTATAAACTAAGATGTAAAGAATGAAATAATGAATATAATGGAAGTAGTAATATATTATTTAGAAAAAGAAAAAAAGAAGAAATAAGGAAATTTATTTTTTGGATAATTGAAAGTTTCATTTAATGGGGATTAGAAGATAATAATTATTTTGGAAAAATAAAAGATTTATAAATTATTGAAAAGTTAAGCTTTTTAATAAAATAAAGAAGTGATTAAAGAAATGTGAAAAATATAATGAGAATTTTGAATAAATTTTTAGAAAAAAAATACGGAGGGAATTAGTTTGTTTTTTTTTTTGAAAATTTGAGCGAGTTTTTTTTCGAAAATTTGAATTCTAAAAATTTGGTATTTTATGAGTTAAATTATTTGCTACTTTTTATTTAAAAGTAACCTTTGTAAACTTATAATTAGTTTTTATCTAAAGTTTTGATTGTGTTAGAGAATTATAATTAATAAATTAAAATTGTGGCTATTATTTTTAATATTGTGAAATAAGGAGTATCTTTTTAGGGAATTCAAATTGAAGATTTCAATGAATTGATGTAAATGTTTAATATTTTTTTCGGGTTTGAATAAAATGTTTAGATTTTACTTGATTCTTTGGATTTATTTGAATAATTACATATTTATTTTGATTGTAAAAAAGTTATTAAATAAAGCTAGAAACATTTTATTAATAAAAAAATCGAAGATTTATAGTTCCATTAAAATAATTTTGTTTATTAAAAAGCTTTATATATTTTAGATAAATATTATGTTTGAATAATAAAATTATTATTTTTTAATTTAAATAAATTATAAGATTATATATTATTTTTTTTTAAAAAAAAAAGATTTGATTTAATTATATAAGGAAAAAAAAAAATATTAAATTTTATAAAAGTAATTTTTTAAAAAATGAATGTATTAAACTTTTTTTTTTATTAAATTAGTATTTAAAAGCTAAACAAATAATTAAAAATAGAATCCTATATAAATTATTATTTTTATTAAATAATATATATAAAAATAAAATTAATAAACCTATAAATATAATAATATAATCAATTATTATACTTTAAATAAATTATAATTTTTTAAATTAAATATTAATTTAAAGAGATTTTAATAATTTGTTATATAAAAATCATTAAAAAGGCAATAAAAAAAATTTTTCCTCTTTTTTTTTTTTTTATATAAATTTTAAATTATTTACTTTTTACATTATCTTCATTGATATTCAATTCTATTATATGTTTATTCTTTATAAATTTGGGAAATATTAGTTTATATTTTTCTTAATATTTTATCTTTTCTACTATTTTTTAAAGGATTTTTCGTACATTTTAAAATCTTTAAAGGAAATAAAATCTATTTAATAATTTTTTAGTAATTTTTTCCTTTTGTTTCTTGTTTAATTCATTTATTATTAAGAAAATAAATTTATATGACTAGAAATGAATTCTGGTTATTGAATAAATTCACAAGATAATTTTAAATTGTAAATTTTGGTGACATAATAATTAATTTTTGCAATAAAAAAAAATTATGTTTTTTATTTAAATTATTTTTCTATATATAATAAGTATAATTTTTGTAGGATTTTGCAGAAATCATACATGCACATAAATTTAAAAGAGTTTTCCCATACATAAAATAATATTAATTATTTCTTTAGGAGATGGGGGGGGTGAAGTTGAATTTATTTTTTGTAAATAATAATACCAAAAATAATACATTTGGACGAATTTTGGAAGTTGCTAAGTATATTGGATTTCTGGGAACATTTATGAATATACAAATCGATAGATAATAAACCAAATATTATATTGTTTAATTAAATGATATTTGGAATAAGATTATATTTATAAATAAAAAAAAATAATGAGAATTAGTATATTATAGATTGTTTCACAATTATAATATATATTTTATATAATTTTTAATGTAATTTTTATAATCTAAATATTTAAATTTATTTTAAATTATTTAAGTAAATGTGATAATTATATATAAAATAACTTATATTTTATAATAATATTGTTTTAAAGTATAAAATTAATTTAATATATTAAATATTAAATAAATTTAATTATTATTAATCATATTTTCTTCACTTCATTAGAATAATTTTTTTTTTTTTTTTTTTTAATATGATTTATTTTACAATTTTTAAATATTATTATTAGAGATATAATATTTAAAAAAAAATTATATATATGTTAATAATAATGTTTTAAAACCTTATCTATTCTTTAATATATAAAGTAATATAAAAAAGAAAAATAAATATATGATAATAATAATGTTAATGCGTAATAAAAATTTAAATATAAATAATAACATTATAATTAAGATAATATTAAAACAAAAATTAAATGATTTAAATAAAAAACAAAAAAAACAAAAAATTTAATATTTACTATAAATACAATTAAAAATTTAAAAAATTATAAAAAAAAATTTAAATAATAAAATAATGGCAGAACATTTATCTATATATGACAAAGCTTTATAAGCAACCTAATATGTATAATCTAAAATATAATAGCCTCCTGAAATAGGATTAATATTAGGAAGTGGATTAGGAGAATTCGCAGACGAAATCGAAGACAAAGTATACATTCCATTCGGTGATATTCCACACTTTAAAAAATCTACAGTAGCAGGACATGCTGGAAAATTAGTAGTAGGTAAAGTAGGAAACAAAACTGTATGCTGTATGTAAGGACGTTATCATTATTATGAAGGGCATACTATGTAAGAGGTAGTTTTCCCCATAAGAGTTTTAAAATTACTTGGAATAAAAAAACTTGTAGTAACAAATGCAGCAGGAGGTATATCAAAAATGATTAATTGTGGAGATTTAATGATTATAAGAGATCATATAAATTTAATGGGATCTAACCCACTTTTTGGTTAGAATGATGAAAGATTTGGACCCAGATTCCCTGATATGTCGGAAGTTTTTAATAAAGAATTGTCTGACGTAGTTGCTAAACATATGAAAAATTTAGGTATTGGAGTTAAAAAAGGAGTGTATGTTGCATTTACTGGACCTTCTTATGAAACGCCTGCAGAAATTAGTATGGCTAAAACTGCGGGTGGTGATGCTGCAGGAATGTCAACAGTAAATATATAAATATAAATATATATATATATGTATATATATATTATTCTATGTTTATATTTTTTTTTTATATTATTAAAGGTTCCTGAATGTATAACTGCTAATCATATGGGAATTAAAGTTGTTGGTATTTCTTGTGTAACTAATATGGCTGCTGGAGTCACTGAATTTAAACTTAATCATTAGGATGTTATTGATACTGCAAATTATGTAAAATCTTGCTTCAAATAATTATTGAAAAACTGTATTCCTGATCTTTGATTATTTTTTTTAATGATAAACTATTTAAATTTATTTTTTATAAAACTTGAATAAATATAATTCTTTTTTTCTTAAAAAAAAAATATATAAAAATTAATTCATATTAATAAATTTTTATAAAAAGTTTTATTTTGATATTAATTTAAATTATTTAAAAAAAAAAAATTATAATGTAAAATTTAGAAGGTGGAAATTTTTATTCAAATTATATAAATTAACAAAACCAAGACTATAATTAAAGCTAAGTATAATTAAGAAATTCAACAAAAGATCATCCACATTAAGAATAACTAGCATAATATGTCTTAGATTAAGCTAAACAAGGAAACGCGAATATAAATGAAATTTTAAAATAAACAGTACATGCATAATAATAATACAAACTTTTAGAAAGATTAGATTTTAGTAAAAGTAACCATCCAACAGCATGTTTTTTCCATATTTTTTTCAAATTTTTTGCCTTAATTGCCCATTTGTTTTTTTCATTTTTCATGTCCACTTTATCTTTAAATTATTTAATTATATTATTGTGTTGTTTTGATTTTTGGGTTGTAAAAAATATTACTGGAAGGTATATTTAATAAATATATTTTTTTATAAATATGGATTATTATTGGTGGGGGGGGAAAACAAAAAAAAAATAAAAAAAAGATTATTGATTGGACTAAGATGGTGGAGTCAAATTAAAGAAGATAATACTACTGAATGGATTTTCGAATGCAAATTAAATAAAAATGAAATAAATGATTTTAATTTTAAGTTTTTTTGGGGCGCTTAATTATTAGTAAGTATTATTTGGATTGCTTTATTAATTTTTAATGTTGTTGGTATTGATATTATTGATGTAATTTTATTTATTTTTATTTAATTTTTTTGTTAAAAAAAGGCATTTATTTGTACGTTTGCTTCATTTACAAATTGTTGTAATTCATATTATTTTTATAAATGTGATACAAGTAATATATTATTTTTTGAAGTTTTTTATTATTAAAATATAAAATTATTAAAGAATAAAAAGAAGGGCTTAGAAGACTTGCTTAAGAATTTTAATCTGAAATTCCTTTTTAATATATGAATGGTTCAATAAGGTTACCATTGTGAATATTTATTAATATATATATATAATGTATTAAAATATAATAATTTAAAAATAAGATTTTTATTCAATTATAAATGTTAAAATTTTTTAAATATGATAAAAATTTATATGTGTATTTTTAATTTTAAAGATAAATAAAAGAGAATAGATAATTAATATATTATTATATTTATATATATTTATATATATTTATATATATTTATATATATTTATATATATATTTATATATATATATATATATAAAATTCATTATTATATTTACGTTTCATCTATTTTCTCTTGTATAATTTAAGTTAATTATTATTTATATTCATATTACAAATCTTATAAAAATATTAAAATATAAAAAATAAATATTCTTACTATATTTTTCTATAATTTAACTAGCCACTTAATAAGCTGAATCTTATTTTTTAACAGGAATATATTCTATAGTTTTATTACCTAAATCAAGATCTAAATAAAAAAGAATATTATTCTATTAATTCAGATAATTAACCGAATCATAATAAAAAGATTATTTAGATGAATTACATGCAGATTTATACTTCTTTTAACTTTAAAAGAACTATTTTTTTTATTTTTCGGGACTACAAAATGACTAAAAGCAATTTGTATGTCTATTAATTTTACTCTAATAATTAAAAGCTTAAAAATTCTGATAAAATAATTAAAAGTAATTCTATATTTAAATTATGTCTTTATCTTAAACTATCCAATTGTTATCGGAATCAAAGTAACCGAAATTAATTAATTATTATTATTTTTACTAATTATAATTAATGCTTTTAATTTAATTTATATTTTTTTATATGCTTTGTTTAGGCAAATTTATATTTATTCGTTATAAAATTAACAAAAATTGTAATATATTTCTTGCGCTTACACCTCCATTTTATTAACCGTTTAAAATTGAGTAAAGAGTATTTAATAAACTTCTTTCTTTTATAAAGTTTTTGTTTTTAATATTTTTTGCTTATAAAAATTTCATTTTAAATAATAATTCATTAATTCTTTATATTTTTATATATTTTTTTTTTATTAAAAATAAAATAAAATACTGTATATATTCAAGCAGGTGATTGCCAGGATATTTTTTCACGTTTATTAGTCCGTTTATGGTTTTTTCAAATATATTTATGAAATTATTTATCTAATTTTAATTAGCATTGTTTTTTTGTTTGCTTTTGTTATTATATGGGCTTATTTATAATCTATTTGTATAATAAGTTATCAATTCCTCATTCTTTTATTTTAATTTTTCTTAATTTAATACTAATTATTATGTTATTTCTAATATTTGTTAAGTATTTTATGTATTTATATATTTTTTAGAAGCTGTTAAATTATTAAATTTTTAATAGTTGTTTAATTTTTTTTAAATGTTTATTTGTTCTGGATTATCTTTTTATTTTTTTAAATTTTTCTATAAAAAATAAAATTTTAATATATTTTCTATTTATTAAATACCCTATGTGATTTAAATGTCTGTAATTGATTTATTAATATCCTTAGATGGTTCTTGACCCATTTAAATATATTGAGAAAGTAAAAATTAATTTTTTATATGAAAAAAATAAATAAAAAAAAATATAATAATATAAAATTTATATTAAAATTAAATAACAATAAAAGATTTATTATTAAAAAATAAAAACCTGTAATTTATTATTAAAAATAATTAAAAAAAATTATTAATTAGATTAATTTTATAACAAAAACAAAATAATTTTTTATAAATATAGAAAAAATTCTCAAAAAAAATATCATCATATATCATTTGTCCTAATTTAAGCTATTTTAATGTCAGAAAAAGCATAAAAAGGAATTTTTTTTTTCTTTAGAATCAATATCCATAAAAAGCAAATAATTTATTAGTGCAAAGCTTTTTAATATTTATTTTCAGGATGATTACAAATAATAGTATCTTCAAGTATGTTATTTATATTCTCATTAAATCATAAAATTTCAATTTCAAGAAGAACAAGCATTACATCTATTTCTAAATTAAATCAATAGTTATTTATATAATTAAAGATAATTTTAATATCACAGACATGCATATATTCATAAAACTTTCTTTTATTTAACTACTTCATGAAATACATAGATTTTTAAAAAATAATAGATGATTATAATTTAGGATATTCACAAATAACAGAAGAATATAATATCAGAAATCTTAATTGTATTAGAAAAAATTTATAATTTTATATTTTTTAATGTAGCACATACTAATGGACATACATACTTTTGTTTGTTTTTCTTATTATGTACATGATTCTTATTTTGAGGAAGACGATTATATTTAATTTTCTATTAATTTATATTTTATTTTAAGGACATTCTCCATGTTATTACTGCAAATAGTTACTTATCATCGCAAGCATGACATCTATCATTAGTATAAGTTTTAGCATTTACCTGATATAGTAATAGAGTATACTGGGAAACAAATTAAAATACTAACATCATATTTCATTTGTAAGAAAAGAATATACTTTTTTTAGAAATATATTGAGAATTTATAACAAGAACAATGTCCTTATTTAATAACGAAAACTTCATTAGCTAAATATGCGTAAATCTGATATAATAAGCCTTTTATTCAATTCCTAATTATAATCCACACACTAGCGTATATTTTTTAGTACATGCTTTCCATTATTTTACTTTTTAAACATTATCTTTTACTAATACTTAATTAAAATATATTTTTTATTTTTATTTTTTTCAAAAGATTTTTAGATTTTATTTTTATTTTTATTTGATATAAGTTTTCTAATTCATTTTTTATTAATGAATTTTCTTTTAGGATATATGATTATATCATTTATAATATTATTTCATTAAAAAATAAAATTAGAAAATACATAGTTGATTGTATAAAAATTTAATTATAAATAAAAATTATATAGATATCGAATAATATAAAAATATTTTATTAATTAGTTATTTAAGATTTTTTTAAGATAAAATAATCATATTACACCCTTTGTTATGGATTTCTCTGACCCTAAAGTTGCTTATGTCAGACTAGGAGGACATGATGATTTTATTTATTGCGAAAATTATTATTATTTTTTGTTAAAATAAGTATATTAATATATATATATATATATATTAATATATATAAATTTATATATTACATGTTTTTATAATATTATTATTTTAATATTAATATTTATAAAGAAAATAATTTTTTTATTAAAAGATTTATAATAATTATTATAAATATATTTTAGTATCTTATAATTATTATAATTTTTTTTTTTAATAATATTTATATTAATATATTATATTTAAAATATAATAGAAAAAAATATATTATAAAATAACGCTTAATTTTCGAATTATATAAATTATTTATAATATAATTAATTTATATTTTTATATAAAAAATAATTTATAAGAAAATATTATATTTTTTAGCTATAATATTAATAATATTTAAAAAATAAATAATGTAAAAAAAACGTTTTATCTTAACAACTTTTGTATTTTTGTTATATATTGTTCCATTTATGAAATGTGATTATTAAGAATTAAATAAGTGGATTCCATGTACTCCAAATGAAAGAAAATTAAAATTTTGTACAATGATATATTTTCCAGTATGTGGCAAGTTGTCATAAACTGAAACTAAAACTTATGGAAATCGTTGTTCAGCCTGTACTGATCCTTTAGTATCTGAAGTAATACTAGGTTAATGCAAAAATGATTAATAAAAAAGGGTTTAAAGTTAATGCTTAGAATAAGAAAAATTAACATAAACTTGCCCATAAAATGAAGCACCAGTATGCGCTATATTTGAAGATTTTGAAAGTAGAAATTTCAAAAATAGATGTCAAGCTTGTTAATAAAAAGGAATATTATAAATAGAAGATGGCGAATGTATGGTTATGAAAGAAAAAGACGAATAATCATTCAATCATTATTGTGATTAGAGAGAAAAAGAAAACATTATATGCAGCTTGGATTATGAACCAGTATGTGGAATTAAAAATATAGAATTATATAAATAATAATAGAGAACTTAATTTACAAATAAATGTTTTGCATGCTCATAAGGAAATTTCGATTTTTTATTAGAAGGAGAATGTTAGAAATATCCTTAAACAGTATATTTATGTTAACCGGGAGGTTATAATTTTATTAAGAATTGTTCTTAAGAAAAGGAAGATGTAGTTTGCGCATTAAATCTTAATGGATAAATGGTTGACTTTAAAAATATGTGCTCTGCTTGTAAGGATTATGAAATTGTTTGGGGTAAATAAGGAGACTGTAATAAATGAGAAATAATATATTTTTTATTTAATTATTAAAACAAAAACAAGTAATTTATTAATTTTTTGTTTTTTTGTTTTTTTTTTCATCACTTTTATAATAATTTTGGGAAAAAAAAAAATTATTCGTTATTCCCCAATTTTATATATGAAAAATTAAATCAAAAGTAAGTTTAAAAATATTATCAATTATTATTGGTATAAGCATTTTTAATAAATCAGAAGATACTTCAATACAAGGACTATTATTAATGTCAATTAACCAAAGTATTAAATTTCTCATTCAATAAAAAAATTATATCTGAAAATCTCAAAATAATATTTCTATAATAAATAACTTTTTTAATTGGAAAAAAAATTCGTTTAAAATCTATAAAAACATAGTTCAATTTCCTTTTTTTCTAGACTCTATATTGCATTATTTGATTATTTATTAGATTTATGAATATTATCTTTATATTTCACATTATAAATTATGCTTGATATTCTTATATGCTCCATGTTTTATGTTAAATACTCTTATATCGCTTTACGCTTATTTATTAATAAATGTCTTCTATGAATTTTTATATAACAAAAGCACTTATATTAAGAAAATTTTAAGACTTATAATAAAAATCTTATTATTTTTTGGTTTGTTTTAAATTGCTTTATATGTTATTATTGCATAAATGTATAAAATTTTTATTTGATAGAAATATTAATTTAATATATAATAATTATTATAGTTTTTTTTAAATAAGGTTTATTTATAAAAGATATCATTATAATAATTATTCATTATATTTTTAAACTCATGTAAAGTTCTAAATATTTGAATCACATTGTCCTATGTTTGAATTCATAGGTATTAAAAGTCATAAATAAGAATTTTAATCTTCTTTTAATGAAATAATTATTTCCTAAAATGTACTTGTACTTTATTTAAAAAAAAAATTATTGCATTAATTTAAACTTTTTATACAATATATATGATTTTCTTAAAATTATCAAAGGAATAAATTTATAATAATCAATTCATTTACCCAATATTTACTAAAAAAATAAAATAAATATAATTAAATAATTTAAAACCTTTTTTAATATAATATTTATCTAAATTTTTAATTAAAATATTTTTTATAGTTATTTCTGGATGATATTCAAAATGATTAATAATAGTATTTATCTTAAATAAATTTACTTTTTCTTGTTTATTCACTTAATTATTTTTGTTTTTTGTCCTTATATTAAATGTATATTATTATTTTTTATTTTAATCAAAAATCATTAAATAAAATATATTTTTGTTAAAATAAATCATTCTCATTTTGTTAGTTTGCTTTGGTTATATTGATATTATTATTGCTTTTTTACTTAAAAACTTATTTGCAAATAAATATTGCTTTTTAAGCCTAATTTTTTTTATATATAATATTTTATAAATAGATAAAAAATTATAAAAATATTTAATAAAAAAATAAAATTATATAATAAGATTAATAAAATTTAATCAATTTAAAAATTCAAATATTTTTTTTTTTAAATATTAATAAAATTTATTTATATTTTTGTTTATAACAAAAAAATCAATAAAAAAAATAATCAACTTTTTATATTAAAAATAAAAACAAAAATAAAATAATACTAACAAAATAAAAATATCTAAATTAAAAAAAAAATACAATAAAAAATAATAATACTCCGACAAAATATAATGAAGATAGGATTTATAGAAAATATTAAACATGTAGGAAAAGATATAGGATTAAAGTCAGAATAAAGAGTTAGAACAATAGCACCTAGAACGACAATATAAATAGCACATGATACATCAAAGGAAGAAATTAAAAAGAGAACATCTGTAGTGGAATCATTTAGATAATATACGTCTAAAATATTACCTTAAATGTAATAAAATATAGAAATATACATGCTCTAAAAATAACAAAACAATGATTTATTAAAAGAATATTCTAAAAGAAGAATATAAGAGCTTTCTATAGAATTAAATAAAATTAAAGGAATGCCTGCAAAAGATTTAAATCCAGCTCCTATACAATTTCCAGAAAGAAATGTATTTAGTTTTTTACCAATTGATGAGCATGAAGAACAAGATATTGGTTTATATGCTACTTTTCCAGCCTCTGATATAGCTAAATATTTTAGAAATGGAGATATGTTTGGTGATTATTTTAAAAAAGAATTTTATATTACTAAGAAATTTTCTTTAATGATTACTGAAGAGGTTTTTTATTTTTTTATTTTTTTTTTTATAAAAAAAAAAGGGTTGTAAAATTGTTAATCATCTTAATTTTATTTAAAATAATATTTAAAATAACTATCTTGATTATAAGTAAACTTTCTAAAAAGTTAATGCTTAAAACGTTAAATAAAAAATATATGATGATGAAGATATTTATCCTTATTTATTTCATGATCTAGGTTTTTTTTTTTTATATATATATATATTAATATATAAATATTAATTTAGCCCAAGCTGCAATAGAAGAATTAGAAGTTTATAGACAAAATGAATTTTTCGAAAGACTTTTTAGTTTTCCAAGTTTATTTGATTTGATAATAAATGTAATTTTAAGAGAATTAACAGAAAATTTTGATAAAATGATTCCTTTATTTTAAACTAATAAAGAACATTATAACGAATTATTTAAATAAATATTTAAATAAATTGATGAAAAGGCAGATAGAACAAATACAAATTCTTAATTTTTATCTTAATTCTTAAGAAATATACGTATAATTAAACAAACAAACATAAAAACAAAAAAACAAAAAACAAAAAGAATATTTTGACATAAACATCCCAAATGTAGTCGAACATAGAATTGAAGTTGAAAAATATTCTAAAGAACCTAGAAAAATCCCAAGAAATATAAAATCTTATTCATTAGATAATTTTGTAGGATTTAATTCTGGATGTATGTTATTTGGAGATCATGGTTCAGGTAATTTTTCCCTCCTATTTTATTATATCTGTATATTATAATGAAAGGAAAAAGTGGAGTTTTATTATATGTAACAATGTGGGCCCATTATAATAAATGGATAGTAGTAAATGTACCAAACGCATATGATTGGACTTAGAAATCCCATCCATATTAAAGACATCCATTGACAGGAATATATATTCAAAATGAATTAGCAAACGAATGGTTAAAATCATTTAAACATTCAAACGAAAGTTTATTAAAGTAAATATGTATAGACATGAAAATTTATGGAAAATATGGTTTAAGTGGATAACATGATAACGAATGTGCGGCAGTAAAAAATATAGAATATAAAGATAGGAAAGCAAAGTTTGAAGATCATAAGAAGTTTTATGGGGAAAAAGAAAAATTACATGATATTGAAATGAATAAATAATTTAATGTAAGAATTTCTGAAAAACTAAAAGAACCTAAAAATTTACTTGAAATTGTAGATTATGGAATAAATAATATGTTTTTTTCTAATAATGCTATATATGAAGTTTTAGGTATTTTTATAAAAAAATACTTTTATTAATATTTTTTTTTGTTTAAATAAAAGAATAACTAAGATTTTAGAAATAATTTTGTGTCCTTAAAGTTATTGATGGATATAATTTTATGTTTAGAAAATCTATTTATCCTTCTTTTAGATATGCCACAGATACTTAATTAAGATCAACTGTACCTCCCTATCATTTGTCTGTTCCTAGAGCTTTCCTTAATTTTGATGGACACAAATTCAAAAATGGATTCACTTTATGTGCTTCTTCTGTAAAGTAATATCATTAACATGTATTTACTCCCAAAAGTATTTTATTCCCTACAGGATATTCACATGAAATGAAAGGTATTCCTTTAAATGATTTTAGAAATGCTTGCTATTATTATGTTTAGACTGGATTATGGTAAGCTGATAAAATTTCTAAATGTTCATTTGATTTCTTGTGGATGCATTCATAAGGAAATTGGGGTTAGGCTTAAAAAGTTATGAAAGATCATTATTTGGATATTATTTGAATAATTTTTTTTTTTTTTTTGTATTAAAAAATATTTTTATTATATTTATTTAGTTTTTTTTTATATATTTATTGTTTTTTTAACTTTAAATTTTTTATTTAAACTAATAAGAAATATGAATTAATATTATATTATTTCATTAATAATATATTAAAACTAAATAATTTTAAATTAAACATTTTTTTTTTTAATAAAAATACTAATTTGTACATAAAATAATATTTTATTAAATAACAATTTTTAATTAATAAATTATTAAATTTTCATATTTAATAATTAAATCCATTATAAAAAATCTAGAAATGTCCTGAAAAAAATATTAATATGTAACAAAAGTTATAATATTCAATATGAAAATGATAAAGAGTAACATATTAATATAATCAGTCTAGAGCAAGCTATAGCAAAATATAGACTATAAATACCGGTAAAATAAAGAAAAATAAAAATAAAAATAAAAACTAATAATAAGATAACTAAAGCCCCCTAGATTAAAAAAAAACATTAAAGTTTAAAGGGAAATGATAATATAATATAAATCAATTCAACTTTAAGATTAATCAATGATGTTTAAGTGACTAAGATTGAAAATTAAATAATTTTAAGTAAATGGTATATAATAATATTTTTTTTTTAAAAAAAAAAAAAAAAAATTATTTTATATAAAACTATCTAATTTAGATATTTATAAATGAAAATAATAAGATTTTATTATATGAAAAAGTAATACTAAATATACATATAGTATTTTTTTTCTCCAGAGTTCTTTGTTGCATATAGTTTTCTCTTTGAAATAAACTTAGTTTAAATAAAAACTTAGATTCTCCAGGACATGCAAATTACGATTTTAATATGGAATTTATAAATATAAAAGTCCTTCTATTTAGTATTTTTTTTTTATTTAATAATTTTTATTATTTATTTTGTAAATAAATAGAATAAAAAAAAAAGTTGAAGATGAGCTACTTAGATAGGGAAAAAATATCTATAATAAATAATATAAAACTTAAATAGTAAAAAATAATAGCAGAAGAATTAAAAAAACTAATACTAATGATAATAATAATATTTTTTAAATATTTATTTATCCTTATTAAATAATAACATTAGTCAATAAACTTTTATTGAAATTAAAATTTAAACTTAATTTATAAATTTTAATATTTTTAAATGATATATAAAATAAAATTAATGTTATCCTAAAATTTTTTATCAATTATTAAAAAAAAAAAAATAAGTAAATATATTTTTAAATAAATTGTAAAATTTACATATATAAATAAATATTTTTTTTCTTCAAATTTTAGATTTTATCTATCGATTGCAAATATTACAATACATAACAATTAAAAAGTGCCTACATTTTTACATTAATATATTATTTTTCTTTTAATAATTATTTTGATTATTATTAATAAAAAAAATATTTTAATTGTTGTTATTGTTTTTCTAATTAGTTATAGTATTATTTTTATTTTTTTCAATTTTATTTATATCTTTATCTTTATTTAATAGTTTTTTAAATTTTTCCATATCAATATTTTAATTTTAGTTATTTACTGTCTAATAAAAATCATTTTAATTATTATTTTAATTTAATATATCTGTTTTTTAAAATGTTTATTATAATGTATAATTTATTTTGTGCAAATCTATATTTTTTTATCTTTATTTTTAAATATATTAACTTTTATTTGTATCTTTTTAAACTAATCCACTATTATTATAATTTAACTTTTTTTTTTTATATAAAAAATAAAAATTAAATAGGTATGATTTTTTACAGTGTTTACAAAACTAGTATTAAACTAATTTTATAATCTTTAATCTTAAGTAAAATACTTTAATTAAATAATATTTATAAAAAATAATTATTTTCTTAATCAATTTAAATTTAAAAATTACATTTACATCATTTACATTACTATAGTATTATTTACTTTCTTTAGGAGAAATAGACCTATTTTTGTTTAAATTTAATATTTTTTCTTTGCTAAGTAAAGGCCTTCTTTCTTTCTAAAAAAAATTACAATTCTTATTTACATGTTCTTCAATTTTTTTAAATAACTAGCTTTTATCAGAGGCAAATTAAAGCCTCTATATATTATTTTAGGGCGTATTTCTAATAAATTTATTTGATAAGTTTTTTTAACTTGATTATTATCTTTTTGCATTAGAAATAATATTTCTTATATATATTTTTTAGTTTTATTATATGTTTTTACTAACCCTTTTTTATTATATTTCTTGAAATGTTCTTGAATATTCATTACTTTATTCTCTTGATATTTTTTCTGATTTATCATATAAATCAGGAAAGTTTATATAACTTTCATTCTATATTAATCGATTTATTATAGTTTATTATTTATTGTTATCTGATCTATAAATATTCTAATTGCATAAAGATTTTGATCTTTAATTCATTATTTATTTATTTTGATTTAATTATATCTGTTATTAAAATTCGTTTATATCATTTTTAAGATTATTATCTTAATCAAATTAACCTTTTATATATTGGTTTACTGTATTCTATAAAGGAATTTTTGTATCAAAGTTTTAAAATGTTATACTGTTTTCATGTATGTTTTTAGAAATATCGCTCATTGTCTATATAGTCTTTACTTTTACAATAATTATTATTATATTTTTTTCGTTAATATATTTATATTTATATATATATATATATTATTATTATAAAATTTATATTATTATTAACGTTAACATTAAATATTTAAAACTCCTTCGTATTATTATAACTATTTGCATTTTTTTATTATTTATCTTTTATAAATATATATTTAATAAATTAATAAATCTTTATTTTTTTATATTTAACTATAAAAATACATTTGTGTAATGAAAAAATTTAGATTAATTTTACTTATAAAATAAAATAAATATTTAACAAATGGATAATGATGAATTCCTTTTATATAGTTTTAAAGTAATTACTTTTTTTATTTTGTTTAATTATTGAATTCGATATATTTATATTTGATATTAAATATAGATACATAATGTTTAAGTATACAAAAATTTAAATTTACAATTGAGGAAGACACTAAATTATTTTTATAAAAACATAGTGTGGTAAATAAATTTAATATTATTTATTTGTAGTATATAATAATATTTTATATAAGTATTTTTAAAAGTAATGAATAATATAAATACTTAAAAATAAAAATATAATCAAATTTAAAGAAAAAAAATAAAATATATATTTATAAATTATAAATTTAGGTATTTTTAATTTTTTTAAAAATTTTTATGATCTTTAGTTTATTTTCAAAGAAACTTATATAAATGTTCATAATCTTAATATAATTGAAATCGACTATAAGTTTTTAAATTATATAACAGTTTATGAAAAAAGAAAAATATTTTAATAAGGGCAATTAACATATAATTGAATACTAGTATATTAAAAATACAAATATATAATAATATTTTTTTTATTATAGATATTTTATAAGCACTAATTTAAAATATGCAATTAAATATAAATATACAGAATATTTAAAAAGGATTGAATTTTTTTAATAAATTAAAACAATTATAAAATATAAATAATTTATGACATACCTGAGATATTATAAAGTGTAAATATTTTTTTTTATTTTAACAAAAAATAAAAAATATTATTAATATATATATAAACATTGTTTTTTTTTTATTATATTTATTAAATAAATAACTCTTATATAAACTACACATAGAACATATCTTTTCTCATCAGAAATATTAAAAAATGATTAAAAAAATAAATTAATAAGCTGGTATAGCACAGTGGTTAGTGCATCTGCCTTGTAAGCAGAAGGCCGTCGGTTCGAATCCGACTATCAGCTCACTTTATTTTTATTTATTTATTTTTTTTAATTAAAAATATATTTATAAAAAATAAAAAAATAAAAAAAAAATTTTTATTGTTTATTTTTAAATTGTTATTGTTTTTATAAATATATAAAAATAATAGTCTTAATGATTGGATATTCAAATTTTGTATATTTAAAAATGTTTGAACCAAATCCTATTTTAGATAAAGAAGGGGATTTTTATGATTAGAAGATTTAAATTAAATATTAAGAATTACCTAATAAAAATTATGAAAGTTAATATTTGTTTAGATTAAAGGAAAATTAAAAATAATGTAATTAAATAATAAATATAAATAATTTTAAATCTAAATCTTAAATTTAAAAGAGAAAAAATTAAGATGAATTTGTAAAAAATAAGTCATATAAAAAAATATATAGCTTTGAAATAAAATATATCATTTATTTATTTTTTTTTAAAAAAAAAGAGAAAATAATAAAAAGTATAAACATTAATATAATTCTTTAAGTTAAAAAGATACAAGAATAATTAATTTTATTTAAAAAAATAATAAAGACAGTGTATAAAATAATTTAAAGAAACCAGAATATGATATATTCTATGAATATGATGAAAACGGCAATATAATATCATAAAAAAAATACATAAAAATGAAAATCGATGGAAAATATTTTTTAGTAGAAATAGGAGACTAAGGTTAGGTTTTATCAAAAATAACAATATAAGAGGGAGATATATTAAAGAAAAAATAAAATGATGCACAAAAAAGAAAAAATTTGTTTTTATATAAATAAAAAATGGCAAGTTAAAAATCAAATAGAGATGAATATTTAAATAGTTTGTTAAAAAAGTAAACCAATTATGCATTTAATTAACCTAATTTAACCAAATCAATTTCATTTTAAGATTTAATAAAATTGAAATCCATATTTTTACCATAAAAAGAGGAAATATTTAAAGCATATTCTAAAAAATTAAATTAAAATATTATAAATAAATAACATACAAGTACATTTTTAACTGATAATAATATAAATAATAATACTGTATCAAACTATAATATTTAGCAATAAAATTACAAAAAAAAGTGTAATATTTTCTAACAAAAAAAGTATTTAACAGACTCAAATAAATCTACATATGGAAGTTTATCGGTAAATAATTTTATTTCAAGGCCCTAATCATCAAATTGTCAAATTAATTATAATAAAATAACTATGGTTTCTAATGAATATTTAAGTAATAAAAAAACTGTTGTTTTATATAGACCAACTTCGGTTTAGAAAAATAATTTCTATAGTGAAGGTAAATAGAATTTTTTTTGTAAGATTAATTATTAAACTTTAAGTAAATTATATTAAGATTTTTAAATTAAAAAAAAATTGTAATGATATTATTTTTTATTTTATTTTTTACAGTTTTTATTAAATTTATACATTTTATATTTTTAAAAATATTTTTATAAAAGAAAGATATAATTTCAGTAAAAATTTTTTTTTTTTTTTTCAGACAATAATATCTTTTTGATTTTAAATTATATCTTCGGTTCCATTATTAGAAATATTAATATTGCTTCCTTGATAATTTTAGAATTTTCCTTCTTTCAAAATAACTACACCAGCTTCCCCTCCTCTCTTATTTTCAAAGACTATACTATAAACTTATTTATATTCCTTAACGAAATAAATAGTTATTCCTTCTAATAAAATTTTAGGAAATTCATGAATATCACTCATATTAGAATAAGGACAAATAATGGTATCAATATTAAGAGTTTTAGCACCAATCACTTTTTACAAAAGTCCTCCGATTTTGCAAACTTCTCCTAATGGGGAAAGTTCTCCTGTCATTGCTAAATTTGCAGGAACGGAAATTCCCATAGCTAATGATAAATAAGCAGTACAAATAGCAATACCAGCTGAAGGGCCATCTTTAGGAACTGCTCCAGACATGAAATGTATATGGATATTATTTTAAGAAAGTTGTTTTTTTTATTCTTCATTGAGAAAATTAAAAGCATTTATTTTGGCTATTGTAAGTGATTCTTAGAGTACTTATTAAAGATTTCCACTTGAATTAAATGTTCCCTTTTTTTCTGTTTAAGAATAATCATAAACACATTCAATTTTCATTACATGTCCTACAAAACCAGCTACACTTAATATATTTATAACTCCTTTTTTATTTAAAAAAAATATAAAATTATTTATTTATTTACATATATATTTTTAGTATTTTTTGTTAAAAAAATAAAATACCTGGTGGAAATTTTTTGTATAATCTTGAATCACTTTCTGCATCAAATAATGGAACTCCTAAATATTTTTTTATGTTTTCTAATTAATCTGATTTATGGGTAAGATCTAATATAGGTAAATTTAATTAGTTTAAGTTTTAATCTGTTAATATAGTTTAATATTCTATATTTTATTTTTTCTCTTAGGTTTCTGGTTATTCTAATTATTATTGCTATTATTCTTTTTCAATGTCTTATTATTAATATATTTATTATATCTAAGTTAATTAAGGATTTTTTTATAAAAGTTCCACTGCATATTTTCTTAAAAGGGTTTCAAAGCATCTTTTAAGCCCTCTAACTCCAGGTTCATCATAACACCAATCTTTTTTTTTTTTTTTTTAAAAAAAAAAAATCAATTTTAATATTTATTTATTTATTTTCTTCTTACTTTTTATAATAAAGGATATTGTTTATTCATCGACACTTAAAAGCTTTTGATTAATTCCGTTCGCCTATAATGCTTTTGGGATTATATATTTTTGAGAAATTTAAATTTTCTCTTCTTCTATGTATGCAGGGATATCAATAATTTCAAGTCTATTTTTAAGTGGTTCTAACATGTTAATAATATTATTAGCAGTTAAAATGAAAATACTATTTGAAAAATCAATTTTAATATCCATATAATGATCTGTAAAGTTTGAATTTTCTTCCGGATTTAAAATTTCCATAAGAGAATAATAAGGATCGGCACCCATACTATCAAATAACAATTAAAATAAAATAAAAATATAAAAATATAAAAATAAAAACCCAGATCTAGAGATTTTATCGATTTCATCTAAAATAAAAACTGGATTCATAGTTTAAGCTTTAATTAATTCTTTAACAAAAACTCCTGGTTAGGAATCTACATAAGTTCTTCTATGACCTTTAAAGAAGGAAGGATCTGAAATACCAGCAAAACTTATAAATCTGCTTTCTTTTTACAAAGCCTTAGCAACTGCTTTAGCAATAGAAGTCTTACCAGTACCTGGTGGTCCTTAAAGTAATAAAATAAATCCTTTACTTCTTGCATGAGTATTCTTTATTTAATTAACTGCAATCATTTCAATTATTCTTTCTTTGACTTTATCCAATCCATAAATTTCATCATTGAGTACATTTTTAGCATATTATATGTTCCAGTTAGCTGGTGTATATTTATTCCATGGAACACTGAATACTTCATCTAGATAGGTGCTTATTTATGATATTCGCTAGAGTTTTTATCCATTTAGCTGAATCTTTCAATTTCCTATCTTACTTTTTCACGAGAAGGAGTATCTTCTATTAAAGGAAGCTTCTTTGTGTAATTTTCAGTTTATTTATGGACTTAAGATGTCTTTTCGCCAGCGAAAACATTACCACCAGAACCTGAATAGGAAGCACCACCAGCCCCTTAATTATTTTATTTTTGATCATTTAAGTATATTTATTTAATGTACTCCATTGCATATCTGGCTCGGGTTTAATATTGCATTCTTATTAAAGACTCGTCGGCTTGTTTAAAGTTTCGGTTTACTATTTCCATTATTTCCATCAAAGATTCTAAATGTTGTCTAAGAAATAGAACTCTTTCAATTAAACTTTTACTTTGTAATATACTTTAGATTAATATGTTCATATTTTCTTTTATATATCTTGATAACAATATTTATGTTCCCGCAATTATCTATACAAAATATAATATATATGCATGTTTTTTTATTTGAATTTAAAATAATATATATGTTATTTAAATTACTTAAAATATAATTTTATCAATAATATCAGGTGTAACATTTTATAAATCAGCAGTTTCAATATCTTGAGGTGCTGAAATATCAATTTTTTCATAAGAAATTGACTTTTTAATATGGAAATAGGCAGTTCTGATTGCTGTTAGTTCTTTTACATATTAAATTTGGAAAGAACTTTTAAAGATTTCTTATCATCTTTAAATGGAATTGTTTATGCATAAATACCATTATCAGTTACTTATAGTTCTATTATTTTTACTCTACGAGACATCTTTTTAGGTTGTAGTTCGAGACTTACTTTCTGTTAAGTTAAAAAATTGTTGTTTTCTTTGTTTTTAGAAAATTGCTTCTAAATTGTTTTTGCGACTGATTTTTCTAATTCTAGACCTATTTAATATATATTGTCCTAATCACTTAATATAAAATATGCCAAATCATGATTTATTTCAGTCAATTTACCTGTTTACATGTCACAAGGAATTTCTAATAAGGTAATATTGGTAATTAGGATGAAAATATTATATGTGTTTAAGGTTTTATAGCTTTCTCCTCTTCTGTTAATTCTGTATCTTTCCAGTTTTTTAAAGGAATTATTTTTAATAAGGGTTAAGGTTTTTAGTTATTATTGGGGTTATTATTATTGTTTGGGTTTTGGTTTGTTATATCATTTGGATTATTGTCGTTTGAGTCAGGTTAGTTGTTATTTTCTGAATCATCTTGGGATTAGAAAAAATTTATTTATTGACTTGTTGTTGAAAAAAAGGATTTAGGTTAATAAATAGAAGAGTTGATGTTTATTTATTTTGATATAAGATTTATTTGTAATTTTTAGTTAAATTTATTAAGAAGGCTTGTTGTTTTTTTTAAGTTTCTTAACATTTTTTTATTTTATTTTTTCTTTTTTCTTATTATTGGAAAAGGAAGTATATATATATATTATATTTTTATTTTTATTTTTATAAATTAAAAATAATATAAAGTTAAAAAATTAATTTGTATTATATTCTTTATTTATTTTTTTTATATTTTTTTATTTTTTTCTAAGAATAGTTAATAAATTATATATATATATTTTTTTTTATTATTATTATATGGGAATTTTCTAGACCTTTTTTTGTTTTTTTTGTTTTTTTTTTTTTTTTCATAATTTTATTTACCTTTTTTTCTATTTTTATTTTCGGGAGAGGATGTAAATTTAATTATATTTCGTCTACCAAGAAAAACCAAATTAGTTAAATGTTGTTTTGTTTTTTTTCTTAATCATATATGCATTTTTTAAATTTAATTATTTATTTTTATTGCATATTTATATTTAAATATATATAAAAAAAAATTATATTAATTTTATTTTTTGTATATATGTAATATAAATTAATATTTCATAGCAAGAAATTTTATTTTTATTTGTTTTAAAAAAATTAAATACTATTATTAATAAATTTTATATTTTATTTTTTGTATTTTTAATTAATAAAATTAATATATATTTTAGTTATTTTAAATAAAATTAATAAAATAAGAAGAAGAAAAAATTTAAAAAACGAAAATGTCAGATATTTACAATAAAAAAATATAATAATTATCATCTATAAAAACACTATTATTAATAAGTTTTAGCATTATAATAAATATTATTGTAATATTATTTTAAAGTTAACTTAACAAAAACTTATAGAGTTTAATAAAGTTTATTTTTTTAATAATAAACATAATATTATTAATAAAGTATTAAAAACAAAGCAAAATCTTAAATTTATAATAAAATATAAAAATAAAATTTATAAAGCTATTATTAAGAACATCCATAATAACTAATTTACTGACATTAATATACCTAATACTTGAACATAGTTAAAAAATATATAAAAAAGATTTTATTTAGTTAACTTAAATTTATTTTTTAAAAAAAGTTGATAAAAAAATAGAAGCTATATTACAAATAATTTAGTAAATTAATATAATTTTCATAATGCATTTTTGGTATAAAAACGAAGAAAAATAATAGTAATTATAACCTGTAAAAATGTTATACATTATATCATAATTAATATATAATATATGTGTATTAATAACAATATATGATAAATAGCTTCAATAATAAATAATTTATGTAAAAGAGATATTTTATTTAATATATTTTATGTTAGTTTATCTAAAAAAAAGAAGTAAAGAAGATAATAAAATACATTTATTTAATGTATTTACTCAAATAAATGCTTTCTTTTTCTTATTTATGTATCCAAATTTTGATTTTTTGTAATTTAAAAATATATAAATGCCATATACATGTTTAAATTTTTTAATATATTCCTATATTTTGTTAATTGGTTTTTTTTATTTACCTATTTCTAAATAAAATAATATACATGTTGAAGTGAAAAATTAAATACCTACTGAAGTTGAATAAAACAATAAAGAAATTATTTAAGAAATCTATAAAGATATTGAATTGGAAGATAACACTAATCAAATTAAGTCCGTAAACCTTTCAGCTGAATAAAAAAAAGCCTAAATATGGGAATTGATTCAAAAAAGTGCAGAAGATGAAGAAGGCTAAAACAATTAAAATAACTTGTAATATTAAGTTGAAGATGAAGATTTTTATGACGAATATAATGATTAATCTGATTCTAAATAATAATAATAAATTGGATCTTCTTCTTCACGTTGAGACTAAATTTTTGAAAATATATATTATAATAATTGAAATAATTATATTTATTTATTAATCTCATTAATTTTTATTAGAAATATAAGCTTAAAAAATAAATTTATAATAATTATAAAAATATAAAATATAAAATATAAATAAATATATATTTTTTATGTAAAAAAAAAAAAATACAGAAAAGTGGCATATTAAAGTTTATTATTAATTGTATTTATATTATATATATTCACAATTAAAGTAATATAAAAAAAAATTAAATAAATTTGTAAAAAAAAAAAATATATTTAATTAAAAAAATTTATTATAAAAATATTAATTTGAAATATATTCAATATAAAGTTATAAATATTGAAAATAAAATAAATAAAAACTTAAATAAAACTTATTATTATTATTTTTTTTTTATTACATAAATATAAAAATTGAATAGAGAAAAAAAATTGATATATGTAGAAATATATATGTAAATACATATATATATAT